CCGCCTCAAATCACTGCACCTGAATGAGTTAAACGATGACGTCACCCTGCTGCTCTATTTCAGACCGGGAGCAAGTGAGGGCTTTACCATTCTGGCGAATTGCCCGATGATGCTGGATGTAATTACCAGCGAAACGTCGTACTCAAACTGTAAATGTTGTGGATTCACTCTTCAACACACCTGTGGGCTAAAGTAGTGAACTATTTGTCTTTTGTCAATGTGACACTTTTTTGCTGATTGGCCATGTCGGGTGGTGGAGGGTTACGACACATTTATAAATAACGCGATCTAACCCAAAAACCTTTATGGGTTTAATTAATTCCTGCCCGTTTTATAAACGAAGATTACAAATGTCACCTGTGGTCTAAATAAAACGAGCAGGACAAAGCCTCAAATTGTCGATTGACGACATGCAGTCATGACAATTTGTGGTAATTTCGGAGTGCTAATCCCTGAATGAATGCATTAGAATCGTTCAGTCCGTGCAGCGAGGTGAAGATTTCCCACTAGTCCACCTATATCAACCAATCACAGGCCACACACTGCACGGCGCTCAAACCAGGGGAAAGGTGCTCACCTTGGAGTGGGGAAAATGTATAAAGCTGAGAAAGAGCTGAGTGCAAGGGTTTAAGAACATCCTGCCAGCACTGGTGATGTTAAATATTTTCTTAAGACTCTTGAAATAAAATGAATTTGATTCCTTGTTCCTTGTATGTTTATGTTAACAACGGGGTGTTGATCGTTTTTTATTTCGCATCAGAGTTCAAATTTTGCCAAAATTGAGAAGCCACCAGCACCACCTAATGGGGCGGCCGTGTGTCTTCTTGCTGTGCAGCTCCGTGGAGCCGTTTCCCTCCAACTTCTCTCCATTCGTCTCTCATTGCTTGATTTTTAGCTCTCTTACCTTACTTCACAAATTGTTTGCTTCTGTTACCAGCAGGTTCCTGCTGTTTGGAAGAACTTGGTATTCCTCATGACCATATGGTCCCAGAGGCAGGTGGTTACTCAGTGAGCAAAGCTGATGCAACTTCATAAAGTCATCTTGATAATGAGCAACCACGACTGAAGCACAAGTATTCTGACAACACTAATCCGAGTGTCGTCAACGGCACCAACAACAAAATATAATTCTAGATTTAAAGCTTTCGTGACTGCTAGGATCCATACTCTTTGGTTATATTGGGTAAAGTCACGTAGGTAAAAAATAAAATAACAAAAATCACGACGTTTCGGCCACAACACAAGCGGCCTTCATCAGGTGAAGGGACGAGACTGTCTGGAGGACAGCGCTGGAGTGAAAAAAAAAGAAGGCACGCGCAGATCACGACCTTTAGCTTAAAGGTCGTGATCTGCGCGTGGCTTCTTTTCGTCGTGATTTTTGTTATTTTATTTTTTACCTACGTGACTTTACCCAATAGAACCAAAGAACAAAATATAAGTTCAAAAGCAATGGACAATGAGTGGGTGATCACATGAAAGCCGGATGCCCATTTAATCCAATTGATTAATACTCACAAAACAGCGCAGTCTCCATTTGAATGATTACCTGCAACATGTGCTTTCTTGGTTAAAGCAAAATATACAAATGGAATGCACATTACATAAAGCAATAGAATTCTAATAAATGAGCACCATCACAATTGTTATGCAATCTTGATGCCAGGATGTGCAACGAGTTGAGATGAACCACAGTAAAATATATTCTCAAGCTTCTTACATCAGACCATGGGAATTAAAGCCCACAGAAAACGTTTAAGTGGATCTAAACTTTGGCATGTGAATATCTCTACATTCAAGGGAAATTTCTGCACCCATCACATGTGCAGAGAACATACAACCGTCCATAATTAAAACCCTGTAACACACACTGAAAAAAAATGCGATTATGACCATCTATTTATAGTCAGCACCATCTCCCAGAGTCATAATGATGGCATGACTGCTACCTTATGCAAACTGGAGAAGTGGGGTATTTATTATCATGAAAGCAGCTCGACTCTTTCCACTGCACTCAAGATTACTGCTTCTGAGCCTCTGTTGACACTCGCTAATCTAAGGGATGCAGTTCTAAAAATTATTTTGGGCATTTTGGCCCAGGATAGTTTTTAGAACTGCAATAAGCAACTGAAAATAATAACCCATGCATTTATTTTCCTATTCATGTACTTAACTAGTTAGATTATTCTGCCAAGGGGGGAAATATGTGGGTAAACTGGCAGTGTCACATGCTTCTATGAATAATTATCCACACCCTGACGGGCATAGTTGAAATAAAGTCACAGCTACACACACATGCCTAAAGCATATCTGCACCTATTCACACCCACTTCAATCTGCGGTGAAACTTGCCACAGTCAATATGTATTTACATCTGATCGAGTAATTTTACATTTGAGTAACTTTGGGTGGCAGGGTGATGCAGTGCTAACACGTGTGCCTCACTGCAAGGCGCATGGGTTCGATTCCAGACCCGGCTACCTTTCTGTGTGGATTTTGCATTATCTTCCCCCGTTCTGAATGGGTTTGCCTCGTGTTCTCAACTTTTCTCCCATCGCTAAAATACATACAATGGCACGTGTACGAGCCAACTCAACGTGTTCTCGCCTTATTTAAATGCAGCGAACGATGACAGGCGACTTTTAAGAGGGCTCTGGTCACAGGCAACTTAAGCCCCAGTGTGCTGGCTGTAATTCAAAAAGTCAGTTATTTCCCGCTCATATAAGCACCGAGGTAGTAATAATTTCCTATATGCAACCCTGAACCAGTGGACGAATGCCGCATAACTATAGAGGGGGCGAGTCAATCACTGCATACTTCCCCACAAAGTGGTAGCTATTTTATTGAGCACCAGGGATGATGAGCTATTGTTTCATCCATACTGTTTTGAACCACCATATTGTAGGTGACCTCACTTCTGTTTCTTCCCTCGCACGACTCCGTTTTATAATTCCCTCCCATCGTCTACTTTCTCAAACTAATATAACCTTCAATTCTAGATTTAAAGCTTTCGTGACTACTAGGATCCATACTCTTTGGTTCTATTGGGTAAAGTCACGTAGGTAAAAACATATAACCTTGCTCAAATCAAGAAACGTGTCTACGCTTATCGATTAAAACGGACGAAACTGTTTTTCTGGCCGCTTGGCTTATGAGTTTGTGCTTAAGTAACTGCAACAAACAGGATTTGCCAACAGCAACCTTTTGATGAGAGCCGCTCACTCTACCGCTAAGCTTCCTGACCTTGTCCTCTCACGCAACAATGTGGCACACGGTCAGGAGGACCTCTGTATGTCAGCAGGTGAAAGTCCCATCACCCGGGCATCGCTAACCTAATTCCTCTATCCCAGAGCCACCCTCTATTCACACTGGTGTGGTTTGCGCTGCTTTCCGGAAGAAAAAAAACCACACACGCACCCCCACGCGATGATGTCATGACATGTTCACGTCAGCAGTGGCGAGCAGGAGGGAGGCGGGCACGTCCGCCCCCAACATTATCAATCAATGTCTTTTTTTAGCAGCGGCTCGGGGCACAAGAACGCTACAATGCAATTGCTATTGTTTTGAAAGCGACGACTCTGCTCCAATAACCACCGTTCATTGTTTGCGACACGAGCTCCGGCGAGTAAAATGTAGATGATCAAACAACGACTGGTTCTCTCGTGAGCTCGGTGACAAGCGGCGAGGGACGACCTCACATTTGCGATAAAAGGCATCCGAATTGGGGTTCAGGTCTCGTCACGCGGACGAGGCTCTTAGGTTATAGGACAGTATTATTATTAACATCACGTAACCCGATGTTAATAATCACCCAGAAAATCATCAATGGATAATATTTAGTTCTTTACACCTCATCGTTAGGCAGGGTGTTAAAACTTACCACGTAGTTTAGTCATATTGTATGGATATAACCAAGTGCACCCTTGCAAAAAATGCAATGCTCTTTCATATCCCTGGTTATGTAGGCCTAGCGAGGAAAGTAGAGTACAGAGAGAAGAAAAACTCGGGCACCGTGAGAGGAACTATCATGCGCCGCACAAATGATGCGGTGGGACTTACCATGCAGCGGTGGCTCGCAATTGAAGACCCTACGCGTCTCTGGGAAATATATGACCCCCCACCCCCTCCCTGTATACCGCCGTAGTTTCCTTCATCAATCGCATAATTTCATCATGGTAAAGGCGTGTGATGCCTCCGCACATTGCTGCCAACGCTCTATACCCTCCGCAAGATCCTACGGCTGCTGCACAGGTTGACAAACATCTTTTCGCTTCATTAGCAACTGCACGGACTTCAAATTCACCATCAGATTCGACCTTATTGCATGTTGGTGACGTCTTTACAAACTTACCACGTACACATTAGTTAGTGCAATCACGTTAATAGTTCTGGTTAGGTTTATTTTGATAACAAAAGTTCATTTTCGATAGGGAACCTGTGGGTGTGATACGACCACTAAATGATTGCTTGCTGAAATGATTGAGGCAGTGCTCATTTCCTGTTTACAGCTCTGAGCTGGTGGTGCGAATTTCACATTCCTTTGACAGCTGCGTGTATCCGGAGGAAAACCACTGTTGACTTGCCCCATGGGCTGAGTCAACCCCTACGTCCAAACAGAATTCGAATTTGCAACCTTCCGATTTCCGCTTTCAATACCGCTGAGCTGCAGCAAAACACCACCGCGGTTAGTCTCCTCACAAACGCATTAAGAAGTTCAGGCTTGAAAACGATTAAACACACCAAAAAGAACACTGTGAACATTTTAAAACAGCGCCCGCCAAATCGTGGTGGATTCGCGACAACCCCTATCCCGCACAGCCCTCGGCGCCTCCCGCGGGCAGGAGCGACAGGAAAAACGTCAGGCTTCAGCCGAAGCTAGGCCTTACGGAAATATCGCGGCGCGTCTTAGCTGCAGTGCTAGCCTCCCGCACGGCGCGAGCGACTTGGCTAGCGCTGGCAACGCCGTGTTTGGGGCTTGTTTTTGATTCTCGGCGCGTACGTACATGATTCCGTGCTGCGATGGGCGACGGCGGCGACTAGGGAAGACGAGGAACTGCACTGGGCGGGGAGACTCAATCAATATGGCCGCGATGGCGGTCACGTCACTGCATCCGGGTCCCCCGCCCTGGGTGGGGGGGGGCTCCCGATGACCACTTCCTGACGACAAATATTTACTGTACAGTCACAGGCAACGTTTCGGGCAATCGCCATTCATAGCAAATAGAGAGAGCAGAGCGATAGTGGATACCAATTGTGGTCTGCGCTTTACACTGGATAGGAATTACATTTAAAAAAAATGTGAAGCGGAGCTTTGAGCCAGCCAAACCGTGACTAAAATATATAGACCCGAAAGCTTTGCTCGCCCAAAAGGGTAGCTAGGAAAGCTAAAAACCAGCTGTCCCGTCCTCCCCGCTTCAACAGTCGTGAAACTATACTCTTTGGTTCTATTGGGTAAAGTCACGTAGGTAAAAAATAAAATAACAAAAATCACGACGTTTCGGCCACAACACAAGCGGCCTTCATCAGGTGAAGGGACGAGACTGTCTGGAGGACAGCGCTGGAGTGAAAAAAGCCACGCTTAGATCACGACCTTTAAGCTGCGTGAGAAGAAACAAAGCGCCTTGACAAAGGAATTAGCATATAATTTAGCATTGAAATGGCTCATTGAAATAGCTAAGTTTCACTCCAGCGCTGTCCTCCAGACAGTCGTCCCTTCACCTGATGAAGGCCGCTTGTGTTGTGGCCGAAACGTCGTGATTTTTGTTATTTTATTTTTTACCTACGTGACTTTACCCAATAGAACCAAAGAGTATGGATCCTAGCAGTCACGAAAGCTTTAAATCTAGAGTCGTGAAACTGACACACAACTCTAATTAGGATGTAACCACCCATGCACATTGTACAATGCGTGCCTTTCGCAACAGGTCATTGTGGGCAAGAGCACTGTATTTGTTCCACACAATTGCTTGTATTACGGATTCGATATCTTAAACGATCATTGTCAAGCTCACTGTACTTAAGTTTTCTTTTTAAACCACGCCTATCGTTGCCACCGTTTCCACAGCCCAAACGCAGACGTGTTCGTCAGTCAACTTAGGTCTATGCAGTAAACTGAAATGGCGTATACCTTTTTACTTAAAACTTTAGTGACTGCAGGAAAATATATTCTTTGGTTCTTTCGGTAAAGTCCCGTAGATAGAAAAATAATACAAATAAAAAACGAAAACCACGACATTTCGATCGCAACACAAGCGGTCATCAGGAAAAGGGGGTTTCGCCTCTAAAGGCAAACTGTTCATAAAGGTTTAAAATTGGCGTAGCCCAAGTGTCAGCAGTATTGGCGGGGCAGCTGTTAATGTAACTGATGGTAGTCGTGGGAAACGACGGCGCTGGTGTTGGGTTTACACAAATTAAAGGGCTGCCAGGTCTAAAATGGAAACATTACAGCCAGTTATGACTTGAAATGGTTGATAACGTCCTTCCAGTGATTGCTGAGTTTGTACCCATCTTCTTGGTTGAAATTGTGTGTATGTCTGTATATACGGATGGCTTCATGAAATAATATTTGTTGGTAGCCAGCGGGGTTTGCAAAGTACATTCGTCTTAGAGAAATCAATATCGTGAGCCAGCCACATTAAAATAATTATCAGCCACGATAGAAGTATTGGTCCTTCCGTGTTTCAAATCTGCCTGATGCTCACGAACACGGTCCGAGACATGTAGTTTAGTTTCCCCAATGTAACTGCTGCTGCAGATACACCACCAGTACCATCATTACCCATTACTACTGTAGTGAGTCCAACTGAGTCGCAGACATTAACTTGGGAGCAACACTATTTATTCACAACCAACGTGCAACATAACACAACCTACGCTCGAGTCTCGAATGCCCATTTAACCACGCTACGGCAGAACTAAATACGGTTCGCTATCCCAGTCCGGACCACAAGCTGGGTCCCGGACCGCGTGGCCAGAGGCTTCTTCTCCCCGACGTAAATCTTCAAACACCAACACTTGAAGAACCCCGAGCTCCTCACGGAGCTCTCATTATATGCTCCTGGGCTGGCTCCGCCCCTAACCCCGCCCACCTTCCAGGCTTCTCGAATCTTCTCGAGACCTCTTCGGGACCACGTGACCGCCCCTCGGCCCCCGTCCACCATTGGCCCCCCTCCAGTATCGTCCGGTCACGTGACAACAGGTCAGCCAGAGTGTCATGCCCCAGAGTAACCCTGGCTGACTGACGCTCGCTCTCGCTCCTCACTGGGAGCCGGCACCCGCACACTCCTCGCGGTGCCACCGCGCTAACAAGCGCTCACCCAACCAACGCTAGTGTGGGTACTGCAGCCCTCAACCCGGGCTGCCCGTAATGACATTACCAGCCGTGACTTCGGAAGCCCGGCACCATAGTGACAATAACAGTCACAACACTACCATGACCTCTCGCAGCAACCTCCACCGTCAACAGTGTGATTGTGTAAAGCGAGGTGCAATGATTACCTGGCAGCCCTTTAATTGGTGAAAACCCACCACCAGCGCCATCGTTGCTCACTACTACCATCACTTAGTAACATTAGCTGCCCCGCCCATGCTGCTGACACTTGGGCTACACCCATTTTAAACCTTTATAAAGTTTGCCTTTAGAGGCGAACCCCCCTTTTCCTGATGACAACCGTTTGTGTTGCGATCGAAATGTCGTGGTTAAACGTCGTGAGAATTTTATTATTTTATCAATTTATTATTTTATTCTCATTCTACGTGACTTTACCGAAAGAACCAAAGAAGATGTCGTGGTTTGTTTTTAACTTTATTTTTTATGTTTCTATCTACGTGACTTTACCGAAACAACCAAGTAATATGAAATGGCGTTTAACACAATTCTGGTACAAGATCTCGGTGCAAATCAATGCCTGCCACCATAAGATGCCAATTCCCGAAGTGGGTAAAATCGAGACGTGGTAATCGATATTTGGAAGCCACTGGCGCTGTTACACCTAGATTTAAAACTCATTGATTTAGAACTTATTTTTGCCTAGTTCAGTGGTTCTTAACCTGGGTTCGATCGAACCCCAGGGGTTCGGTGAGTCGATCTCAGGGGTTCGGCAGAGCCCCCGCCACGGAGGTCCGGACACACTTGAATTATTGTGTAAATTTGTGATGACACACGGCCCGCTTGGCCATCACTGGCTGCAGATGATCATGCTACACTGCTTGGCCAATCAGCGCTGCGGGGAATTTAGTGCGTACTCAGTAGTCAACGTGTGACTGTTGTTGTCGTACGTCGTGTGATTTCTTTAATATTTTATCCATACTAACTATGTCGGGCAAAAGAAGAAAGTGGTCGGACGAATATGTACAACATGGATTCTCATGTATCACGGAACGTGATGGGAGTGAGCGTCCTATCTGCATGATTTGCAACGCCAAGTTGAGCAACTCTAGTCTTGCACCGGCAAAACTAAAGGAACACTTCTTGAAGCTGCATGGAGACGGGGAATACAAGAACACAACACTTGCTGAATTCAGGGTGAAGAGAGCCAGATTCTATGAAAGGGCCACTCTGCCTGCTCTTGGATTTGTACCTGTTAACAAACCGATCCTGACAGCATCGTACGAAGTTGCTTACCTGATCGCAAAGCAGGGCAATCCACACACCATTGGTGAAACACTTGTGAAACCAGCTGCATTAAAGATGGCGAATCTGATACTCGGAACAGCGGCCGAAGGTAAATTATCCCAAATTCCCCTTTCAAATGACACTGTCAGTGACAGAATAGAAGACATGAGTAAAGACATCTTGGCTCAAGTAGTCGCGGATCTGATTTCAAGCCCGGCAAAATTCAGCCTTCAACTCGAGGAAACCACAGACGTTTCTGATCTAAGCCAGCTTGCTGTTTTTGTACGCTATGTGAAAGACGACATGATAAAAGAAGTTTTTATTTTGTAAGCCTCTTACAACAACAACGAAGGCAGCCGATGTGAAGAAGCTTGTGGATGACTTCTTCAGAGACAACAATCTTTCATGGGATATGGTTTCTGCAGTTTGTACGGACGGAGCTCCAGTCATGCTGGGAAGAAAGTCTGGTTTTGGTGCGCTAGTAAAGGCCGATGCACCACACATCATTGTGACGCATTGTATTCTGCACAGGCATGCGTTGGCAACAAAAACCTTACCTCCAAAAATGGCAGAAGTATTAAAAACTGTGGTGGAATGTGTGAACTATGTGCGAAAAAGTGCTCTGAGGCACCGCATCTTCAGTGAGCTGTATAAAGAAATGGGCTCTGAATTTGAGGTACTTCTGCTCCATTCTAATATTCGGTGGTTATCCCGGGGACAGGTGCTGAATCGTGTTTTTGCCATGCGTGTGGAATTAGCCCTGTTTTTGCAAGAGCACCAACACTGCCATGCATATTGCTTCAAAAATCCTGAGTTCATTCTCATTTTAGCATACATGGCTGATATATTCGCATCTCTCAATCATCTCAATCAGCAGATGCAGGGTGGTGGAGTCAATATCATGGAAGCGGAAGAACACCTGAAGGCTTTTCAAAAAAAGCTAACGTTATGGAAACGACGAACAGAGAACAATAACTTCGCAAACTTCCCGCTTCTGGACGACTGTGCAAGTAAGATCGAAGATGTGTCTGGAATCGGAGATATTTCTGTATCCACGGAACTGAAGCAAACAATTGCCACGCACTTAGATGAGCTTGCAAAGTCTCTCGACGGATATTTCCCTACAAGAGAGTCATATCCAGCATGGGTGAGACAGCCGTTCACGTTTGCTGTTGAAACAGCAGATGTCAATGATGAATTCCTCGACGAAATCATTGAAATTCAGCAGAGCCAGGTTCAACAGCAACTCTTCAGAACAACAACGCTCTCAACGTTTTGGTGTCGACAAATGAACAAGTATCCAGTTATTGCTAAGAAAGCCCTGGATTTTTTTTATACCATTTGTTACAACATATCTTTGTGAGCAATCCTTTTCGAGGATGCTGGACATAAAAACGAAAAGGAACAGACTTTGCTGTGAAAATGACATGAGTGGCACTTGCCAAGGTGAAGCCACGCATATCTGAACTGATCTCTCAAAGGCAACAGCAGAAGTCACATTGATTTCCAGGTATGTAATTTGTTGTGAGTTTATGCATTGTGTTGGTTTTATTCTTTGAACAAGGTAATGTTCATGCACGGCTCATTTTGTGTACCAGTAAAAAACATATCTATGTCTTGAATTTGAAAAAAATCACATTTTATTTTTCACTAAAGAGGGGTTCGGTGAATGCGCATATGAAACTGGTGGGGTTCGGTACCTCCAACAAGGTTAAGAACCACTGGCCTAGTTTGTTGTCCTTCCTGCGCACCTCTGATTTGCACGGTTGGCGACGTACAGTGCGAAAGAAGTCCACCAACATACACAACCCAAGACACCCCCCAAAACAAATGCATTAACTCTACAATATACTGTACATTTAATACGTTGGTATGGAACTGCAAAGAACATGAATGGTGGCTGGGTCAAGGAGCTAACGATGTCACAGGACTGAATTTGAATCTGGGTCTCAGCCAGGGTTGCCACCTATCCAGGAATTGGCATGTGTTACGGTGGCATGAATTGATTTGTACTATTCTGAGATCTGATGACATTGTGTTGAACTTTATTATAGTAGCCTCCAGTTTTGATGGCCATAGGCTGCAAAATGTCTGGGTTTCATCTACAGTGGAAAAGGTGGGAACCATAGTTTAAGCCGCCCTGTGATTAAAAATGATTGATGATTGGGATTTAATGGTGTAATCCCAACTACCAATGGACACAAAACACCATCACAGAAAAAAAAACTAATTTTCAATTGTATGAGAAATGTTACAAAACACACGCAGATGGCAACGATCAGATACATAAACCACTTTATTATAACAGCTATATGCAGACGTATATTGGGGTGCCATCATTTTAAACAAAAAATGAAAACCGGTGGTTTACATTTTAACATATTAACAGGTTTTCGTAGCAATACACAAGAGTGATTACTAATGTTCCTTTACACTACAGGCCATATTCCTTCTTGACGAAACAGCCAAACCATGAAAAATCGTACGTAAAGGCACTTTCGCCAACACTTGAATTGGGCCCCTCATTTATACTAGGTTGTATGTGCGATTGAGAATGTTCACCGAAGTAAATGTGTCAAATGCTGCAATATTAGCAGTAAAAAATTATATACGCCAACAAATTATTGTTAACATGAGGAAGTGTACATTCGCCGAAACTCCCTTAACAAAACAGCAGATTGTTATGCCCCACATCTAATAATTTGAACACATTTGAAAATCTACTAGCCTGAACGTCTATTTCTATTTTTAGGAAGATACAAAATTCGAAAATGAATCATACGTTAGCTAATAGGGTTGCCATGTTTTGAAAAATAATAGCTTGTTTTTTCTGTTGTTACAAAAATAATAAACGATTAATGCAGCTGCGGTGTAAGAGTGCCGCTAAGAGACGTGGCGAGGCGTTAATTTGAATCTTTTATGCACACAATCAATGCATCGGATTGCGTGCATAGGAATTGATTATTCGTTTACATTGTTGTATTTAGTTGATGTATAACTCTGTAGCCATAATAGATTCTATACAACACAATAATAAATTGTTTCTTGAAATGAATGAAATCCAAGTCATGATAATTCACTGAATTATGAGGCCGGGGGTGGTTGGCGAGGGAGGGGGGGGGGCGATTTGTGACATGCTTAGCCATTATGGAAAGTATGAGCTCCCGTTGTTTAGAAATTGACATCATCCAAGTCTAGACCAAAGTCGTCATGTTCGCCAGGTCACTCAAAGTCCTCGTCGAGGTTGATGTCGGATGTATCGATGTTCTCGTCAATCTCCAGGTTGTCCAGGTCTTCCTCCAGCTCCTGCAACGTCTTCACGATTATCACCATCGCATCATCTTGCCAACAACATGCTACAAAACTCCCCGGCTGACTTTCCCAATACCAATAAAAAGCCAAGGGTGGTTTTCCGAATTGGGCTGTGCGTTCGAGCATTTTTCCTTTAAGCTTTCGCCATGCACCACTCATAGCGGGCATCTGCAGGCATTGAATATTCAGCTACTAAAAGCTTGAGAGAATAACTAAACACGCAGCTCACACTGTACTTGGATTACAAGGCGCTGCAAAAACTGTCGAATTACGGTGACATGTAGGTTTTTGAAGCCAATATTATGATTCATTTTTGGGTTAAGCCACCATGATACGAGTAAAATTTCTGTTGCAAGACCTTCCTGGCCACGCAAAAGAGGCAAATAAAATTGTCAGACATACAAGTGTGTAACGCGCCATTATTATAGTTTCAGTTTCCCGTTAAGGTGAAAATTTCTCACAACCAAATGTAGCAACTGAATCTGACGTTTTGCTTGAAGCAATGTCCAATATGATCCGGATAAGTTGCTGGAGGTCGTAAATAACAATACAGCAAGTCAAATCTGGTTTAATATGATTTGCAATTTACCTTTTCCTCCTTTGAAAGAACAACAGGCTCACTCTTGTGGATGTCCTGCAGAGACAAAGGAGCTCACTGGGTTATGAGTCACGCCACTGCACATGTGCTTCTGGCAGTGGCATTGCTCTTCCCATGTCAAAAAGCTGAAGCCAGCATGCAGCAGTGGGAAACACCTTCCTTAAATGTGCATATTAACAAAAGACCAGCAGGAGTGAAAAATAACCTGTAAAAGAAAAAAAAAACATGTGCTTTCCAAAGGTAATTAGAGGAAAGCGTTAAGCTTCAAAGACTGGGAGGGAAAATGTTGCCTTTCAGATGCAATGCAAGACTCCATTCTGCAAGAAAGCTAGAGGGAAGAGTAAAAGTGATTAGGTGGTCATCACAGTCCAGCATCCCATAGGAATGCTTTATTGGAGCTGCACGTTCCAACAACGCCAGCCATGCAAACGAAGAGATCAAGAGAAGCAGGTAGAAGTTAAGTTACACATTGGACCAAATGAATGGGTTTAACGCTAAAAGAACATTCACATATCACAAGGACTTAAACCCTTGCCTGTTTACATACTAAAGCAATAATAACTAGAATTATATTTTTATGTTCCTGTAAATAATTGTATTTAATATTGATTTGTTTATGCAGTATTTAAGGTTTATTCTTTAACGTTGTTTTTTTCACCGATTTCTATTTGGTTGTTTTAACTCGGATTTCTATTTGCTTCATTATTCTACTCCGATTGTCACGGTTGGCTATGTACGGTGCGAAAGAGGTTCAACATACATACATTTAATATTGCTTGTAATTTTGCTGACAAAAAGTCACTCTTGTAAATAAGACTATCCTGCTCTCCTGAGTCCTCACTTGGTTAAAAACTCAAAACTATAGCAGATACAATGACTGCCTGTTCTAACATTCTGCCACTAAAAATCGACCATTACTCCGGTTTCACACAATTTCTCAATTAGCAGATGCGACAGATAGGGGAGTGCGCAACAGGGGGACATGAGGAAGAGAGAAGCGGGGTAAACGGAAAAGTGGGACGGCTGCTCGGAATTTTGGGAGGCCTGCATAAAGTGCTGAGGGGCGTTAGATTGTTGTGTGGTTAAGGTCGACACGCACTGCTGCCTCGGCTCCAGCTCCGGGTGTGCAGTCATCGCTGTTAGCGGTGACCAATTCAAGATTTTTTTTATCCGTGTCCTCAACAACATCAGCATCATCATCAGGGTCATTGTCGTTTTCTCCCTGCTCCTCCGCTGCCACATCATCCTCCACCTCCTCTTCCACCTCCTCCACCTTTTCCTCCTCCTGCACGATTGAAGGTTTTTCCTGAATGACACCAACAACCAACTGCGGGAACCGACCGCCAGCAGAAAACGTTAGTGGCAGAAACAACATTGCCGCTTTTCCTTGACCAATGATGGGTAAACATGAGGCTTATTGGTAGACAATTTACACAAATGACAACATAAAATACAAAATGGAAACTAAACTGTTCAACTTAAGTTCTGTAAATCAACAACGTAGAAAGCAATACAAATGGCTGCGATGAAAATCTATGCATGTACTGTACATCAAAAACATTCTGGAAACATTCAAGAGCAAACTCTGAATGCAACACAAACCTGTTTAGCAGCTGTCGTCTCTTTGGGCGTGTAGCCCTTAGCCTCCTCAAGAACGTTGCGTTCTTCGTTTGGCTACAACAGACAGCAAAAAAAAAATCAAAGCATCTCGTGTGCATTCAGGAATCTCACCAACCCCAAACCCAGACTTCCTTTATAACCACAGCAGCACCACCACCACGCACAGCCACTGGGTACACAACTTGCCGTGACGATAACTGCCAGTAACCGGTTCAGAAATCACTCGCCAATGATGTTAAACCGTGGCTAGGAATCAAACTCAGATCACTAGATTCACTGTCCCACCAGTGTCAAGCACTGTACCACCATTCCACCCCACATAGTAAATGTTAAAAATATTGACAAAAGTCAAATACTACTCACATATGTGGACATTTAATGATCTCACAGGCACATTGAAACATGCCGCAAGTCTCAACTAATTTACATTTCTAATTATAACACATTTGCATGACATCTGCAACTGTTACAGATGAGAGTACATTTCAATTAAACTGGCGCTATGCACCATTTAATTATTTACATATGTATCATGTATTTTATTGAGTGTGATATTCATTATATGAATGTATACTGTATAAGTGATAGATTTTAAACTGTAGATGTGTCATTAAGTTTTTGCTGTCAATCGACACCTTGGACGCCTTTGCAAGGGATATTCTCGGTGAATATTTGAACTAATAAAAAAATATTTGACTCATCATAGATTTTTGGGTTAGATCATGATCTGGTAAAAATTGAGTTGTGAAACCCTCCACCACCCGACGAAACCAAACAAATAACAATATCATGGGGTAAGAGCGTTTAACATGACAATTATTATCGGTTAAACTCACGAGCAAGTTTAATAACAATTCCCATCACCAAATTTCGCATCCTCCCAAACCAGCAATTCAGTTTAAATGTGTTACCCGAGCAGGCTTCTTAAATAGGTGTTGTGATATCACAGGAACAACCAAGTAGATTTTAACTATATATGAACCATTACTAATGTATCCATTAAAAGTGTACTCCAATAAAAAAAGACAAATCAAAAATATATTACCGATCAAAATGTTGGCTACGTGTTAATACCTACTATAATCACCCAGGAATGTCTGTCCTTAACGCTCATGACGTCACTCCACATCGACCAGCCCCCTCATTAATAATTATACGGTGACATCCTCCAAATGGACACCCCCCCCCCATTCATAATAATTAGCGGCCGACGTCACTCCACATGGGGGGCCAAGGCGCCTCCTCCCCCCTACTCGGCGTCAACTTACACCCCTCACTACAAAGGCAGAACCCTCACGTCACGTGATCTCCGTAACGCTATTAAGACATCAAAGTAAAAAGGACGTCATGATTAACAAAGGATAATAACCTTAAAATGAAATAGGTCAGTGTCACCGCACCCTTAAAAATTGCACACGCATGAATGCAATGAATATCACGTTGCGGTCTGCTTTTCGCTTGCAAGTTTCAGATTTACTGCAATACACCCGTCCTCGGACGGGCATAAGGTTAGTATAAAATATCTGCATTACTACAAACACATTCACAAGGACTGGGGGGAGGCTGAGTGGGGGGTACAGACCGTCACAAGGGGGTACTGGCATGCAAGCCGTGTAGAAGATGTAGTGCGCAGGTAGAGTTCGCCAGCGGCGGCCTCGCGCAGGCCCGGGAAGAGGTTCTCGTACTCGGTAGGGTCGGCGAGCGAGTCGGCCGCCTTCTGGTTGCTCTTGGCCAGCGACTCGCGCCACAGCTTCACTACCCTGTGCCATACAGCCACCCCACTTCCTCGTCACCGACCGTGCTCCGTTAATACATTTTTGATTTTCGATTGGTGGCCGATGAGATGTGTAAATTATGATGCTGAAATTATGCACAAACAGAAGGCCATGTGGTTGATGGGATGTGTGAAATATATTGAAAATGGAGGGACAGATACGGATTAGAGGTGACTTGTCTGGTTACTTATTTTGTTACTTATATTCTCAGCAACGATACTAATTATGTTTTTGTGCTCTCAAGAAGGTCCATTGCCCAAAACGTAAGCCTGTAATATATGTTGATGATATGAGGCCATGCTCAAGACGAACGAGTTTAGATCTAACAAGATAGATGTATACTATTTGGTTCTTTCGGTAAAGTCACGTAGGTGAAAAAAAAATAATAATAGAAATAAATAAATCACGACGTTTCGATTGCAACACAAGCAACCATCATTAGGGTGTGATAACCACAGCAATGATTTTTTTTACTAAAGTGGGAGAGAGACCAGGGTTAGGGCAGTTAAATGTCAAGAGAGGGGGAGGGTAGGGGGGGGGGGTGAATGCTGTGGTTATCACACCTGATGATGGTTGCTTGTGTTGCAATCGAAACGTCGTGATTTATTTATATTTTTTTATATTTATTTTATCACCTACGTGACTTTATACCGAAATAACCAAAGAGTATGAATCCTTGCAGTCACGAAAACTTCAAATCTAGAAAGAGAGATGTATGTATGCATGCTGAACTTCTTTCACACCGTACGTAGCTAACCGTGATAATTAGAGGTGCGGGGAAGGACAACCTAAGCGAAGGACAACAACCTAAGAAGGGAGCACCCTGTGAGAAGTGTTCGAATCATTCACCTTGACACTTCGCTGGGCAAGTATGTGCGGGCGAGGAAGGCCGCCTCTGGCAGGCGATTGGTGTTGATCAGCACCTCCAGACACTTATCCAGGCTGCAGAGCACACAGGGCATTACGTTTGAAGCAGTGATTTTCATAAGCATTGTTACATCAAGTATTTCCTCACTGAAGTTATCTTCAAAAGATAACTTTTTTCACCCACTACAAGATAGTCAAAAGTTGATTTCCTGCTGAAATTAGCATTGAGGCAGTGCTTAATACCTGTTAATAGCCCTGATCTAGTGTGGAAATTCCACCTTCCTATCTGTAGGACAACTGTTGTTGGCATTTCCAAAAAGTCGTACTTATTTTGCCTGCCCTGGAGGGATGAGCACAACCTTGGGGTACCCTAAACCTGAATAGCTAATGTGTGCGCATTGCCAGCTAGTGTCAATCAGTACGTCCTTTCACTTTTGAAATTCATGATCTCTTTGAAAGGCAGACCTAAATGTTCGTTAACTTTATGCACCCGTTGTAAGTTGACCACACACATTGCCAGAAACCAAATCTACAATACGACTATGAAAATGAGGAATGTGAAAGGCACAACTGGTGAAGATGATTATTACCCAGGAAAGCCTCACTGAGTCTCAACTCATTGTGAAAGGTCTTGTTATTTTTTGTAACGAGGGGTGATGATTGCTATGTGTTTCCCATTGAAGATATTTACAGTGATTATTTTTATTTGGAAGATTTGGACCGTGATGTCGGCACCCACACAATAGCCTACCTTATTCGAATGATGTCACAGGGCCTTTAAACACGCACTTCTTTGAGTGAATCAGACGGCACAAAATATTTAATGGATCATATACCCGCAGTATTAACCCAGGTGGCCTGGCGGATCGAAGCACAAACCTTTGCAACAAGCTGTGAATGCTTTACCTGTGGGTCATGTCACCGTCCCAGCACACGTGATGGCGCTGCCAATGGCTCACTGGTTACAGTGGTGATAACACAAATATAAAGCTTTTATTCAGGAAATGCTTGCTGATCCTCAACTTCTGTCATGAGGCGCCAGCATTAGAATGTGGTTTGTTCAGTTCCCTTGTAATGAGTGGCAAATGCGCTCCCGCTGGGCCATGCCATTTCCCAAGTTGACAGTGATAACGGCAGTGATATGGCCCAACGGGGCAGGTACATGGCTCAGTGATAGCGTGTTCGTCCCTTGTTGTAGAGATCGCAGGCTGTCCTGGTAATTACTGCAGGTGTATTCACTGTTAAATACGTGCCGTCTTCTTCACTTACAGTGGAATTTATAGATTCCACAATGTCATTCTAAAATAGTGATCCTCTGTGTGCCTTCGTCATGATCAAATTCGAAACTTATCTGCAAATTTGGAAACTGAGCAACATCGCCTCCCTATGAAACTATTGTAGACTGTCTGTGAATCATAGCAGCGTCTTCTTGCGATAGCCCTGTGTTACGAGGACAGGGCGGCTACCATACGTACTAAATGATTATTTATCGTTATCAGAAACTCACTTCCCCTGCAGGAAGTAGGAGAGGAAGGCGACGTTGTTCTTGCCATCGCGCTCGGCGCCCTGCGCGAGCCGCGTCACCATGGCCTGGTCCGACGAGGCTGTGGCGAGCAGAAGCAGGCCGCCGTAGTCCTGCGCACGGTGCAGGCACTCCTGCGCCAGCTGGAACTGACAGCGTGACGTCGCCAGCTCCGCCAGCTGCTTCCACTTCTGCTCAGACTGATGGGGGAGTGGAGGGTTTGGAACAGATACGGAGAAGACCGGAAAGTGAAGAAAGTGAAGGTATGAAGAAAAAAGTTAAGTATTTTACATGCTTTTATTTAACTCACTCTGTTGTTGTTGTCATATCCTCAAATCTTGTAACTAAATTTTAACCCACTTCCCAATGTGCTATCGACTGCAAACTTGGTATACTTATGTCATACTTATGACAATACTATATTCTATCAAATTTTTTTAAATATATATTTTTTAACATTATTTTTTTATATGTTATGTTTCGCCTTGGGTCTAATTGTCCACGCTCAACTGATGTTGGCTGTAAATGACCATGGTCCCTTACGTGATGGCAAGCTTTGCGGCCACTTCCTGGAGTCGTGGAGTTCTGCCATTACTCGTAAGATATATTTCATTAAAGCGTGTTTAAAAAATAGTATTTTTAAATATTCCTTATTACATATGAATTCTTAGATCTGCAGAATGAGGGTTTTTTGTGCAGTTATTTGTGAATGGGCAGAGGCCAACTCACAACACTTCAGAAGCTGGTTGAATGGTTTCCTGGGTTCGAATCCAGGACCTCGATGGTTCTGGCTCATTGCTCTCAAAGAGTGAAGCCTCTTGAGATACCTGGCCACCTCAAATGCATTATTTAAGTTGGTCAAGTTTCAGGCAATGACCCTATATGAAAAGGGGTTGGGTACCTCTGCCTCAGTGGCGAGCTGGTACGCAATCTTCAATTCCCCGAGCTGCAGCGCCAACTCAAAGCGGTGCTCGGGGTCACATGATACGGCCAACGCCTGCGACTTGAATCCCTGTGAGGCGGAACCGAAAATCCCATGTACACACGTCACTAGAGTGGGGGGGCACGCGCTCACGTACTCAGTCCGCAGGGACTCACCTCCCATTTCACGCTCTCTTTACCTGCTTCATCACTTTTCCACACTCTCATTACACTAATTTTTCCATCACCACACTTTTTCCCTATCTCATAACATATCACACTCTCCTCCACCTTATCGCTCTATCCTTGCCCCATCATGCTCTGCCAAACATCTTCATGATCTTTTCGCCATGAAAACAGCCTCACCATCCCCACCTTGCTACATTCTTTTCTGACCAGCATTGCACTCTTTTCTTCTTTAACAAACTCTGCCTAAACTCATAAAACTCTCTTCTCAATCATCATTCTCTCCCCACTTGGTCGCTTTACCCCTGCTTCATCACACTTTGCCCAATCTCATCCTACTATTTTCTCCATCATCTCACTCTCCCCCACCTCATCGCTTCAATCCCACTGTGCCACACTCTCCCCCACCCTTGTCACTCTCCCCCACCTCGTTTCTCCATCCAGTCTTACTCACCTGCTTCTCCAGGAAGTGAGCGACGCGCGTGCGCTGCTCCTTGGGGATCGTGGGCAGCACCTTGTCGGCCATGTCGAAGTCGCGCCGCATCACGGCCGTCTGGTACTCCAGCACGGACAGAAGCAGCGAATAGCTCACCATGTTCAACTCCTTATCGCCCAGGTACAGCCGGTTGTCCTTGGGGATGTAGCCAAGCAGGTACATCGTCCTATATGGCGACGCCGCCGCAGGGTGGAATTATGTGTGAAAGAGAGTACAACAACGATAATCAATGATTGCATTTATTTAAATGTTACTTTATGGTAAAAACCTTTCGGAGCCGGAGCCAGACTCAAGTAAGCTGGAGTTCGGCGTGAACTGGAAAGTCTTTACCTGTCCAGATGTGCAATGGTGACAATTTCGCCGCCCACGTAATAGTTGAGGCGGTTGACTGAGTTAGTGTAGATGAAGCAATCCCCGACCCACAGGCCGGTCTTCACCACCTCCTGGATCTCGCCCAGCACCTGAGAGACCAACATCTCAGTAACCTCTCTCACTAGTGCCAGTGGTTGTGATGCCGATGGTACACTAGTTACAGTGAGGGAAAAAAGTATTTGGTCCCCTGCCGATTTTGTACGTTTGCCCACTGACAAAGAAATGATCAGTCTATAATTTTAATGGTAGGTTTATTTGAACAGTGAGAGACAGAATAGCAACAAAATCCAGAAAAACGCATGTCAAAAATGTTATAAATTGATTTGCATTTTAATGAGGGAAATAAGTATTTGACCCCCTCTCAATCAGAAAGATTTCTGGCTCCCAGGTGTCTTTTATACAGGTAACAAGATGAGATTAGGAGCACTCCCTTTAAGAGTGTGCTCCTAATCTCAGCTCGTTACCTGTATAAAAGACACCTGTCCACAGAAGCAATCAATCAATCATATTCCAAACTCTCCACCATGGCCAAGACCAAAGAGCTCTCCAAGGATGTCAGGGACAAGATTGTAGACCTACACAAGGCTGGAATGGGCTACAAGACCATTGCTAAGCAGCTTTGTGAGAAGGTGACAACATCTTCTTTGGTTCTTTCGGTAAAGTCACGTAGAATGAGAATAAAATAATAAATTGATAAAATAAAATAACACAATAATATTCTCACGACGTTTCGGCCACAACACAAGCGGCCTTCATCAGGTGAAGGGAGCGAGACTGTCTGGTAGGACAGCGCTGGAGTGAGAGAGCCACGCTCAGATCACGGCTTTTAAGCTGTGTGAGAGGAACAAAGAGCCTTGACGAAGGAATTAGCATAAAATTTAGCATTGAAAAGGCTGAATGATTAGCTTGTGACTGGTCACAGAAATAGCTATGTTAAAAGTTAAAGCATACACCTCCGCAGAGGCACCCATTGTTAAAAGGAATTAGCATAGAATTTAGCATTGAAATAGCTAAATTAAGGCATTCGCTTGTAACTGCTACAGAAATAGTTACGTTGAAGTCAGAGCATACACATTCACCGAGGCACTTAGTACAAATCAAAACAGAAGAATTTAGCATTGAAATAACTAGGCGAATTTAGCATTGAGCTATTCACAGTACTATATAGTGAACCAATAAAAACTAAAATATAAATTACCTTCATGTTATCAATAAACTCTATATTCTCCAATCAGCTAAGCTAATATTCGTGAGAATATTATTGTGTTATTTTATTTTATCAATTTATTATTTTATTCTCATTCTACGTGACTTTACCGAAAGAACCAAAGAAGATGAATCATTGCAGTCACGAAAGCTTTAAATCGAAATTTAAGGTGACAACAGTTGGTGCGATTATTCGCAAATGGAAGAAACACAAAAGAACTGTCAATCTCCCTCGGCCTGGGGCTCCATGCAAGATTACACCTCGTAGAGTTGCAATGATCATGAGAACGGTGAGGAATCAGCCCAGATCTACACGGGGGGATCTTGTCAATGATCTCAAGGCAGCTGGGACCATAGTCACCAAGAAAACAATTGGTAACATACTACGCTGTGGACTGAAATCCTGCAGCGCCCGCAAGGTCCCCCTGCTCAAGAAAGCATGTACACATGCCCGTCTGAAGTTTGCCAATGAACATCTGAATGATTCGGAGAACTGGGTGAAAGTGTTGTGGTCAGATGAGACCAAAATGGAGCTCTTTGGCATCAACTCAACTCGCCGTGTTTGGAGGAGGAGGAATGCTGCCTATGATCCCAAGAACACCATCTCCACCGTCAAACATGGAGGTGGAAATATTATGCTTTGGGGGTGTTTTTCTGCTAAGGGGACAGGACAACTTCACCGCATCAAAGGGACGATGGACGGGGGCCATGTACCGTCAAATCTTGGATGAGAACCTCCTTCCCTCAGCCAGGGCATTGAAAATGGGTCGTGGATGGGTATTCCAGCATGACAATGACCCAAAACACATGGCCAAGGCAACAAAGGAGTGGCTCAAGGAGAAGCACATTACGGTCCTGGAGTGGCCTAGCCAGTCTCCAGACCTTAATCCCATAGAAAATCTGTGGAGGGAGCTGAAGGTTCGAGTTGCCAAACGTCAGCCTCGAAACCTTAATGACTTGGAGAAGATCTGCAAAGAGGAGTGGGACAAAATCCCTCCTGAGATGTGTGCAAACCTGGTGGCCAACTACAAGAAACGTCTGACCTCTGTGATTGCCAACAAGGGTTTTGCCACCAAGTACTAAGTCATGTTTTGCAGAGGGGTCAAATACTTATTTCCCTCATTAAAATGCAAATCAATTTATAACATTTTTGACATGCGTTTTTCCGGATTTTGTTGTTGTTATTCTGTCTCTCACTGTTCAAATAAACCTACCATTAAAATTATAGACTGATAATTTCTTTTTCAGTGGGCAAACGTACAAAATCAGCAGGGGATCAAATACTTTTTTCCCTCGCTGTACAACCATCACTATTATTATTGTTAAGCTTGTTTACCCAGGAAAGCCCCCACCTAGTCTCAAAACTCTTTTTCAGGAGACTCAATTTTTGCTGTACAGTTTCCCAATCAAGTAATTAGTGAGTCATTTTTCTAATTTGGCATATATGGACCACGATACCGGCACACGAAGGCCTACCCTTCTTAAAATTACATCATGGGATCTTTAATGTCCACTGCGAAGTAAGTGCACATAGTATTTTATAGTTAATGCACCTGCAGATTTAACCAGGACAACCTAACCGATCATTATTGAGCACCTCTGAACCACCTCAGCCTTTGTTTTGCAGCCACGTGATTTAGATTCAGAAGGGTTGCTTTCATCATGATGCATCTCTGCCATTGTGCCTGGTGGCAGGGGGAGTGGTGGTGGAGGCTAAGGCACCTCGAACGCATCCTCGACGCCATCCTCTGTAACGCCCTGGTGCGTCTCCTGTGCGGCCACCACCTTCTCCGAGTGGTACCGCAGGATGAAGAAGGAGTCCTCCGTTGCCAAGGCGACCAGCTCACCAGAATCCGACCAGAAGATCTGTGGTTGGAAAATGAAAAGAGAGCACAAGTAACAATGCCATTTAATTAAGAGTCTAATTTAACACTAAATCGAAACTAAATAATTTGCCACCACTTTAAAGGCATGTGTTGCCCGTTTGTCAATATTACTTGAGAGTTTTAGGGAATATGTGTGTACCAATGTGAGTATACTAGTGAGTGAGAATATGAGTGTGTGGGCGAGTGTGTGGACGAGTGTGGAATACATTTTTGGGCTGGATCTCAATGCGTCGGACGAGCTCTGTGCTCTCCCAGTCGAAAAACGCCAACCCACTCATGGAGCGCACACCCAACAGAAAGCCCCCGTAGATTCCTGGCAGAGGACATCAATCACGCAAACCCACGTATTAATCACCCAGGCAGAGCGATGTTAAGAGAGGGGCATTAGCCGCTCCATCGGCACATTGCGTCTGGGAGTGGATAAATTAAGCAGCATAGGTTCAACACAAGCTACGGAATGGCTTCAAAATCCAGTTTTCATCAGCAGAGTCAGGCTTACTTAAAGCAAGTCCAGTTATGCACTCCCAGAAGGCTGTTTGGCCAATGAGATGTGTAAAACACACTTATTTTTTATGTGGAGGGACAGATATGTGACGGAGGAGTATTGTCTGCTCATTTATCATGTTACTTATATTCATGATTATTTTGTTGAATCTAGTGAAGTAGTGACGTTCACGATCAATTCAATTACCTTCTGCTCCAAAGTCGGGTTTGAAAGATTTCTTCTCCTTGAAGTTTTTGAACAGTTTCACAGTGCTGCTGTTCTCTCGAATAGCGTACCTAAAGCGTAAAACATGCATGTGAGAAAATCAAAGTGGGGTCACAAATAACTCAAAACCAAAGTACTAACACCCTCAAGTTATTTAATCCTATCTGCTGGAAACCATTAAAGACTCAGATGAGTAGAACATAAAGCACTAATTAATAAATTGTATTAGTTGAAAGAAGTACTATATATATGAAGACCATTGGCAAGCAGGCATTAATAGTGATAATGTACTTGCATTTGTATTGCATCCATAATGTTACAAAACACCTCAGTGCACTGTTTTTAGTCTAGGGGACCACCCTGTGGTAGCTGTGCCTGTGCAACACAAAGTGTCTCAGCACCGGGCTGCAAATGGGTAATTAGCCTGCAATTGGGGTATAATGATTGCAAGGTGTAATGATCGCTACGTGTCATCTTAATTGTGATATTTTTACTTTTATTACAAATCATACCGTAAACCTACTGAAACAAAAGCTTAATGATTCACAGCAGCACAATGCCTCCATTAAACTGGGCTAGAAGTGCGAACCACCATGCGCCCGATTCCATTAACGCTCGCAGCATCATGGAAAAACCCACTTAAATAGAGATGAGTTTCAGATGAAAACATATCGAATATTCAGGACAATTTCGTATCTGAATTTTTTTAGATAATTTACATTGTTCCGTATGCATGCGTCAGCACACCAGCTAATGTGACAGTACCTGATGCCACGTATGGCTATTTTTGGCAGGAAAAACGTGGAAGTGATTGTCAAATGAGTCCCATCACTTCCAATTTCGAGTCAATCACAAAACAAATTTGGATAAAAATGTATTTTCTAGTCCTGACTGAGCTTAAGAAACATATCATTTAGGTAAAGAGTTCAACCAGATCTTGACTGACAATGAATCACTTCGGACCATATTTTGCTCTGGACAATGGTGATGAGATGCCAGCTGCCATGCCTGCCAACCGCCACCGCTGATCCCACATGCAGGAAACCCTCCAAACCCCCCGGCCATTGGCGCTCGGGAGGGCCCCCCGAGACAGCGGCACTTACTCAGACGAGTCGTGGGCCCAGACAAACTCCTGCGCCGAGCCAAAGCTCTTGTTGCGCAGAGCCATGGCAGTGTAGATGATGTATTCCCCGTCACCGCACACCACCACGAACCTGGGTCACACACGCACCGTCGCTGTATGTTAGCAGCTATTTCACAGGTGTCAATTTTAAACAACAGTTTAATTATACATTTTCGTTAGGAGTGGTGACATTAAGTTGTCTTAAGATTTGTCATACAGTGAATTGATTCAAGTTATTTCTTGTTATTTTTTTACATTTTATTTGTATTGTTGCTCATTCTTTCTCAGTACAGTATGGTATGTCAAATCGGCCAAATTCAACATCAGCAAATGTCTTGGAAATAACATTAAGTATGATTAACTTATTTCACACCGTACATAGCCAACTGTGTTAATCCTTACACAGCCAAACGTGTTTCAAATGTACATCCCTTTGCAGCCAACCACTATATTTCCTGAAAATAACAATAAGTAGTCTACTGGTTTCCTTAGAAAATGTGTCTGAAAGCACGAACACAGCATCAGCAGCTGGCCTCACCGGCCGTTGGGGTTGTGCGAGATAGTCTGTGGGTAAATCTCGCAGCTCCCCATGTCCTTGACAGCCAGAGGCAGCCGCTCGCCATCCTTGATCTCCGCCTCGCCCATGGCCTTCAGATTGGCCTGTTGCACTTCAGAGTGCTTCGCCCAGATGATCTTGCCGCTCGAGTCCATCGACATGGCCGGCTCCTCGCGTCCCAACTGCAGCACCATGCAAAAACGGCAGCAGCAAGCTCAGCGGGCAGCTCCACTTTTAAACGGTGCAGGTCTCCTGCACGTAACTTTGTTGCACACATGCTACCAAGGTTGTGCAGTACCTTGTGTTAAACAATGGAACATTGTTGCTTCTGAATCATACTTTATTCTTAGATTAGGCCATTTAATGATCTTGTTAAATTCATTTCGTAAGACCCTCCCACCACCCGACATAACAAAACAAATTAAATTGTCATGGGGTGCGAGTGTTCAACACGCCTATTAATTTTGATTTAAAGCTTTCGTGACTGCAGTAATTCATATTCTTAGTTTTTTCGGTAAAGTCACGTTGAAGAGAAACAACAAAATAATAAAATATATAAAACAATAAGAAATATATTGTTATATACATTTTATTATTTTGTTGTTTCTCTTCAACGTGACTTTACCGAAAAAACTAAGAATACGCCTATTAATGTTTAAGCTCAAACAGGTAAGTTGAACAAAAATTCTCACAACCAAATTGAGCAATTTTATACGTGTTTCAATTGAATCTGCACAGAACCACTTTAGGACAACAGCCAAGAAGTTGAGTACAATCCAGGAATTTTTTTTACATTGTGATACGATTTGCAATTAATGCGATGATATAAAATATATTTTTTACATTATTGCAGTGTGTTTCAAGCAGGAATCACAATGTAGTGTCCTGAGCACACCATGCCACCAATAGCTGCCAACCATCTCCTTGGAAGCAAAGAAATAAGGCTATGACGTCCTTGGATGACACCTCACTCGGTATAACACAGGGTGGGTGAACAGGCGCGTGTGTGCGCAGCACGAGTTGGGGAGGCAGGAGGGGCACCTTGACAATGATGCTGCCCTCGTCGTAGCCCAGGGCGATGGTGTTGGAGCCACGCAGTCCAGACACACACCAGGCGCGCTCCATGCCATAGTTTAGCGTGCTCTCCAGACGGTAGGTGCTTGAGTGCCAGATTCGCACCGTACCTGCATACCACAGTACATATACTAATATGTTCATAAAGCTACTTTTTACAGGTACTCAAAAGCATTGTACATCACGAAAATAAAGTCTCTTTACATAACAGTGCAATAATCACCCTATATCCATTTTTTGTTTCTGTAGCTTAATTTCACTCTGAACGGTTTTTAAAAGTAATAAACAGAGCCATCGTTCACTTTGGAATTTAATTTAATGTTTATTTCCTATTTACATTCTGTTCTCTGACGTGGTTGTTTTTTGCCGATTAGTATTTGGCTGTTTTTGCTCTTATTAGTATTTGATGTAATTGCTTCAATTTATATTTTTTCATTGCTGTAGTTATTTTATGTTTCGATTTAAAGCTTTCGTGACTGCAAGGATTCATCTTCTTTGGTTCTTTCGGTAAAGTCACGTAGAATGAGAATACAATTATAAAATAAAACGTTGTGAGAATTTTATTTGTTTTATTTTATTATTTTATTCTCATTCTACGTGACTTTACCGAAAGAACCAAAGAAGCTTATTTTATGTTCCTTTTTCCATTTTGGTGACCCACATCGCTCATGCATATGAAATGGTTTCTTCAGGTTCTGCTGAAGTAAGTGCTGCTCGCAAGCACCTTTTAAGGCACACGAGGTGGTGGGGTGTGGTCAACAACATATTCAGCCACCTTTGTCTCCTCAGAGCACTGTGTACTCATTTTTTTAAAGCTGATTTAGAGAAGACCGGGCCAGGTTTGTGTAAAATTAAAAATATATTTTATAAATAACAATTAATATTTATGGACCTGAAGCTAAACACATGGAATTTATATTTAAATGACACTTGGCAGGCCAATGTTGAAAAGTAAATTGACGCACAAGGAAACAATAAAAATACACGCACGACAAATAACTCCCTACCACCAATTCAACTCCTGACGATGCCTGCAGTCAGCAATTCTTCGTGAAATCTTGAGCACAAATACCCAACATGCGGTCCAGCCTGGAAAACTTCACTTAGACCACCACCGAATGTTGAGTGCGTACAACGCACCGTCCTCGGAGCCGGTGATGATGATGGGCAGTTCGGGGTGGAAAGAGACGCATGACACGTTCTGTGCGTGTCCCTCCAGTGTTTGGACGCACGTCTTGTTCTGCAGCAAAACCAGGCAGGCAGCACATCCCGCTCATCGACTACCATTATTTAAAAAAACTAATTTAAAGTCAAAGTCATTTCTGACTCATGTGAGCAATGCTTATCTCTTGTTTAGAGCCCTTAGGCAGCAGTGAGAATTTCACATTCCCATGGTGGGGGTAAGTATATTCATAGGACAAAATTCATGTCATACTCTTTGGTTCTATTCGGTAAAGTCACGTAAAAGTATAAAACAACAAAAATAAAAAATAAAATTCACGACGTTTCGGCCACCGAAACGTCGTGAATTTTTTTTTGTTTTATACTTTTACGTGACTTTACCGAATAGAACCAAAGAGTATGGATCCTTGCAGTCACGAAAGCTTCAAATCTAAAATTCATGTCAGCTGAAAAAGCAAATACAATTATTTATCAATTAAAATATTTTACATGGATAATCCCTTGAAATTGAACATTTAATTTTCAAGGGGTTACAGTTTATATTTCACTCCTCACACTTCCATCTTCAGTACCTGGTAGTCCCAGATTTTAACAAGGCGGTCATCGGCACCCGAGATGAGGTAAGGTTTATCGCCACCGCTGTAGTAGTCGACGCAGTTGACCCCTTTCTCATGTCCCTCTAGGGTGAAGTTCGGGGTGGACGAACCCAACTGCCACACCTACACGGGGCGGCACGGTGTCCCAACGCACCAGTACACACATCCCACACACATTCAGATTTTATTATTATTTACTGTTACACAAATTTACTCTGGAAATTTTCACTGAGATTCACAGATCTTTTTCAGGAGGGTCCTGCCTACTTTTAGCAACAAGGGGCAATTCCACAAATAATTCCCAATTGAGTACAAGCAAACCTCGCTTCGTGCTCAAGATGCGTTCCTGGAGAAGTGAGTATGAACAAATCAGCACAAAAAGGGGTCATTATACCATTGCATATATGGGGATGGATTCCTGACAGCGTTATTTCTCTCGTATAAGCAACATTAATGTTTAATTGGGGTATCGGTAATAGCGTGAATGAAAGAGAGAGTAAACATTGTTCCAAAATATAAGTTTTTGAGTTAGATCATGTAAATATATAAATGTGTCGTTAAAACCTGCCACCACCCGACACAGCCAACTAGTAAGGGTTGTCACGTAAACAGAACATGACAGTTCGTCACTAGTACAGCACACCAGTGTGGATGATATTGGTCGCGAAAGCCTCCGTGTTAAACATTGTTCCATTAAAAAAATGTATAACATTAGTATTATGTACTGTACGCAGGAGTGTATTCCACTGTACTTCTCTTGCAAGGCAGCGGTGGGAGACGAGTTTAGAGACACTGCTGCGCTCCCAATCTGGGTCACTCAGAGAAGAGATCCAGGACCTCCGTAATCTTAGTGATGCCCTCAGTCTACATTTCTGTGGTGAGGTTTCATTAAGGTGGAACCTGAGACTATCCTGGTCTCGTGAGTTTTCATCTGGCGAAACATTTAGATTTTTATGTAATCATGACAACGAATCATTATAATCGAATCAGAGGGTGCGGGGTCTGGTTGGCTGAGAGTGTAAGTCGGTCTCATTGGCTGAGTACATTGTGGGGGCGGGAACATTTACAAGGCCAACACTGCTGCATATTCTCACTCATAAGCGCTTCATAGATTATCTTTGCAAACTTTTTCTCCAGGACAAAGAGTACTATAACGTATCAGCGTTTTATATCGTCACACTAAGTGAGGTGTGCCTGCAATCTGCAGGTAATTTTTCAATATTGGGACATTTGGCCAATACCAGTTACATTGTATTTTTTGTAGCTATGAGAGGAAACCAGAGAACCTGGAGGAAACCCATGCAAGACAGGGGGAGCACGTACAAACTCCACGCAAAAAGGCACCCAGTCAGAAATAGAATCCAGGTCCTTCTTGATGTGAGACACAAACGTCATCACTGTGCCACTCTTGCTACAATCAACAAATGTGTAGTTTTTGTTTCTTGAGATGTGGTCACATTCATATAAAGTCATAACTCGGTAAACGACCGCTTTGGAATACGTCGAATTTGGTATACGTCGTGTTTTGACGAGAAAAAAATGTCTTGGGATACGACGTCTTGCTTGGGATACGACGCGCTTGCTAGAACTTTTATGGGTCGGGATGAGTCACCGCGTCCCCGCGTAGACCCCGTTCACGACTGAGACAAAGCGCCGCTCCTCAGTCTGCTGGAGATCTCGTTCAGTGCACAACCCTTGCTGTAACTTGTGAATTTTCACGTGTTTTTTGTCATTTTAACTCCTCTCAGCAAGGTCAAGTGATGTTAAATTTGATTTCTATTTCAATTTATTTTAATATATTTATGCATTTATCTTAATGTATGTATGCATTTTAGTACTGAGTAGTGTCTAAATAATGTTATACAACCCCATTAATGTATGTCTTGTAAAATATAATTTCTTATACTCTGGAACTGATTATTTCCTTTCCCTTCATTTCTTAGGGGAAAAATTCGTTTGGTAAACGTCACTTCCGGTAGAAGGCCTCCTACCTTCTGGAACGAATTAACGACGTATACCGAGGTACCACTGTACTTTATAAATGCACATAGTTTTGTACCTTGATGGTGCGGTCGAGTGAAGCGCTGGCAAACTGGTTGTTGTCCTTAGGGTTGATGACAATTTGCATGACGTAGTGAGTGTGGCCTTCAAACACCTGTGAGCACGTCCACTTCTTCTCCCAGTCCCACAGCTTGATGAGCATGTCATCTGCAGTACCGCGCCACACATTAACCCCGTGCACAAATTAATGTAAGCCTGGCTGGTCTCACGTGACAATTGACCGTTTCCAATTTTTCTCATTCCACATGTTTACCCAGGAAAGTTTCAGGACTTTTTTTCAGAAGGGTCCTGCTAATTTTTCCAAATCAGCAGGCAAGAATTGCTCTTTCCAAATGAAGTAATTTGCAAGTAGTTCAAACTTGGTCAAATTTGAAACATGACACCAGCACACAATGGCCTGCGCTTCCTTGAATGTTGTGATTGGAGCATACGGTGCGTAGTATTTTATTGTCAGTACACCTACATGATTAACCAGGGAGGCCTGCCAGCTTCGAACCGAGAACATCTGTAACAAGCAGTTAACACGCTACCGCTATGATGACTTAAAGCTTTTGTGACTGCAGGAATTCATATTCTTTGAGTCTTTCGGTAAAGTCATGTAGATAGGTTCAAAGAAAATAACAAAAAACAAATATTTTTTTTCAACCTATCTACGTGACTTTACCGAATGACCCAAAGAATATACCGCTATGATATGTCACCCTCCCTAAGAATACAGGGTTATAGTCATCATCAGCACTGCGATGGAAATTGCCGACAGTGTCTGTGAGGGTGCCACACACCACTGCTGGTGAGTAGGAAGGGCTGGCTCGGGTGCACGGCGATGCAGCGTATATAATCCGAGTGAGCCTCGAACATGTGCACACGCTCCAGCGTATTGTAGTTGAATACACGGATCTGCATGTCATCCTGAGGGCCCAAACAATACACAAAGAAATTTAAACTCATTCCCACTGTGACCAAGGCCGCTCATGTAATATATCATCATTGTCCACCATGATCAATCCACTGGTGGATGAAGGTATCCCTCAAGCTGCACTAATTTCTTACGGTCTTTGCGATGCAACAATCCACCGAGCACCTGTACACAAATGGATTTCATCACTTCATCTCCTCGGTGGACATACTTTTGGACACCATCCATTCCTTGGCTGCCACGCCACTATTATTCTTGACCATCATCCATCATCCCTTTTTGTGACGTGTCTTGCACAAACCCACTTTCTTTACTTAATTGTTTGTATGTTGCCATTAACCGGTGTATGTTCTCTCATCCATGTGTTCTCCCCTTTTAGTCTCTCAGTGTAATTCCACTTTTCAGTTTTTGTATGTATTTTCCGTAAATGATGACATTCGAACCATATGTTGTTACAGCCAGTAGTACACACCGATTAAAAATTGGTAAGGTATTTCTTACTGTCAATTTCTGATGTCAAATTGCAGACTGCCCCACTTGGTCCTCAAAATGGAAATAATAGTGAATGGCATCCCAAACATAACAAGTGACATCACAAACACAACACAATTCAATACATACTTCACGAACATCTTCCCTCAAATTGATCTACTGGATTTAGCAACACCTAGTATCCCTGTGCATGGACAGCTACATTGGAAAACAAAGCTCTTGGTAGTTGTAGCCTTGGCAAGTGGAGGTTAGTTAAACCACTGGGCCTTATTGTACAAATGTGAAAACCCATAAGCACTCTCAATATAAGTAAAACTCACTCAGCAAAATATGACACTCACCGAGCCAGCAACCATCCAGTTTTTGCGAGCCACAAACTTGGCAGCGCGCACTGGCAGGTCGCACACCTCAAACGTCTTCACCAGCGTCTACACACAAAATAAACAGACAATAGCAGATACGTAACAATAGCAGGTATGTAACTATTTGTAGACTACAATATATCATACAATATATCGTTAGGCTCACAATACATGTGTAATGACAGGGTGACACCTGCTGGCCGGGAAAGGGAATCACGGGTACGGGCACGGTTAAAGTAACAACCAATCAGAGAAGGAGAGGTATCTGGATCACAGGTAACAGGTGGGGCGAGCCGAGATACTCCGTAACCTGCTCGAAGGTTCCACGAGAGGGTGTGGCCGGAGGCGGGGCCTAGCCGCGCCTGGGAGGATAGAAGTGGGAGGAGACCCGGGGCTCGGGGTTCGTTAATGGGTTCTTGGGTCCTGACTGCGTCGCTGCTCGCCGACATCTCTCTCAGTCATCTGGCCACGTGGAAGATATCGTGCGGGGTTTCCATCGCCATCATCGTCACGCCGCCAGCCAGCAGCGTAGTCGAATGAGGGCGGTGGGACCACGCCGAGTGATCGGCTGTGTATCGCCAGTAGAGATGTTAATATCTAAGTGTTGTACTAAGAGTGAGAAGAATAAGTGTTGGCCTGCGTGGTGCCCATGTGTGAGAAATAAATAACAAGTACCCTCTACACGACGTGTCGCAGAAGTCGCTCATTACACATGGATCAAATCGTGCGAGTTAAGAGCCTACTAGTTTAGATTGTTATACATTTTATATGAGTGTTTCTTGCAGAGTAATGGACAAAATAATCAACAGAAGAATTCAGACAGACATTACAACTGAGAAAAAGGAAACTAGACATACCATATAAAAGAGGGGAGACAGTACAAATAAGATGACATCTCAGACAAAACAGATTAGACAGTACAAACAAGACAAAGGAATAATGTTTATGTTATGACTCCATTGTTAATCCAAGAAAGCCTCATTCAGTCTCAATACTTTTTCAGGAGGGTCCTGTTAAGTTTTTGCAGTAAGGACAAATAGTTATTTGTATAATCCCTGCTAAGTTTTTTTACAATCGGTTGTGATTGCCGTTTTCCAAATAAGTGATTTGTGAGTAAGTTACAAACCTTTACAACAAGAAGGGAATGTGCTACCACTGCTCCATCTCACCGCCCTATGATGACCCCGAATGGTGACAATATATACAGTATCTCATGGGAATGGTAGGGGACTCTATATAACAACACGCACAGTCAATCGCATACTGTTCAACGGCATAAACTGCCAGAGCCGCGTCAATGAAAAAGCGCGAGCACAACCGCACCTGTGTCTCATGGTTCCACACGCACACACTGCCATTGTAGAGGCTGGCCAGCATCCATGGCTCGCTCGGATGTAGGTCCACACACTTCACGCGGTCTGAGCGTGCTGTTAGCTTGCGCTTTATCTCCAGTCGCAGCGGCTGTAGGGGAGTAAACGCGGCAATTATAGCTGGAGCTAGGTGCAGCACTGTACTGTCAGTTTCATATTCATGCACACAAACTAAAAGTTTGAGTGTCTCCATACTCAAATGAGCTTTCGGCAGTGCTAAATTCACTTGTGGTCCAGAACCAGGAGTAAAAATTCCATATTGCCATGATTGCCCACAAAGTGTTGATACGAAACTGGGATTTTAACTCATGGCCGTCGAACTGAACGTTGAGTGCGCTGACCAAAGTGCCACACTTTATGTTATATTATTTCTGTTTCTGTAACACTGATCGCTTAATGTGATTTAATGAACACAAGGGGAGAAAAAAATCACTTCACATGATTTATGCAATCAAATAATAATGGAGCAGTTTTAAATAATATAATTTGTATCTCTTATATACATTTTCTCAAAGCTTTTCCATGATTAAACTGAATCTACTTGAGAAAAATACAAAGGGAAATTCCTGTGTTGCTAAATCACCATCTGGCCCTCTCACTGCATGATAGTCACATGTAAAAGCCTTCCCGAAAAAAAAACCACGTTAAAAAATTATATTTTATTTTTACCACAAAATGTAATTGTATTGTATCGTGTGAGATTCAGATGCAAGTGATTTCGCAGATCAATAGCTCTGAAAGTTGAATTGCATATATACCCACCCATTAAAATTATATTTTTGGAGTAATGTTAGTGTATTTGGTCCATGGTTTGAAGTTCGTAGCCTTAGTTACATACAGGAGAGACTTTGTTCTTCCAAGAGAAAACTGTTGGACAATGCCCCCGAGAAAGTAATGCCACGTAATTACTTCTGAGTTCCCTTCCATTGCCTCTTGTCCACATTCAGTGTTGCATCTTCTAACATGCCCTGTTATAGAGGCGTTTGCTGAATGGTAGCAACATCAAACAGTGTTTAGCACTCACTGCAAGCCACTTTAGCCGTTAAGACATCAGTGCGAGGGCCGCCACACATTTGAAACAATTGGGTTTGACAGCGTGATGGCATGCGTCAGGGGCCGCACTGGCGGCCACCAGTGGCCCGCAATAAAGAACACTGGTAATCGTCCATCATTATTATTTTGCATAGGTTCGGAAATGCTCACCGAGTCGCAACCCTTTTCAGGAGGGTCCTGCCAAGCTTTCACAGTAGTTCGCGACGATTGCCGTTTCCCAATGAACTATTTCCGGAATCGAACTATAAACCTCTGCAAAATGCGCTACCGCTGGGTTATGTCAATGCACGGTACACTTGAGAAGCTCGCAAGGTAACTCTGACATGATGCTCGGTGGACACAGTCAAACAGAGACCCCCTCATCCAGGGCTCAAATAGAGAATCTCAGCGCCGCCTGTGTCCGACAATGGCCATTATGAACCACCTTACCCACCCCACCACTTCATTTAAGGTATTTTATACGCTGTAGCTCACGTCACGTTACACAACGTAGGGATCTAATTTCACAACCACCATATGTTAATAAGGCAGAATTAAATAAGCATAAAGAGGTTTTATGTTGTAAAAAAATTAAAAGTTCAATTAAAATCAAACACTGTTCAGACTCCAGACGGCCCACGATGGGCTTCGCCTAGGCCAGACCCCAAACCAACTAACCTCGACGCGTGAGGAGTGTGACTATAATCGCTGTCGCCCAAACGCTCACCACCGACATCTGTAATTGTTGAGTGTTGTGTTAACTAGTGTAATTGCAGCGGCTCTGATTGTAATGCTAATAGATGTGCCACTCACCATTTCGTCTCAGCTGATGCGGCCCCACCAAGACTGTCTGACGTGGAAGTAACCGGGTCCAGCTCTCGCGAGACTTCGGTGACTGTGTTCACAAGTAAATGGATCCGGCATGAGGTATCGCGAGATGTGTATCCCGCGTCGTACGCGTTGAGACCGAGCAGAATTTTCTCGCGGCCATCTTGCGTAGGAAAATTCCCAAAGAGCCGTTAACATTAACGACTGTTACGGCATCATCCCGCGACGTGCCGGCGTCGTGATGTTGGGTCTCGCGCTCTACTTCCATAAACAATATGGCCGCCTTTATACTCACTATCTAATTCCGGTCCCCGGTTTAATCAGCAGTTGCTTGGCAACTCTGGCATCTCATGGGCCGCGTGCAGGTTGCAAGTTGTGATCGCGTCCACGCTTAACTTTCCACATTATCAGGCGTCGATTAAGCCACTGGTAATTAAAACGTGTCGTAAGTAATTGTAAAGGGATTAAGTCAGCGAGATCGGGGCATTCACGAATTGTAGTTTGTTAGTTGGGGTTTTGCCTTTAATTGGGACCCGTGATTGGAACTTCATGCTGGTGGTAAAAATGCTGTTAAGCCTTCTTTGCAGTTTCAATTTAAAGCTTTCGTGACTGCAGGGATTCATATTCTTGGTTCTTTCGGTAAAGTCACGTAGAAGGGAAATAATAAAATAATACAAATAAAATTATAATATTCTCACGACGTTTCGATTGCAACCTTCTACGTGACTTTACCGAAAGAACCAAGAATATACTTAATTGCAGTGTTCCACTTTCCTATTGATATCAACTTTGTTCCGTGGGCGCCCGCCGCCAAAGGAACGTGCCATTTCCACAACTGGTCAGGTCTGTAACCAGGAGCTGAGCACCGCCTCAATGTTCATTTGAACAGGAAATCACTGCACTTGTTTCTGTTGATAAATCAAGATAGTACATTTTCATTGAAGCCATGTGATTGGCGCCTGTTTGATGTTTTTAAATAATAATGTTCAGCCCTGGACGAAGGCCTACGCACGCCTCTTCAGTGAAGTGATCACGCGTCACTGATGTCAGCCGTGGCCTCGAATCGAACTCGGGTCACCGGCTTCGTATCCCAGTGCGCCGATCACCGTACTACCGCCCCAGTCTGACTCTTGATTACCCAGGAAAGCTTGTTTCAACTCTTTTCTCATAAAAGTTCTACCAAGTGTTTGCTCTGCGTTTACCAATAAAATATAATTTGTGGTATATGTTTTCAAATTTGGCGATTTGTGATGGCGAGGCCGGAATACAATGACCTACTCTTCCAGTTTAGTTAGAACCGTGAACCTCGAAAACAAGTGGCGAACATGCTCATTCTGGGCCATATCACCGACCCTTAATTGCTATGGCCGTGTCCTCCGCAGGGCGATGCGTACGGTGAGCGGCCTCGTGGGCCTGCGCTTCGTCTCGCTCTGCGCACACACGGTGCTCGTCGCCACCGCGCTGTGGGCCGCTGTGGCATTCGGCTGGCGCTGTGGGGACGGCGCCCTGAGGAGGGACTGCGCGGTGCGTGTTCGGCCCGGGAGCCCCGACACGAAACCCTCCTCTGGGCGGGCATCTCTCTGGGGCTCAGAACTCCCAACTCAGTAAACCTCCTCTGTTATAGTTGCCCACCTGTCTGGGAATTGACGTGTGGCGTGGCAGTCAATTTATTTGTACCGAGTTCTGGTACCGGTAGTGTTGAACTTCCTTACAGTAGAATGCAGTGTTTATATACATTGGCTCACAAAGAAATATGGCCCGGTTTGGTCTAAAGTGGGAAAAGGTTGCGACATGGGATACCAATGTTGGTCCATTCTTGATGTGTTCTAACCATCAAAACGTTTCTTAAAATGTCTCCATTATATCATGCTCCACTTTTCTAAAAGCTTAACTTCGTAGTGTCTGTCTGCATTCACGGTATTCCTCTTCAGCTCATTTCTGCAGCATCATCCATCCGTCTTTATTTTCTCCCTTCCACTTGTCTGGCCTCGCAAGTCCTGGGGTTGGTTGAACTCGCACCCCGCTTCCTCTGGTCTTAGATTTTTGCACGGCCCGAACTCACATCTCCCCATCCCGTTTTATTTTCAATACATGCCGTCAAACATACATCTTGGCAAATGTTTACCAACAATACGGCAAAAAGATAAGATATACGAATATGTGAACCAAACACATGATTTGGTGATGCTGCGTTGGCAATGGTGCGCACAAGCACTCGACACATTTGTCAGTAACACTATCTTTAAAGGAAAACGAGGTGAAAATGTGGGCACTGGCCATTCTGGTGCGCTATGAAGGGCCATTGAACAAAACGTTGCCTGCTATATTTTTTTCCCCCTTTTAAGTCGGTGTTGTTAACAAGTCTTTAGATTTAAAGCTTTCGTGACTGCAAGGATCCATACTCTTTGCTATATCGGGGAGACGAAACGACATGTCTCTGACCGAATTCGCGAGCACAAATCAGATTTGAAACACGGCAGAACGAATTCTTCTGCCGTAGCTGATCACTGTTACAACACTGTGGGTGATCACGATATAATTTTCTCCGATACCAAGGTTCTTTGCAAACCCACGGGTTTTTATCAGAGATTTGTTCAAGAGGCAATTCAGATTTACAAACACAGACACAATTTCAACCGAGAGGATGGTTTCAAATTAAGCAACCATTGGAAAGATGTTTCAGAATTAAACCAAACATTAAACTAATTTTCAATGGTACAGTATATTTTTTCAAGTAGTGGTATCCCAAACGTTCGCAGCTGCTTAAATTCCTTTTTCACACCATCAATATGTAAACTCCCCCCTCCCCCCCTCGCCGGTCTGCACATGCTCCCCCCCTGTACATCGTTCATCATGCTAAGTCCGCCAATTAAATGCTAATTTTTATGATAATTCCTTTGTCAAGGCGCTCTGCTTCCTCTCACACAGCTTAAAGGTCGTGCTCTGAGCTTGGCTGTGTTCACTCCAGCGCTGTCCTCTAGACAGTCTGGTCCCTTCACCTGATGAAGGCCACTTGTGTTTGTGGCCGAAACGTCGTGAATTTTTTATTTTTTGTTTTTTACGTGACTTTACCGAATAGAACCAAAGAGTATAAACAAATCTTTAGTTTGTGAATGTGAATCACTTAATGTCCCCATTGGTTACCCACTCTCATATAGCTAACTTTGCTCCTTTTCACATTTGTTTCAGGAAGAAAACCTGATCGCCTGTATTCCAGTGCCGCGCACCACAGAAAACCAGACGCCAACGAATGAGTAAGGATGGGCGACTCAGAGCTCTCACGTCCGCACATTTCACCCATAGCTATGGGAAGAAACTGGAGAACCTGGAGGAAAGGTACCCTAGTCGAAAATCAATCCCAGGCCCTTCTTACTGAGGTACAAGTGTTGCCACTGCACCACCCTGCTTTATCCATTGTAGACAGACAGATGACCTTTGTTGATAGCCAGGCCAGAGGTCACAGAGTCTCTCTTTAAAGGGAGACCTGGGTTTATTTAATACAGCAAAGCAGCAAATTCTAATTTGTAAACAAAACAATGTAGAATTAAACAATTAAAAAAATACAAAACAATTTTAAAATACAAGACAAAACGTGTATATGTATGGACTTTGTAGCACTCTTCAACATGCATTTATAAGAAGTATTAAAAAATATGATTCCGTACTACCTGCTATGACATGTTCATAAACATGGACATTACTGAAGAAAATGGAAAGTAAACTAAAAAATGTCAAACATGGTAAGCTTGGAGTTACATTGAGACAAAATGAGGAACACCTAGATAAGAAAATACAGGTTTGACATAATCCAAACTTGAAAAAAGTGGGCTTGGCCAGAAAACGTAAGGACGATGGATGGGGGCCATGGGGGCGAACACGCCCAAGAGGACATACACCGTGGGGGTGGAGTAATTAAATCAGCACGTGTGCAGATGCGAGGTGAATTTTCTTTCATTGCTGGGACTTGAGCAACAATTGTGGCTTGTGGAGGCCTTCATCGAGCTGTGTATTATGGCGGCTGATGTTAGATTTTGAGATAGATAACGAGATATAACATGCAATAATGTCATGTGTAGTGTGACATCACCGTGGGAAAAGTCTTCCCATTTAATGTTTACTTTTTAATCTCCAATTCTTTTATACATTTTCCCAGTTTTCTGTAAAATAACCCCCGAATAGCAATAAGTTTACATTAAAATATTAATTTATATTGGATCATCTTTAAGATGCATGACCCCATGTTACAAGCATTTGGAGAGAGCTAATGCATTAATGCTTTTAAGCTTAGTTGGAAAGCCTAATATTAGATAATACAATGAACATGTTCAGACAATAAATCGTAATTGACAATACACAATTGACAATATACTGTTTGTAAAATTTTTTTACGGTCGAAGCATTTGTAGTTCAATTGGAAAATTGAAGATTCATGCACTTCATGGTGGTTACTCACTTTCAAAGCTGTAATTGAGATTCTGTTTTGAATGTGCTATATATGCTTTTTACCGATGGAATTTATTCCCTTTTGTTTTACCCAGGTCACCTTTGTAAAAAAAAAATCTCAATGGGTTATCATGGTTTCTCAAGATTATCAACGTCATCTTTTAGAATTATTTTATTTCACCAGTTTTATCTGACATGGTGGTTTAACTGGTTGTAAGTTGTGCCTGCGTGTGCACCGGTTGGCAGGGTGGTGATACCGCTGGCGCTCACATTGGCTGCACTGGGGGTGGAGTGGATCGGCTTCATCACTGGGATGTCCGTGCACAGCAGCTCCCAGAGCCTCCTCTGTATCCACACGCTTCCAGCACCTGCACCACCGCCTTCTCACTTTCACCAGATTCGTATTATTCATCCAGACGTGGTCCTCTATGCCTGTGATCCATAGCTTTAAAGGCTGATGGATCGCACAGATCTCTGATGATCACAACTCTGTTGGGCTGAGGTGACCAAGAAATTTGAGTGCAAGGTTTTTTGAACACATTTGTGCAGATCTTTGAGTGTTACCTCTTTATATTCATGGGTTTTTTTGGCTTTCTCCTGCATGCAAAACACTCATTACAATTTAATTAACCAAACATCTCATTGCAGAACCCTCCTAAAGAGGCTCATTCATGTCGCCTTGTTCGTAAGCTAAAAATCGAGGGTATTGCATGTTAGCCAAGGTAATTTAATACTGACATCGTGATCATGCTCCTTGGCAGAGACATTGACCAAATGGCGTGACGCAATCCACCAAGCTTTAACTGCGCTCCATGAACGTCTAAATTCTACCATAGTTATTTTATATTAGATTGCTTTAAGATGCTCCTGCACTAAGTGAGTTGTTCTGCAGCCGAGTGGGAAGTTATGACAGTTCTTGACTTGCATTTGAAAGGTTGTGTTGAAATTCTAGTCCAGCGTTGGCTTGGCCAATCACCCACGAGATTCAGTAAAATACCACTTTGCTGAATGTCAATAGTGGCCATCGTTGGCAGATTAGCCCCTTCCCAAGGAATCTATAATTTTCTCCACTGGCTAAGGAACTCCAATGGTGACGAACATTATTACCATGCTCATTTTAGCAGGGAGACACTTCGTATTCGGAGGTCAAAGGCCAATTCCATTGGTACCACGAACTCGCCATTGCTTTCACTTTGTCGTGGCTATACCGATGGACTCTTCACACGATTGTCATTTCCGAGTGCACCTGTCTGAAACATACATGTGCTTATGTGCATGTCAGTGTAAGGTAGGTTAGGCGTCATGTAATCCTTTTACAATGATCCTCTCTGGACACCAATGTTAGACATTGAACCTTGACAATGTTAATTTGTGTAATTTGTCCATAATAAAGGTTTTTGGGTTAGATCGCGTTTATTTATAAATGTGTCGTAACCCTCCACCACCCGACACGGCCAATCAGCAAAAAAAAAAGTGTCACGTTGACAAAAGACAAATAATTCACTACTTCAGCCCACCGGTGTGTTGAAGAGTTAATCCACATTTACAGTTTCTGGCGAATTGCCCGATGATGCTGGAAGTATTTACCAGCGAAACGTCGTACTCAAACTGTAAATGTGGATTAACTCTTCAACACACCGGTGGGCTGAAGTAGTGAATTATTTGTCTTTTGTCAACGTGACACTTTTTTTTTGCTGATTGGCCGTGTCGGGTGGTGGAGGGTTACGACACATTTATAAATAAACGCGATCTAACCCAAAAACCTTTATTATGAATAATATTGGTCGCGAAAGCCTACGTGTTAAATTGTGTAATTTGTAGTGGCTTTCAAGAGGGTCGTCAGCATGCTTAATTTGTACATGTGGATAGGAGTCCTCTTTAATGTGAGTCGTCGTCTTCTGAGAGGCTGAGCTGTAATCGTTCTATCGGCGATGAGCACCTTTACTTCCCATTTAATTAAAGTTGAGCTGAGCAATGGCTACATTTTCATTGTCATATCGAAGCAAATTGGCAATTCTAAATTTCCACAAAGTGACATGGTTCGTTTAATGTGACCTATTTACATAAAATTGGTCTGCAAGAACACTTCGATTTGCATTAGCAAATTGTTTCCAAAATATTGCAAGGCCTAGCTTATTTCCAAGTCATCCAATAGGGAAATATAATGCAATTGTATATTTTCTAGTATTGGTGCTTGTTTGCACATGTTGTTTCTTAACGTGGATAACAGAAAAATAAGCAATGGAAGCATTGTCAAAATCCCCTTGACCAGCGTCGCGACCAGCCATCGGTTGTCACAGCAGCGCCGGCATCACGATGGCGTTCTACCTGTTTGACTACCTGGCCTGCGACGCCGCCTGGTGGCTCCTGGGTGTCTGCAGGTAAACTCGTCTCGCATTTAACAATAGAGAAAAGCGCAGGGTGAAGGCCCATTCAGCAATTTTAAAGTGCCGTCTTGACCTGTTTTAATATTATTGTCACTGTTCCAACAAGCTTCACTGAGTGAAGCGTTGAGTACTCAACTGGACTGCTTTACCTCATCCATACTGTATTTAACCACCACACTGCAGGTCACAACAACATTCACCTACCACTATATCACTCAACCACTCACCACACGACAGGTGACAACCATTTTCTTTTTGCTTCTTTCCTTACACTGCTCCAGTTTGGAATTCCCTCCCATTACCTTTTTTGTTCAACCATTAATGACATTTTTCAATTAAAGCAATGTATCAACTCTTATCTATAACTTTGATAGTGCTGTTTGTTGCTGGCCTCTTGACAGTTTGGGAAATTCGTCTGTGCCTGTTAAAAAATAAATATTTTCCCCAAGTCTTCCTTGAAATACAATGCTGGTCTCAAGTGCATCTCATTAACTACCTCGCCTGGTGTACAAGCGTGGGTTCGATCCTGACCCTGACGCCTGTATATTTGGTCACGTGGATTTTTATCCGGGTCCTCCGGGTTTTCCCTCCATTTATAAACTTGCGTTTAGAGTAATTGGCTGTTATAAATTTCCACATAAGCAACTTCGTTGAGCTATCATTTGTAGCCAGGTTGGTTCTGAAAAAGAGCTAGAAATCTGTGGCAGTACCAGATAAAATAAAAAGTTTGAAGTTTAAAGCTCAGTGGATTTTTTTTTTTACTTGTGGTTGGGAAAATCAAGGTTATGTTAGTAAACTATTGCACCATCTAATTGCATTCTTAGAAAACATTTGAATATCAGTTTCTGTATAGTACACTTTTCAAAATGTGAATACCTGATAGTATGTACAAGAAAATAATATTTAACTGACCAAAATAACAACTTGGTAAAAGATGCCAAGCTTTTCCCGAGGTCTCGGCATTAAATTAGCATTTGATGTGTTTAAACAGCAATGTGCAGGCGGAGGTAGCTCGGCATAGAACCATTGGCTGATAGCACTTGTCACTTAGGTCTATAAGGTGAAGAAGCAGCTTCAGTTGTTGTGTTTGGTCTCTCCCCACAGTGTGCCACCGGCCGTGCTGGAGGTGGTCGTGGTGCTCAGTCTGCTGCTCAACAAAAGGCCTTACTAACCATGCCACACTGATCACAGCCGCTCAGGTCGCTTGGAGAATTCTTGCTAAAGTGTGGTCGTGTGTCCAACATGGGCTAGCTTTATAGTTAAAAGTCAAACGAGAGTTCCTACTCGAATGAGCATCAAAGTAGAGCTCATTTGTTTACAACCCCGAGCCAGCGGTGAAAATGCTACATTCCTGTGATTGTGCAAGTCTATTGATTGGATAACCAAGTGGTACTAATTTTTATACCCCAGAGGGATGATGGCCTGAGTCAATCCCTAACTAGGATTTGAATTTGTAACCTCCTGATTGCGAGCCACTTGCTCTACCACCGAGCCATCTTCATAGTAGGCAGGTGACAATTTACTGCCCTGTGAGTCGATAAACTGTCGCAATTAGATTAAGAATTTCATTCTTGGTAGTTTTGATGGTACATTTTTGCTTGTTTTATCCAGTATTTAGTGCCGATAGTCTGCTAAAGAAAGCAGTTGCATATTTGTATACACAAATAATTATTCTGATTCTATTTATATTTCACGAGTAAAAAAAACATTTTCATGCTTTCTAGTATTCTGAGGCATGCTGTAAGCTTTACCCTAAATGAGGCCATCATGGCTATTATTATTATGCTTGTTTGCCCAGGAGAGTCTCACCAAGTCTCAAGACTTTTTCAGGAGGGTCTTGCCAGATTTTTGCAGGTGTTGATTTTGCTGTGTTCCCTCATTTGAGTAATTTTCAGTTTTGGGATGTTTGCCAGTTACACTGTGTGGCTTCTGTGATTTGGAAGGAAACCGGAGAATCCAGCGTAAAACCATGCAAAACGGAGAGAGAACATACAAATTCCATACAATAAGGCACCTGAGTTGGGAATTAAACCCAGGCCCTTTTTTGCTGTAAGGAATGAGTGTTACCACTGAACCACCCTGCCCCCCCAAGGTAAAAACGTCTGCCTACTCAAGCTCACATAGGGAGGTGCTCACCTCTATTTGTGGCTTTGAGCTAGATAGGGAAAATCCAAAATTCTATGATGGGACCAGTACTCCAAAGTATGATCAGCGTTGAGAAATAAATGTTTTTATAAGCTTGTAAAATACAACATAGAACAGATTGTACATTTTGTGAAAATGTATATTTGTATCATTTCTGGTTGGATCATTCATTACATCTGATTGACATGTGTAGCAAATGGCAGGGTTCAACTGCATATGGTTTGACTTTGAAAACTTATTACATGTGCTTTATATTATGAATAAATTCATTTTTTTATCTTGATAATAAAAAAAATTGTAATGGTGATAAGAGAAAAGTTTACACGTCTACCTTCCTTTTCCACTCTTGCGAGTGGAATTGTCCTGTTGGGTTGGCGCTTAATAAATAAGTCTTGCCTTTGTTGCCAACATGCTCTTTGTACAATTAAGTATCAAATTTTTAATGATCTCTAACGGAAGAAATACAAAGATATTCTAATTCAAACGTGATCTCTAACTACAGAGTTCTTCAACAGTTGCCTGCACTCGGAAGCGCTGCGGCAAGGGGAGGGGTACACAGGGGAGCAAGGAGGATTAGGGACTATCCTGAAGCACTGACCTGGGAAGTGATGTATCTAATACTTGAGGCGGCGCAGGGAGGGGAGGCGTTTGGCTGTCTGCACCCTGGCCGCCCCCCACGACAAAACCGGTGCGTGCAACGGCTCCGCTAGCGCACGCACAGCCGTTCACTTTCACTCCACAACCTTTAGTTCACAGTGCAACCGGGGTTTCAGACTGCACAATGGAGGACGGGGGAGTGCTGGGGAGGGGGGAGGCGTGATGGGAGTCAAAGGCGGCTGCCGGCACGAGATTTGAGGGAGGAAAATGGCCGACGCCAACGTATGTCCCTCGCGCGTGCGGAGCAGCTTTGCGACGCAGCAGCAGCATTGGTGTCTGATGCTGGAAAAGCGCGGTCCTGTCGTCCGACTTCAGGTGAAATGTGATCTCAGTTTTTTCCTTTTCATCGTCGTGTTGGGTATTTTTTGCCTTTTTATCTTTTAGCAAACGATACAGCATGGTGTACAACTGAAGGAGCCTTCCTTCCCTTCCTGGTTCACGGGGTCACGCTTCCTGTGAGCGTCGTGGTTTGGTGTGCGTCACTTCCTGTGCTTCTCTCGCATCCACGCTTGGATCCTCTCCTTCAACTCCGTTTCTGGATTGCACGGGAAAAAGAAATAAGCGCCTCAAAAATATGACAAGAATAACCATCTCTTGGATTTCCCAGGGCACTTGCAAATCAGACTCATCCAGTCTCTTTAGTCCTCACCTGGTTAAACAATACATTTTAAATAAAAAAAAATTTAACTTATGCTTGCAGAACATCACAAGTACAAATCCTGGTTGGGAATCGACACAGACCTTTCTATTGGCTAGTTACAAAGAGTACCACTTTGGATCACATACATTTATGAATCTCCCTCACCTGTGGGTGTCGAGGTCACAATCTCCTAGCTTAAGTTTAAAATAACACAGAAACGTGTACATTGTGCAAAAAAACATCAGCAATTGCTGAAGAAACGCACCTAATTTTCCATTGTATGACAGTGCTGCAACTAGATTAATTTTCATCTGTATCTGGATTGAGTGTTACCCCCCTCGTACCTGTGGATTTTCTTCAGGTACTGCCAGTTCCTCCCACATGTAAAAACACTCGTTAACAGTTGGCTAAACTTCCCAAGAGGACCGAAGAGCTTCGGAAATAGTTTGTGCCGGTTATGAATGCCTTCCCACTTGTCTGCTTGTAACAAAAATAATCAGACCGTACGCCTCCTGTGTATATTGTCTCCCCACAACAAATACAAGTGTTTTGTTACATATCTCATGTACCACTTTTTTCAGCAGCATTGAATTAATACAAGCAAACTTTGGACCGGTTTCGACATTCAGTGTTTCATCAGTCCAGCAGGCTGGGAGTTTCACTGCACGAGATATCTACGTGATCCACGAACCCTGCCTCTACTGAGCTGGATCGCAAGCATCAGCACGGAACGCAAGCGGTTCACACAGACAACGCCATGGCGGCGGCGTTACCGGTGCTCACCTGGCACCAGCATGGTCTCGTCGAGTGGCTGCCGGTTGAAGGGGTCGGTGTGCGCGTTGAGCAGGTGCCGGATGATGATGCTGCGGTCCATCACCTTGCCGCTCGGCAAGCGCACAGGGTCCCTCATCAGCGTGTCCATGAGCGGGTCTGTGCAGGGCGCACGCACGCACAGTGTCGCCCAGATCCATACAGCTTTACCAAGATGCACACGGCTTCACTGAGACACGGCGGGACCCCTCCTAAGAAAAGTCTTGAGACTCAGTCAGGCTTTCCTGGGTAAACTAGCGAAATGATAATAAACAAAAAATAATCAGCCCATAGGTCTTTTAGATCAATGTTTCCCCGTGGGGAAAAATTATAAATCCTTATCTCAGTGACGGGCAGAGGATCCCATCCCATGTGGCCTCGGCGTTTGGGCATGAGGCGAAATGACGCTCACCGCGGAACTCCTCGGGTGCATCGCTGTAGTCGTGGTCGGCCTGCACGTTGTGCTGCACCATCTCGTCCACACGCTCCGCCAGTAGGCGGAAGCGCTCCACGGCGATGGTCGTCTTGATGCCGGCCTTCTTCATCTTACCCACGGCATCCTCAAACAGCTCCTTTCGGTACGAGCGCTGGCCGCGGCACGTACAGTGAAAAAAACATTTGAATGCCCACCCCGCTTTACGAACTCAATGATTGTTTTGCTCCAACATCTCCCAAAATCATAACAGTTTAAGTATCCCAAGAGTTAAAACCCAAACAGGCACTCTTGCTCGGACACAAAGCTGCTTCAGCGTGGAAGAATCTCAAACTGAAACGTGCCGCCAGTCTCAACTTATTTAAATTTGCAATAAAAAAAATTACTCGTACAACATCTGCAACTGTTACAGCTACAGAACATTATATACAAACCGGTCATGTACACAAATTATTTGTTTGTCTTTAGCTGGGGAGGTAACCTTTGTATAAATGCATACTGTATACATGTAATATCAGTGGTGATGATGATGATAGCAATTCTGGTGGTGTTGATGTTGAAGACAACATCTCGTCATTGCGATGGCATAGTTATGATGCTCATGATGATAATGATGTTGGAGATGACACCTCGTCATTATGATAGCATGGTTACGATGATGATGCTCATGATGATAATTATGTTGGAGATGGCACCTCGTCATTGGCAATGGCATGCGCAAACTCGGGCGAGTCGAGGTGCAGGTAGATGTCGGTGAGCTGGTCGAGCAGGCGGCGTGGCTCGAAGCCGTATTTCTCAGGGCTCTCCACCTTCAGGTCCCGGCACTTGGGCCCGCACAGCTGCTGCAGGTTGAAGTTCAGCATGGCCGCCAAGCGATCAGACAGCTCCTGTAAAAAAAAAAAAAGACAAGGGCACGATGGCAGGAGGAGGAGACGCTGAAGGCTTCGCACTGGCGGTGCCGTGGCTCCGCAGCAACACGTTCACTGCTTGTTGCAGAGATTAACGATCCAAATCCGGCAGGCCACCCTCGTTCTGCGGGTGTATTAACTGTAAAATACTACGTGCAATCAGTTTCACAGTGGATGTTAAAGATCCCGTGGTGTCATTCAAAGAAGAATAGGCCATCATGGACCAATATTTTACAACTTTAAAATAACCTTGGATAACTTAAAGCAACATCTCTCCCTCCTGCGAAAACGTAACAGGACCCTCCTGAAAAATAATCTTGAAACTAAGTAAGGCTTTCCTGGGTAAACAAGTATAATAATGACAAGAATGTAACACGATTAAATTAGATTTTTACACCCACAATAGACAAAAACGTGTATGTAGAAAATACACTATTTACAGGAAAATTAGACTGATGTTCCATTTAGGAATGAAGAGCCCCACTAGGCCTGAAGAAGCCTGATGTATGTCAGGTGAATCTGATGCCAGTTAATGAGCTGGACTGCTGGTGCTGCTGATGCCTCCCGGTGTGTACAGTCGCAATCTGTGAGCTTAAATCTGCACTCACTGGTGACATTTCCCATCCTGTTACATTCCCACCTCTGATTCATCATTTGACTTTGTAGTCTCCAGAGACCGGGTGGAGAGGGCAACGACTTAAGCAACGACTGGTGATGAAGCCACATGCACAGTCGTGTCCGAATACAGGTGAAATGTGAATTTAATCAAACATGCGGAAACCTCAAATCTAAAGAACGAGGAGACAGAACGAACGAGCAAGCTAGCGAGTGATGATCGAGTGTAAGTGGACTCACTGGCCGCATGAAGGGCTTCTGGACTTGCTTGGTGAGGTAGTGGAACATGTCGAGGGTCTCCATGGCAAGCGTGAGGTAGGAGCGACACTGCCTCTCGTCCTGGCTCATCTGAGACGCCCGGCTCTGCTGCTGCTCCTGCGAGGTTGTGCACGGGCAGGTCACAGTGGGGGCGTCGCTTAGTCATCGAGAGGACGCAACATCAACCGAAAAGGGAAATGACTCTCATAGCGGCCGAGTTGCCAGATTAAGTGGCATGGCCCCTACCACACTGCCCCGCTGTGCATGCGTCCTGCTCCTAAATCAATCATGAGCGTCACTGTGGAAAATATAAGAAACAATCAAAGAGCTTTCCCACCTGATGACGGACGCTTGTGTTGCGCCTGAAACGTCATAATCAAAGAGCAGTATCATCCAAAAATTTCCAGGGGCTACTTGGGGATATGATGCTGGGACCCTTCATATATAAATGCAAGCCCTGGTCCTTTTGATGGCAGAATACTGTGCTGCACCTGTCTGGTACAGCAACGCTCACACTGGGCTCACTGACTTGAATCAAAGCTGTGCTGTGTGCCGTGAGCGGCATCATAAAACCTACGCTGCTGCAGTGGCTGCCAGTACTCGCAAACATCTGACAGGATGCTGTTGCAAAACTTAGGGAGTATAAGAATAGACTTGATTTGAAGCTTTCGTGACTGCAGGGATTACTCTTTGGTTTTTTCGGTAAACTCACGTATAAATAAGAAATAACAAAATAACATAATAGCGTACGACGTTTCGGTTGCAACACAAGCAGCCATCATCAGGTACAGAATAGCTAAATTATGAGAGAGGGGAGACACATAACCTCAGATGTATATACAAACACCCAAGTAGGGGGAACTGACACAGATACAACAGGGGACGCAGAGAGAGAAGCATACCAGACAAACAGGGTTTAGCAAACATTTTTTGGAAACCATGTAAAGCAACACAGACGGTTGGTCAAAACACAACGCATAGTCCGGTTGATCACGCTATTTCAAAAGATTGCTAAATTGCAAGTAAAGTATGAAACTCAAAATACAGACCGCACACACACAGACAACCAAGTAGAGCGAGCCAGCACAGAGACAAGCACACAGTAAAGTTGCAGAGAAGAATAGGCAGAGAAGGTAAGGCTGAGTGACACTCAGAGAAGGTAAGGCTGAGTGACACTCAGCCTTACCTTCTCTGCCTATTTAAGGCAACTTTACTGTGTGCTTGTCTCTGTGCTGGCTCGCTCTACTTGGTTGTCTGTGTGTGTGTGTGTGCGGTCTGTATTTTGAGCTTCATACTTTACTTGCAATTTAGCAATCTTTTGAAATAGCGTGATCAACCGGACTATGCGTTAATTGTGTTTTGACCGACCGTCTGTGTTGCTTTACATGGTTTCCAAATTTTTTTTTGCTAAACCCTGTTTGTCTGGTATGCTTCTCTCTCTGTGTCCCCTGTTGTATCTGTGTCAGTTCCCCCTACTTGGGTGTCTGTATATACATCTGAGGTTATGTGTCTCCCCTCTCTCATAATTTAGCTCTTCTGTACCTGATGATGGCTGCTTGTGTTGCAACCGAAACGTCATACACTATTATGTTATTTTATTATTTCTTATTTATACGTGACTTTATCGAAAAAAACAAAGAGTGTAAGAATATGTTGGAAAATCCAGATCTCCCTCTGCATATCGAAATAAAGTCCCCACCACCTTCTTGTCTGAAATCGAGACGTCCAATTTTTGACGCGTGCCTAAACTCTTCTGTCAGCCGAAAAGGACCCCGCCACCCAATGGTGTGAGATGTGGGGAAACAGTGGCGTCCCAAACAAGAACCTTATTTCAGACCCGACAATGGAACAGCCCTGGTCTCTCTATTTTGCCACAACGACAGTGGAGACCGCTACCAATCAAGTCCCAACAACACGTGGAAGATGGTGTGGCGATATATCCTCCGGAAATGGAAGAGCCATGACTCATCAAATTGCAAATGCAGTGAGGTGCGAACCATCAGGTATGTATCACTGATGACTGCCCAGTAACATTCATTCTGGAGGAACGAGCGAACTCCACTCAGCTACCACCCCGGATGCCATGGAATGGATTACAACATTAACAATACAATTGTAGCCTGCTGCTTTTTTGTCATGCCATACAAAAGAAGAGAAACAGCAGATCATTTTCCTCCTTTAAAATCTGTCCCTTCACATAAAAGTATATTTTTACACATCCCATCAGCCACTCAGTTTTCTCAAGAGAGCAGAATTTCAGCAGCATTGGTTCAACACAAGCAAACCCTGGACCAGATACAACATTCAGGGTCTCATCAGCAGAGTAATGCCAAGGACTCTCTCTGTTATATATGGGTCCAAGTTCAACACAAACCCATAAAATAGCTTTCATAACAGAGTATAGAGAGGAGAGAGAAGAGAGATGAGAGTGCATAAAGGAGAGAAGAGATAAGGGTGGGAGAGGAAGGAGCGATGAGGGAGATGGAGTTGAGTGAAGGGAGGTGAATGGCACCTGGGAGAGGCGATCCCACGCCTCCTTGTTGCGCATCTCCTCCTGCAACTCGTGGATCCTCTTGAGAGAGTCCAGGCTCTCGTCCAGAAGGAACGTTGTGTCGTTGATCAGCATGTTGATGAAGCGCACAAACTGACTCCCCGAGCTGCCAGTAAAAACAGCACTGGCTCATGAATGGGCGCAACGCGATCGAGCAAAGTGACGCATGGGGGTGAGATGTGACGGGTTGAAGTGCCAGGGCGATGCTATAAGGCGATGCGTGCCAAGCAGGGGCGGAGCCAGGATTTTCAGCCCGGGGTGACATTCAACAAATTTTAATTTCAAGAATGACTAGAGAGTCAGGCTGTTGAACTAGACGCCATCGGTTGGTGACACACTCTGACAATGCAGTTGCATGGAGTCCGCCAGACCGAGTGTCATACACTTATATGCAGAATGTTTCAGATTTTCGATTTTTTATTTTTTTTCGGGGGTGACAATTGTCTACCCTGTCACCCCCCTGGCTCCGCCCCTGGTGCCAAGGGAATTATTTTTGGTCTCATCAGTACCATCTTGTTTGGTAGTAACTGTTTTGTGTAATCAGTCTTGTATTTTTAAAAAGCATAATGTACAAGACTTTATAATCGCCTAATGTTCAGCTAAATGGCTTAGCAGTAGAGCAAGTGGTTCAAATTCATAAGGTCACGAGTTCAAATCCAGGTTGAGGTTTGGCTCAGTTCATAATCCCTCTGAGGTAGATAAAATCAGGACCACTTTTGGAGAATTCAACGAGTTCTATAAATGAAATCGCTCCCACCATAGGAATGAAGAATTTCCACCATTGGTTCTGGGCTGTAAACAGGAGATGAGCACTGCCTCAATGCTGATTTGAACAGGAACCTGCTGATCTTCTTAAACATGTACAATGCCATATAATTTACAACTGTTTATTATAAATGTGCTAATTTCCAAACAATTCAGTGCGCATATCATCGTGAGTGTAAGAATCGATTTTCATTAGTGCAGATACTCTTGCACGTGTGCAGGTCCCCTTTAACCTGACCAGGGCTTCCAAAACGCCAGATTTTGCAGCCCACGATGATGAGGATATTTGCATTTACTGATCATCAGGGTCATATAGTGTGTAGCAACTGAATTTGAATGAAGAAGTGGAGTTTACAAACATCTTGTAGTCGCATCCACTCCAAGAGTACAGTCTGAATGATTGCCCTTTTGCATTCCCTTTTGCAAGGAAGACCAGGAAGGCTCCAGTGAATGTGAACCTTATGGCGGGACCCCGGGGTCCCATAAGCCCCCGGCTCCCGCATAAACTGCGTTGTGACGCAATTTTATGTCCGTTGAAGGTGAACGACACGGCAATCTATTCCTCTCGACGAGCTCTACATGATGCGCTAATCAAAGTTTCAAAGTTTTGTTTCTTCTGCGCATTCGTCCTTGCTGCGCTTGGAAGGCATGACAACAGAGTGATCTGCGCCGGGTGGGTCGCGGTGTTTATGTACGCGGTGGGACGGAGTTGCCAAAAAAAATTAAGTAATTACGATTTTGACTTCCGTTTATTTGGAACCCTGGGGTCCCGCCATAAGGTTCATATGTATTGCATTTAGTCATGGGAAAATTGTCATTTTCATTAATAATTGACTGTGGCACTTGGCAATCAGCAGCCCTCCTGTTCCATACTAATGGAATCGCAATATCCTTCATGTCCACTTTATAACAGATAATGCACACTACTAATTAATCGGTCACTCTTTACAATGTTTACCAAGCGGCTGTGGTAATCAAACGTTTGACTCGATACAATCTGACTCGGTGAGCCAATCAGTCCGATTGAGCAGTCATCGCCACACTGAACACGAGGCCACTCGGCCAAACAAACAGGCCGTACGTACTTGAACTCCTCCAGGAAGGTGGCCTGGTGTGCCGGATTGCTCCACAGGCTCTTGAAGATGGCGCTGATGTGGTAGCGGATGGTAAACTTGTCATAGAACTCGCTGCTGGCGCCTGTTTGCTCCACGTCTGTGCACACATGTATACATTTAAAATCAATTATTTATACAGTTTGCATGAATGTAATGCATATCACACCCAGTAAAACGCATACATTCAAATGATTTCAATGGTGCACACCGCTGGTTCATGTACAGTGTACTCTAGCATTAACAGTTGCAGATGTTGTGCATGTATGTGAAGTGAGATATTTAAAACAACTGCAGCATTAACCAGGGCGGCTTGCTGGATTCGAACTGCAAACCTCTGAAACAAGCGGTGTATGCATGACTTCTGGATTATGTCACTGCCGCTAGTCACTGAGCAATGGATTGAACGCAGTAAAATACATGAGCAGACAATGCCCCCCTTCCCATGGAGCAGACCTTGCTTGTTTTTATTTTCTTATATTCTCCACTAATACACTGCTGATGATTAATATTGCACTTTCTTACTTAGGAAATACTCTTTCTCGTGAGGGTCATGCCAAGTTTTCGCAGTATAAGGTGATGTTGCTGTGTATAATCCCTATTTAGTTATTTTTAGGTAATTTTTCAGAATTGGAACATGTGGCCAATACCAGTTATCCATGGGAGGAAACCAGATAACCTGGAGGAAACCCATGCAGAACAGGAGTAGAACATACAAACTCCATAAAGGCACTCAAGTCGGAAATCAAACCCTGGAACTTCTTGCTGTGAGACACCAGTGTCACCACTGCACAAGCCTCACCCTAACCCTGATATGTGGTTTTGATCGCATGTGGGGGATTGCCGAGAGCCCAAAACAGCTGTCGCCGCCACTGCCTTCTCCTCCTCCTGCTCACCTGTGTAGAACTTCATGAGCGATGGCGCCAGGTGGCGCGTACCCAGTTGGTGGTTCTCCAGCATCTCGTGGAAGCGCGTGGTGCGTGGCTGCACACTGGGGTTCAGCACGAACAGCACCTCCACCAGTTTGGCGAGTAGGTACGGGTTGCGCAGGTATGTGTGGCTGCACACGAACACCAGCAGAAAGGTGGCGAGGTCGGGCCCGCACGGCTCGCTCTGCAGCACCTGCGGGCTGTACCTGCGCCACACACGGTGCAAGAGAAACACAAGGAAAACCATCGTAACTCAGATGAATGTCCCATGAGATTCTTCATCTGCTTCTGTGACATGAACCTGGGTAAGTGTAGGAGTTTTGATTCATCATTGATTTTTGTATTAGGCCATGTAACGATTTGGCCAAATATACGTCATAAGACCTTCCACCACCCGATACAGCAAAAAAAATAGTTGCGTGTACAAGCATTTAACGCTACAACTTAGCAATTAGATAATATTCTGACTTTAAACTTTCGTGACTGCAGGAATTCATATTCTTGGTTCTTTCGGTAGTCGCGTAGATAGAAAAAAAAAGCAAAAAACCCACGACGTTTTGATCGCAACATAAGCAGTCTTCATCAGGCGGAGAGAAAAGAGGGGGCAAGCCTCCAAATGCAACTGCTTATAAGGGCTTCCAAAGTGAGTGGGCGGGGGACGAGAGTTGCGAGGCAGCAGCAAGGAAAGCTGTGCGGCGTAAACAGCATGGGCAGAGCAGCCAGTGCTAATGTAGGAGTAAAGCGCGAGATAGAGGTGGAGCTGAAGGCGAGGGGCGCAGTCCAAGTGTGTTAGACAATGGGGGGAGGGAGGGGATAGAGATAGGGGGAGAGAGGGGGGGGGGGTAGAGATAGGGGGAGAGAGGGGGATAGAGATGGGGGGGGGCATTGCACCTCGCTACACACATCCACACTGCTGACAGTAGAGGTTGACAAGAAAACACAAATCAAGTCATGACCCAGTGGTTAATGACATCTTCCCAATGATTGCTGAGTTTATAACCTTCGTGTCAGTTGAAATTGTGTCTTTGTATATATGGATGGCTTCGTGAACAAATTTTTGTTGATAGCCAGTCAGCTTGCAAAGTACCATCGTCTTAGAGAAATCAATTTCATGTGAGCCAGTCGCATTAAAGTAATGATCAGCCACGGCAGAAGTATTGGTCCTGCCGTGTTTCATATCTACCGTATGTTCACGAACACGGTCCGAGACATGTCGTTTAGTTTCCCCAATGTAGACGACGGGATATTGCATGTCAGGAATTTTGTCCTTCACAGAAGGATCAGATCACGAATTTTATGCACTGTGTTAAATCGGACCTGGATCTCGTGTTTGTTCAAGATTTTGGAAATCTTTTTGGTTATCCCTGCTATGTAAGGCAAGGTGATTGTTTTGATTGGATCTTTTACCCCTTCCCTCCCCCCATTGTCTAACACACTTGGACTGCGCCACTCGCCTTCAGCTCCACCTCTATCTCGCGCTTTACTCCTACATTAGCACTGGCTGCTCTGCCCATGCTGGTTACACCGCACAGCTTTCCTTGCTGCTGCCTCGCAACTCTCGTCCCCCGCCCACCCACTTTGGAAGCCCTTATAAGCAGTTGCATTTGGAGGCTTGCCCCCTCTTTTCTCTCCGCCTGATGAAGACTGCTTGTGTTGCGATCGAAATGTCATGGGTTTTTTGCTTTTATTTAAAAAAAAATATCTATCTACGTGACTTTACCGAAAGAACCAAGAATATAGATAAAATTCTGCTTGATACTCCTCCAAGCTACTTCAGGACAGAATCCTGGAAGTCAGAATTATGCTTTGAATGACTGTTAAAAAGTGTATCATGTTAAATAAGGGTGTTTATTTTGCAGTAAACTGCACAGATTTCATAGACTTAGGCTGACTGAGAAATCTGTCTGGATTTTCTCTGTGGAGAAAGTAGAAACCCTATCACTCATATACTCACACACTCACCAATTCACTTATTCATTCACTTACATAAAGGTTACAAAAATTCACCCACCCATTCACTCATTCAGCTACTCATCCACTCACTCACTCATATGAGTTGCCACTTATCTGGGTTTGACCCAGACAGTCCAGGAATTGGCATCTGTGTTCAGGTGGCAAGGATTAATTCGTACTGATATCTGGTATCAGTATTGTGTTGAATTTTATTACAGTAGACTGTACAGGTTTGACAGACCTAGGCTGACTGAGGAATCTGATCTATAGTTGGGAGAGGTGGGGCCCCTAAAGGAGGCTCACTGGATAATGAAGAGCAGGAACTCGGCGATGTCTTCGATGTAGAACTCTGGCAAAGCTGAGAATGCCTCTGGGATCTCGGGGTTCAGCGGCAGCACGGGCCTGCGGTGAATACCACAGCATCACTCAGCATCTCTTCACACTGTGAGTTGGTGTAAAACAAGCCAGTACAGCAAGCGAGCCTCCATTCACATGCCTCCAAGGCATGTGACTACACAAAGCAACTTGCGTGCGCAAACGCACAAGCAAATGGACACACATCTGGCACTCATCACGTTTGTATGGGGTGCATATTATTTAAATATACCACCTTTTTTGTGTAATTGAGTCAATTTTGCCCAAAAATAATACAGGTTTGGGCACCACTACTGGTGAGTCATGCGGTGAGTCTCGCAGCATCAGGTTTAGCGATTTTGTAGTCTCATGAAAACATGGAAAGTGTCATTGGATGGATGGATGGAACTAATATAATCAGCTTTATCAACTCCGTTAAACCAGAACTTTGTGCTTCTGTACCTCCCAGAGGCATACTTTATCATGTTTCTGGCACCACATCTGCATATATTTTTTATTAAAATTATTGGTTAGATGGACAGCCATCATCTCTCCAGGGTCATTAAAATTAGTCATACGATTTTAATGTGCAATTCTATTGAGGAACTGTTTTTGCTGTTGTTTTGCTGCCTTGCCCAAGCTTGAGAATTGGCGTACTTATGCAATTTTAACGTATATGCTTTATCTATGTTAAGTACTTATATCTCGTGATTTGCTTACCTTTCCTATAATTTGCACTCCAATCGTTTTTGTATTGTTTGTTGTTGCAACTTTCTGACCTGCCTCTACTGGACAGCTGTGAAAAAAGAGCTTCATAGCTCATTGGATTTCTCCGGATAAATAAAACTTCAGATTCTGAGTACCATATTCTTTGGGTCTTTCGGCCAAGCCACGTAGATAGATCAAATAATAAAAATAATAACAATATCACGACGTTTCGATCACAATACAAGCAATCGTCATCAGGTGAGAAATATCGCAGGAGAGCTGCTGAGAATATATGGGAGTGCTGCGAAGGTAAGGAGTTATAAAGGTTTGGGATAGGTGTAGCCCAAGGGTCAGTGAGAGGGGCTAGAGATGAAATATGCATGTAAATGTAACATCGGGTAAATCTTGACAAACAAAGCTGTTGGGGTGGCCATTGTATTGTGAGAGATTAGCATGTCAATGTAAGAAATTTGCTTGTTAATGTAAGCTCGGAGAGAGCTCGGAAAGAGCTATCGCCACATGGTACCACTTTGCAGGAAAATCAAAAGTGGCTGTCTTATGGATTAACTCTACCCCATAATTGGAATGTGGAATATCCTTCACTGGCTTTTTAAGGCTGTAGATGGGAAATGAGCACCGCCTCAAAGCTCAATTGAGCAGGAAATCCCTGAGTTTATTTGTAATAGACAATGAAGGATAACGGTAATTCTAATTCACTATGCACAACAGAGAAGAATTTGATTTAGATACGAGCAGCAATCTATGAACAACAATAAGGGGACCGTGCCAGGCCACAGGTGCAGTATAGGAGGAGCAACCTAGCGACCTGTGCTGCTGAGAAGAACCGACGCGCTAAGTGACACAAGCCCAGCCACAACAGCGCTCACTTAGGGTTGACGGGGTCGACGATGCGGAAGAGCAGACAGACCACGGAGCCATAGAAGTGCAGGCAACGCCGCAGCAGATTCTCGTCCAACAGGACCACGTCCGCACATGCCTTCGCACGAACTAGCCTCTGCGCGCACACATGATGACCGCAGGGCATGAACATGCGTGTGCGAGCATGGGTGAATGTGCACATGGCCTGGCACAAGCGTCGTGGTGACGTCACCGCCACTTACTGGCGAATGGCGGTTGTTGTTAAATGTGCCAGTCATCGCGGTCAGTTAACTCATAACACCTGTATCTGTGCCGTAACCACCTGTTAGTGAGACTTCCAAATACCAAATGAACTCAATTATGATAATTATTAAAATTAAAATGTCTACGCAAGGTTGTTGTTGTTGATGCATCCCTTGTAAAAGTTAAATGTGGAAGCTCTGTCCAGATGCGACAGAGTGAATAAAAATACAATTTATTCCATCAGCCTGTCAGCCTTCTTCGCCAATGTATTCCAGCAGCATATGTTTTAGCAGCAAACTATCAGCTGGTTTCGACTTTCTGAGTTCCGTCAGAAAAGTGTGGCCCTGCTAAATGCTGCCGGTTAACATAACATCACAGGCAGCAGCGGTGGGTGGTGCCGGTGGGGACTGTACCCTGAGCCGCGCCTTGAAGCGTTTGAGCAGCTCGCGGTGGCGCCCGGTGCTTGGTGTCTCCTCCTCTTTGCTTTTGAGCTCCTCCAGGCTCCTACATTACAACACAACGCCAGCACCGCCATGTCACAACCCGACACCAAACCACACAAACCTACACACAGCAGTCAGGCTCTCTCGCTTTCTATTAAAGGCTCTAAAACAGTGTAGATGAGAAGAAACTGTGAATCGGGTAGACCGAGTCCTCAGCATTGGTGGAGGAATTAACAAGCGACGTTCACTGGAATAGCAAGCATGGTACTAGTGATGGAAGAGTGATAAGGAAGCGACCGGCTGCATGTGCGCAAGCGGCTGGAGTGAATTGTCAAGTGCTGGATCACCAATCACCCTGACCACAGAATGCACTGAGAACATGGGACAAATTGAACCGACGAGTCAATGCATGTGCCCATTCCGAGGTGACTCAGCACGTCCTGACTTTAGTTGTCACACCGATCGCTCGATCCCCTCTCCAGGCCTTATCGCCGCCCCCCGGCACCCGTAATAAGCGTGCGGCGCCGCACCGATTCAGGTCGCGGATCTCGCGCAGGCGCCGTGTGTAGCGTCGGCATGCAGGGAGGATGGAGAGGTGGTGGCAGTGCAGCGTGAGGAAGAAGCACTCTGTGGGGAACTTGACGTCGGCCTGGCAACACGGCTCCGAGCCTGCACACAGCACGCAGTGGCACAGGGAGCGTGGCGCCCGCACCATCGTCACGCTCCAGGTTATTTTATTTACCAGATGAGTACTCGAGAACAGGACGGTCTCATTTGCAACAACGACTGACCTAGGTCACCAAAACGACAAAACCAATCAAATAAAACAGTAATGAAGTGAAGAGAAATCAGCACGAGAACCAAACAGAAATCAGAAGGTAAACAACCTCGTTACGTAAGAAATCGTAGTACTGCATGAACACATAAATATGAAATGTATTTCTTGTAACAAAAGTTAATAAAAAAGTTAAATGACAGAAAAAACTAAATGCATTTATAGGGTGATTATTTCACTGTGTAAACAGATAGAGACATGAGTACCACCTCAATGCTAACTCTTTGAGATTTCATTTGCCCAATTTTTTTCAGTGACTGGATTTCATTTGCACATGCTGTGCAGCACTTGCAGCCAGCAGTATAAATACTCTCCTGGCTGCAGTTGACAGATCTCTCTGCTGGCCGGCCGGGGCGCTGCGCCACTCACGCAGTCGGTCCAGCCAGACAGCGAGTTCCTCGCGCGTCGCCTTCAGCCGCGTCTCGTCAGGGCCCAGTGTCAGCCGGCAGCGCGGGTGGAATGGGTAGAGCGGGTCTACAGTCTCCAGCTTGATCCGCGCCGCCAGGTGCTGCAGCACCCACAGGAAGTTGAGCATGAAGCCATCGGACGACACCAGGCGGTCATCCGTCTGCGGGGATGCGGGAGGGCGAGGGAGATGACCCGTGAGACCTCGCGTGTCACACCCTCAATCTATCCACTGCTACACATAGGCCTCCTTAAGCTGTATTCATCTGATTGGCGCTGCAACAATCCAACTAGCACCTGCACGCGAAATGATTTCATCACTCCATCCCAGCGGTGGACGTACTTTCGCTGTACGTATGTTGAACTTATTTCGTACCATACAAAGCCAACTGTGCTAATCGCTGCCATTACATTAGGTTTGACCAGTGGCCATCATCCCATCTATGCTAAATTTAATTTTAAAATATCTAGGTGGCTTCGTGCTCAAACAACAGTGGGTGACCTTGATCTCCAGTGGGAGAAATTCCACATTCCTATCCAGCTGAGTCATCCCTAAGACTCACTTGGAAGGGGCCGAGTTTACTCCAGACCAGGATTTGAGTGAACACCCTTTCATTGGCAAGCCGTGAGCCCAAGCGGACCTCACAAGATAATTCATATTCTTAGTTTTTTCGGTAAAGTCACGTTGAAGGGAAACAACAAAATAATAAAATATACATAAAACAATAAAAAATTCTCACGACGTTTCGACCATAACTCAAACGGTCGTCTTCAGGTGTGTTTTAAACCAACATTATTATTTTGTTTTTTCCCTTCAACGTGACTTTACCAAAAAAACTAAGAATATGAATTACTGCAGTCACGAAAGCTTTAAATCAAAAGATAATTCATATCAACCGGCGCCTCTGCACCTGCAGCTGTGACTTCTTGCCGTTGCGGTTGACAACGGCAGCCATGTACGCGAGCGTGGCTTCCCGCGTGCCTCCATTGAGCAGCATGCTGTGCAGCACCTTGAACTGCTCCATCTGCGCACAGTCACAGAGCAGCAGCGGCACGGCGTGGGCAGAGGCAGCGTCAGGGCACAGGGGGGCACACTCTGTTGGTGCCCTTTGTTGGCAATCCATGCTTAATTATAATATTTTTTATTTACACAGCACTTGCTGAAATGGCCCAGCAACTTAATGGCAAAGTTAAGTTGCTGATTGGATGTAAAGCAGAAGGAGACGTCTCCTGCAAAAACAAACCATTATTATTTAATCGCCTCGCATCTCATTTCAAACATTCAAAGGGCACCACCATTGGCAGCTGTCCCTGTAAGTCACAATGTTGACTCCGCATTAGTCTGGCAACTGAGGGTGATGATTGCTATGTGTAATCCCAATAGAGTAATATAGTGTCCTTTTTCAAATGTGGTATGTGTATATACGTGTGTGTGCGCTGGTGGTGAGGTGCACGCCGTGCACGCCGCACCCGCGCCGTCTCCAAGTGATGCTGCAGGGCCTGGCTGACGACGCGCGTATTGTCCAGTGTGAGTGTTGGCCCCGAGAAATACTTCTCTGCCACCTTGGGCTGTGCAACAACACAGAACACAGCGCATACAGCGAAGCACGTGCAGCATGTCGCATATAGCGCATAGTCCACGGCACAGCGCACCACCTCTATGTACACTGCACTATACCCTGCACTACCACTCCTGTACACTAGTACAATGCAGTGCACTCTCCAATACTTCTCGTGCGCTGCATTACACCCGACACATTACACGCCACCCTGCACCACATCCCTGCACCACACTCTAGCCTGTGACTCCGGGTGCCAATGCCCCGCGACTCACGTCGTCCTCGGAGAAGGCGGAGAGTGAGAAGACGGAGCCGATGAAGGAGAGACGCTGCAGCTCGCGGCCGCCCCCACCAGAGAGCGAGTCGGGTAGCCACAGCTCGTGCAATGCAACCTGTGCACCGCAATGCATGGTTAATGCACGCCGCAGTAGTAACCAGGGTGGTATGCCGGATTTGAACTGGGAGCCTCTACAATAATTGATGCTACTACTGCGTCATGTGACCGCCTGAACAGGCTGGGTACAGTCGTTACAGTTGGGTGCGGGAGGGAGAGAGGGACCCACCAAGGAGCAGATGGGGCGAGTGTTTCCCACCTTCACCTCGCACAGCTCCGCCAGTGCCTGCAGCCCACAGCAGCCAGAAGCAGTCAACACACAGCCCCATCTGCCAGCGCAGCCAGCGCTCACCAATTATTACTCAAATGCCAATGAGTTCACCAACCGGTAAGTTGAAGAACAATTCTCACACCCAAAATCAGCAATTAGACACGATGTTTCCCTTGAAACTGGATCATCTTTAGGACAAGATCCCGAAAATTAGACTAACCACGTCACCTGATCCGGCTTCTTAAATAGGTGTTCTGATCTCAGAGGAACAACCACTCAGAAATATTGACTATTACAAATTAAAAATTTTATTTAAAGCTTTCGTGACTGCAGTAATTCATATTCTTAGCTCTTTCGGTAAAGTCACGTTGAAGGGAAACAATAAAATAATAAAATATATATAGAAATAATATTTCATTATTTTATTGTTTCCCTTCAACGTGACTTTACCGAAAGAGCTAAGAATATGTATTACAAATTTCTTATTTTAATTTTATTTTAATTTACTTTGGCCAATGATTAACATTATATGCATTATTCATAACTATTAATTAATATACGAGCCTGCAGCAGGCTAGCAGCATAATCTTAGGGTTTACGAAAGATGTTGTGCCTCCGCATTACACCAAGGTATCCAAATAACCACGCGTGGAGGATCCCTCATCTTACACAGCCCAGAGCACCCTCCAAGAGGGAACAATGTCCTTGAGCAGTGGTTGCCAAGGGCGCCGTCAGCCGAACAACAACACGGCGCCTCTCATGGCCACACCTCCGATCAGCACGGTTGGCTAGGTACGGTGCGAAAGAAGTTCAACATACATATATAGCCGGGTGGCTGCAGGGACCTCACCATGAGCGGGTACTTGAAATTGTCATTCTCCAGCGAGCACTCACAGCAGGCCTGGGCGAGGTCTTGCACCACTGGCATGAACACCTGCCAATAACAAAAACAGCAGCAACTTTATCTTACAATATAATTACTCTTTGGTTCTTTCGGTAAAGTCACGATGAAAGAAAATATATTAAATAATAGAATACGACGTTTCGATTGCAACACAAGCAACTGTCATCAGGTAGAACTAAATTTGAGAGACAAAACACAGACACGGAGACACACAAGCAGAGAGAGACAACACAAACAACACAGAGACACACAAATCAAGTTTGAACAATATAATTATAACGATTACTGTTTTTTTTTCTTTATATAGCCTCATTCGTGCATACTACATCTCAAAACAGCAACATAACCTCCCGTATTTCCATTTTTTATTTTGGGAAAATTGGTTTCGCTTTAAGTTGCTTCACTTAGGTCAAATTTTACAGGAACGCAACCCCAACATTAAGCGAGGAGTGACTGTAAATGTTTAAGGTAATGGAGACATTATAAGGATTGAGTAGAACTTGTGGTATGGAGGCTATGCGTCATCACCTGGAAAGCCCGACGTAGACTTTGTAGTCTCCTCAACCTGCAGCCACAAACCTCCATGAATTGTTCTCCTCAATGCCTACATCCCCACCCACAACTCACATCCCCATCCACACTCATCTCCCCACCCACAACTCACCTGACTAAACGCATCCTGGTCCAGGCAGGAGGCCCTCACCATCTCCTGAATGAAGCCGACCGGCAAATTTCGGCACAGCAGGTATGGCACCAGCAGCGACGGCTGTAGTGCGGATCTGCTCCAGTCACATTTTGCCACAAGAAAACGTTTGTGTGGATGAGGAAGAGATTAATATTATTATAGTTAAGCCTGATCACCCATGAAAACCTCATCGAGTCTTAAGACTCCTTTTCAGGAGGGTCCTGACCATTTTTTTGCAGGAGGGGGAAATTATTGCAAAAGATCTACAATTGAGAACGGGCCCAAAGGGCCAAACTGCCAAGCAGCCACCAACAAACACCACAAATCAAAGTTGTCGATTAAATGCATTTTGTGAATTGAGCAAGATTGTTATAAGAACTTGGAAAAAGAGATGATGATGGGAGAGAATTCCAACGTGAAGCAGTGCGAGGAAAGAATCAGAAAGAGGAGCATTGTGACCTGCAGTGTGGTAGTTGAACATGAGTATGGATGAGACAAAACAATTTCATGGAAAAAGTAGCAATAAAAAAGTGACAAGGAGGTGACTGACCACCGGTGAGTAATTCGATTGAATTGGTGAGTGCTGGATCATTTATCACCCTGACAGCCTTATGTTAAATTATATCGAGTGCAGTTAGGTAGAAACTGGGTGCTCCACCCTAGGTATGACAGCAGTGTTCCAACTTCGGCTGAGTGCATGTGTGCGTGCGCGTTTGCGCGCGTCTCTGCATTACCGCGGTTGGGTTAGCGCCCCTTGCAGCACGAGCGTTGCGTGAGCCACACACTGCGTACGGATCTGCCCCAGCACGCGGCCGACCTCGGGAAGGCTGCACATCTGCACACCCATGGACAGCAGCACAAAGAAAATCTCATTAATGAGCTGGCGGAGCGGTCAATTGAGAGACCCATAACTTCATGAGGGGATTTGACCACAGAGTGGAATGTTCCCACGGTAGCGCACATATGCGTTAAGCTCACACAAGTACGCCCTTGTGCTCACGTTAAAATACATGCGTTCATCACACTGGGACACAGCTTAATGCAAAGAAAAAGTAAAATAAACTCATTAAAGTAGTTATTTTCCAATCTTGCACAAAAGCTGCACAGCGAGCTGTGTGGTAATTTTTTTTTAGATTGTTTTTTGTAAGGATTTTGTAGATTTTGTGAAAACTTCTAAAGTTTTCCTGGCCTGATGGCTATGATTGTTGGGGAGCGAGTGACTGGAGTGAAATGGTAGCGAGTGCTGAATCCTCAATCACCGGGTTTATGTTCAACTAGCTTTACTACCCGGCTTCGCCCGGGACTTGGATTCACTACGCCCGGCCGCCTTTGTCTCCCCAGTGGCGATGTTCACATACCACACCAGTAAATTGTTTGAGGCTGAGTCGACCTAGGGGAGGCCCAGGACCGGTTAAAAAAATCGTCACCGGTGGTGGCCGAGAGTGGGAATCGAACTCGGGTCGCCGGGTTCATAGCGCAGCGCGCTAACCACTACACTACCGCTCCTCCCACACACACGCGCGCGTCCATAGGTACACATACACGTGTTTGCTGCAGACACACAACTTTCAGGGTGCCTACGGCAGTAAACGACTGAAATAATAAAGCAATGCTGTGCGAAGAACGCCTTCGACCTGCAACACATTTGTATGGCACTTCACTCGCGGAGGGCTGGGGGGGGGGGATGCGTGACATCAGCAGACACACTGCGTTACACTTCCGCATGCGGGTGACATGACATATGTGACGTCACAGCTCACTTGCCGTGCAAAAAATATGCATGTCGGGAAGTATGCTAAACATTTTGAACAGACACACATTCACAAATTTCCCTTTTATAAATATAGATTTGATACAGTTGAACGGTTTTCACACTGCAACAGGCAGGGTGCCACTGGCTGGTGCTGCGGCTGGGCGCGTGTTGCAATGCGCTACCTTGGGTGCTGCCCTCTCCTCCATGGCAACGCGGTCGAAGCACTCGACGAGGTAGTTGAGCGCGTGCGTCTCTGCGCAGCTCTCCATCGAGAACACGTCTCTGCGGTGCTCCGCTGGCAAGCAGAGCGCCATTGCGTCACTGCTGATTGCGGCGCTGCTGTTGCTGCTGCGGCACAAACCCCCCGGCCGAGGAAAACCTACGTCACAGAATGTCATGTGCTTCCCCCAAGTATCCCTTCGCGCCCCCAATATAATATCGATGGTTTTTCTTTTTACACAGCGTCACTCGCGCAAGTTGTCACCCTGGGGAATAAATATTTTGGGGAACCAAAATTCGTGTACGCTGGCACAAGCAAAACGACAATGCACCCAATCACACTGAGCACAAACGACACATGTCCATCTCACTGGGAGTGACACCGAGCGCCGGTGGAAAGTGTCACATCGACAAACAATCAACAATTGTCAGATTCATCGGGAGCCACAGCAAGCACATCTACAGCTTCACACTGACCACAACCGACACGTGGCAATCTTACCAGGAGTCACACCGAGCACAGGCAAAAACCGTCACATCGAGAACAACCGACAAGTCAGTTTGACCGGTATTCACACCGGGCACAGCTAACAAGCATCATACCAAACAAAGCTAATGCACAAGCATTACACCAGTACCACTATGGGGCCCAGTGGCAACCCTGGAAGGTTGTGTCTTGCAGGGGGCGTGCCGTGATGCCAGTCACACTCTTTAGGCTGAGCCAACTCGAGGAGAGGCTCAACGCAGACGTGGACTCTGATTGCTGCTTTTGCTACTCATTGCAAGTGACACCCTCCCAACACCCGTGACCTTACATTGACCTGCGAAGGTAAGTCAGCAGCAATGACGAGCACGCACAATGACATGCAGACCGGAAACATCGTCTAAAGTTAGCAACGCACGACTACTTAGCAGCGCTCTCCACCTCCATCAGTATTCACATGTTATTATTTGAGAAGGCTCTTGCCAAATTTTCACACTCGTGGGAAAATTTGCTATGAGCGGCTGAGAGGGGAACCAAACCCAGAATCTTCTTGTTGTGAGGCACAAGTGTTACCACTGTGACATCCCGCTGCCCACGTGTGCAACCTAAACTAACAAACAACCATTGTAGATAAAGCCCTAGGTCAATTGTCCTGGACTGTTCCTCATGCATTGGAAATGTTATTCATTTATTTAAAATGTCATTAGTGATGTCCTGTTCGAATGAGCATTGAAATTGTGCTCATCTCCCATTTAAAGCCTTGAGGCAGTGGTGGAAAATTCCTCAATACTATGGCAGGCAGGGGTAAGCCAATCTACAGCACATCCACTGATACACCTCCACAGTGAGCACAATGTCACCAAGATTATACGGCTTACCAAAAATACATAAAGTAGATACACCCCTTCGTCCCATCGTCTCTACTATAAACTCCCCCACCTAGAAAACGGCTCGTTTTCTGTCTGAAATGCTGCGGCCTTTCACTGGAAAAACCACCTCTACGGTACAAAATTCTACTCACCTGGTATCGACACTCACGGGTATTTCCCTGTCCCCAGACGACCTGCTTGTCAGTTTTTATGTAGTTTCCTTATTCACCAAAGTTCCTGTACCTGACACCATCACAATCGTTGAAGACTTGGTTCATCAAGGACTAAACACTGAGGTACGCCCCTGGTGAGACACTGCTTAACCAATACATACTTCACTTGGAATGGAACTATCTACAAACAAACTGAGGGCACCCCAATGGGCTCCTATCTCCGGAGAAATTTGAGACTGACGCCATCTAGACTGCCACTGTGCGCCCAACCTTATGGAAGAGGTACGTGGATGACACTTTTGCCATCTGGCCACATGGCCGGCCTGCTCTAGACCAATTCCTCAACCACATCAATTCCATACACCCAGCCATCAGATTTACCATGGAAGTCGAAAAAGATGGCAAGCTACCTGTTTTTGATGTCCTAATAAAAAAGAGACCTGATGGTTCAATGAGCCACTCTGTCTACAGGAAAGCTACCCATACGGATGCTTACCTGAAACCAGATTCCCACCACCATCCATCCCAGCAGAATTCCCTCATCAAGACTCTGCACCATAGAGCCCAATGCATATCCGACCAGGAACACATAGCCAGTGAACTCAAGCACGTACACCAAGCTCTTAAGGCTAATGGTTACTCCCACTACACAATCCGCAAAGCTATCACTCCAACCATGAAGAAGGACTCTCTTGAGGAGCCTTTCAAAACCATCACTTTACCCTACATTGCGGGGATCACAAAAAAGATCTCCAAAATCTTGAATAAACACGATCCAGGTCCGATTCAACACATTACATAAAATCCGTGATCTGGTTCAGTCTGTAAAAGATGTGATTCCGGACATACAGTACCCTGGCGTCTACAAACTAAGTTGCCTCTATGGTAGTAGTTACATTGGAGAAACCAAACGACATGTCTCGGACCGCATTCGTGAACACAAAGCAGACCTAAAACACAGTAGGACCAACACCTCGGCCGTGGCAGACAACTGTTATAATTCAGTAGGCTCACATGACATTGACTTCTCCAAGACAGAGGTTCTTTGCAAGCCATCTTGCTACCATGAGAGATTCATTCATGAGGCTATCCACATATACAAACACAGAGACAATTTCAACCGAGAAGATGGATTCTGGCTTAGCAATCATTGGAAGGATTTGAATAAACCTTTCGGGTCTTAATTGATTGTTCACACTTACGGTGGCTTTCGACCGCATCCATTATTTTCGTCTCCCCCCTCCTTTTTTCCAAACATAGATGGACTCCTCCATCTGAATAACTGATAAATCACTCTCCGTGGTGCTAACGTTAAAAAACCGCGACTTTTTTCAAATTTTCTTGCTGTGGTTTTCACACCTGATGATGATTGCTTGTGTTGCAGTCGAAACGTCGTGATAATTTTATTGTTTTATATTTTTATTATTTTATTGTTTCCCTTCTACGTGACTTTACCGAAAGAACCAATACGACCTAAATACATAACTTTATAGTTAAATTTTGATTTAAAGCTTTCGTGACTGCAGTAATTCATATATATTTTATTATTTTGTTGTTTCCCTTCAACGTGACTTTACCGAAAGAACTAAGAATATAACTTTATAGTTTTTTCATAAATTAAACGTATTTTTATTTGGTTAAACTTTTGATAAATTAAACAAAATCTAGTACCCCTACTTCCAAGTCATGCTAGTCGGCCCGCAACACACAACACCTGCTGTGTAGCTAGCAGAGAAGAGCCGTTTGGTATACATCCCAGCCAGCATGTAGCTAGTAGTGAAGAGCTGTGTGGTTTTTGAGTTGCGTTGTTGTACAAGCCGATCGTGAAGGCCACCCCCCCACTCATCCCCCGGGCTACCTGGTGCCGAGCACACCCTCCTCATCCTCATCATCGTTATCATCGTAGTCGTCATCATCACCGCCGTGGCCCGAGCGGTGGCGGCGCGGTCCGTGAGCCGCCACGAGAGACAGGAGGAGGGCGACCGGGTCGTCAAGGCGTGGCGACGCTGCCAACGCCGCGCGCTGCGGGGTTCTGTTCGGCGAGCAGCGGTGATGGTGGAGGAGAGGAAAGCATGAAATCAGAAAGAAATAAAATGACAGTACAAAAAGTGAAAGCAGACAGAAAATTTAAATGTGGAAAGAACTTAAAAGGAAATAAACAATCGTATACAAATTATAAGTAAAGAGTGGTTTGTTTGACGGTCATGTAAACATATTTGTTTTTCCACAGTACAGCTGCCCAAATTCTGTGTTTTTCTATGTGTGCTTACGAATGTTTTCGTGCCATTAGGTCTGTGTAAGTCTCTGTGTGTGCCTGTCCATGTGTGTAAAGTCTCAATGTCTATTTATGAGTTGTCAGTGTGTCTAAGTTTAAGTGTTTTTTTTGTCAATTTGTCTTAACACTTTTGTCCGTCTGTGGGTTTTCAGGTTCGCACACATCTAAGACTGTGTCTGCATGTCTATGTACTGTATGTATATTTAACGTGTTTCGCACCGTACGTAGCCAACCGTGCCATAGTGTCTACATGTCCCTTTGGAGTTTATATTGCTCTCCTAGATCTGAGCGTATCTATCCGTGAGCCTGCATTCGAGTGTCTGCATCCATATCTGTGTCTCTGCTCGTTCGTACCCAATGAACATGGGACTGTGTACGGCAGAAGTATTGAGCACGAACTGCCCTGGGGTCGGAGAAGCAGCGCCGATGGTGGCAGGAAAGGGGGACGGCGGGGAGGGTCTGGGAGAGGGGCGGGATGGGAGGGCTGACGCTCCGAGACCCCGGAACCAGGGGCTGGGACTGGCACTGTACAGACTTGTGCCCTGACTGCCACCCAGACTGGTGGAAACCGGGAGACATCGCAGAGCCGTTGGGAGAATGGGGAAGGAAGGAAACAAAGAGGAAAATACAAGGAAATAAAGATGACACAGGATCATTGCAAAAGCAAGGAACTCAGAAAGCCAAAGAGACACGCTTGGACTAATAGGAACAAGAGGTAAAACTAAAACAATGATGAATAAAACCGAAAGGATGGAATGATTTTACCGTACTAACATAGATTTGAGTGCATCACCAAAATAATATAAAGAAGTGTGTCACATGGCTATACGTTGCTCGGGTGGGTAATTGAATTATTTTACAGTTATGGATTGTTTATTTAACTGAAAACCCATAGCACAACTCTATCTCGTAGATACGAACCCAGGCTGTGCATCCCCAGCGGTACCATACAAATTTGATTGAAAAAATATTAAAAACCTCAGTCATGCATTTCAATAGTGCCCAAGCGATCCACAAAATTGCCTGTTATTTTGCCAATTCACACTGCAAATGGATTTACGGCAGAGACCTGAATCCTAGAGACGCAAGTGAGTGGCGACAGTCACGATCGCCCAGGTCCTACCTTGAGCTGGCACCCTCTCCACCGCATGCACCGGGGCTTCTGGGAAAGCTGCACAGCGCCACGGGGTCGCCACCAGAAACATCTCGCCGCCCGGGGGGCACAGGCACAGGCTGCGATGCTGCGAGGGGTCCAGCGGTAAGACCGGCGAACGGATTTTCTTCCACGGAGTCCACCGAGTCCGGGAGATCCGCAGGAGCCTGCGCATCCGAGCGTGTCAGGTTCACGAGCACCTCCACGAGGATCTGTCCCACCAGGTCCTTCCAGTCGGAAAACATGCCCCGTGGGGCGGTCAGGAACTCAGCCGCGAGCGCTGGGAGGGGGATGAGGTCCCGGCCGGGCTGCTTCCATGACACCCGCAGGATCTTGCAAACCAGCTGTAGCAGCTGGTCCTTGGTCATCTCCGTGTCGTCCGAGGCCTGCATCAAGCCCTGTATATACAATAACTTTGTATTACTATAATGCTTGTTTACAAAGGAAAGGCTCACTGAGTCTCAAGGAAGAGCGCATAGCACAAGCAGCTGATGTAGCACACGTGGCAAACAGCTCACATAGTACAGCACACTTTCTCAGGTTGGTCCTGCCAGTGTTCACAGTCAGAGGCAATGTTGCTGCTGTGTATAATCCCAATTGAGTAATAGTCTTTAGGACATCCATACAGAACAGGGGGGGACCCATTTTTATGAATTGGTGTTATCCACCAACCTTAGCATCCAAAGTACTGTATTAACTGTTGGGCAAGTGCCATTAGAGGGTGCCTTTTAAGGCCAGCACAGCGCAGGTGGTAGTGATGTGGGCAACACCACGCCAGCTGCCTACATCTCGATGACATGGCACAGTGGTAACAGGTTTGCCATTTGTTGCAGAGGTGAATCCTGGAATCGCACCCAATAACTCAGCGGTGGCAGCTCAGCCCTCTCATTTGTATTCGCCCATATAGGCGATATGATAGAGGCCACGTCCTTTTATCACTGACCTTTACGTTCAGGCCTCGCTTATCCTTGCGGTCGCTCTCCTCCACTTCCATGTTCTCTATCCCCGAGTCCACATCCACCTGAGATCCACTGCACAACCCATCACTCATCACCCTCTCAGTTCAACATTTCAACCTTCTACTAGGTTTAACACGTAGGCTTTCACAACCAATATCATCCATAATAGAAGTTTTTTGGGGTTAGATCGCGTAAATATATAAATGTGTCGTTAAAACCCACCACCACCTGATACAGCCCACTAATAAGGGTTGTCATGTAAACAGAACATGCCAATTCGTCACGAGTACAGCACATCGGTGTGTTGGAGAGCTATGCCACAACATTTACAAACTGAGTACGACGTTTCGCCAGTTATTACAACTAGCTTCATGTGGCAGGGGGATTACTCAGGCAATGTACATTATGCATGTGCATTATGCGAGCCCTTGGAACTTTATGGGCTACCAAAAAAAATTCACAAACCTGATGTCCCATTAAGACCCATAGTTAGTACAATAGGCTCTGCCACGTACAAATGAGCACAATACGAAATGAAACAAATACAGTCCTACATCGGTAGGACCTTTTCGTTTATCAAAAATTTTGAATATCTTGTAAATATATTTAAAGATATTAATCTTAATCCTAATGATATTCTCGTAAGTTTTGATGTGACCTCTCTGTTCACCAGGGTTCTGGTCAACGAGTCAAATAAATTACTCGACACTCTGGTAACGAACAAAGGTTTAGCCAAAGATATCCCAAGACGAGCTGAACACTGTCTAAAGAACACTTCTTGTAGAAAGGTGACTTCTGTAAACAAAAGGAAGGAGCAGCAATGGGCTCTCCTTTGTCTCCTGTGATAGCCAATTTGTACATGGAAGATGTTGAAACATAAGCAATAGCTTCAAGCACACTAAAACCATCTGCTTGGTTTAGATATGTGGATGACACATTGGTGGTCTGGCCAGACGGCAAAGATACACTGAATGCATTTCTAAATCATCTCAACTCGCAAAACCCATCCATCCAGTTCACCATGGAAGTGGAAGCTGACACAACTCTACCATTTCTGGATATTCTGCTCGGACGGGGTAGAAATGGTAAAATAACACACAGTATTTACCGAAAGAAAACGTATATTGACGCCTATCTGAATGCAGTCACACCATCACTCCGCGAAGAAATCTGCTCTTATCAAGACGCTCATTCATCGAGCTAAGAAAGTGTCAGATGGTGACAGTCTGAGAAGTGAAATTCAACATGTTAAAGAAGTGCTGCAAATAAACGGTTACAATGATGCACAAACCAACAGGGCATTGAATACCAAAACCAAATAAAAACAAGAGCATTGAAACTGCCCATTTAATGAAAACGATCAAAATACCATACATTGTAGGAGTAACTGATAAACTAGCCAGATGTTTGGAAAAACAAAATATCCAAGTCAGATTTGGCACGGTACATAAAATACAGAATTTAATATCTGGTACAAAAGATGTATTACCGAAGCTATCAACATAAGGTGTGTACAGGATTAACTGCACGTGTGATAAATGTTGTTGGGCAAACAGGACGAATGATCAGCACAAAATTAAAAGAACATCAGAGAAATATTAAAAAATCCAAAATGCAACTGTCATCAGTAGCAGAACACACATGCCAACAAAGACACTCAATTGATTTTGATAATGTTGAAGTTTTGTGCAAAACCAGCTACTACTGGCTAAGACTAATTAGATAATCTATCAGAATAGAAAGAAATAAAAATAACCTTAACCGTTCAGATAGCTACAGTCTTAGTGCTGCATGGAAGTGAATAATCAAATAATACATTATTTAAATGCATGCCTACAAAGGACAGCGTACTTCAATAGGGATTAACGTTGGTAGAGCTATTTTAATAAACAGAATAGAGAGGAAGGACAAGTTCAAAGGGCTAGCAGAATGCACATGCATAATGTACATGCATAATGTACGTTGCCTCAGTAATCCCCCCCCCACATTGTGCAAGAGCGCAGAAGGGTGGTCAACACATCTACGCCTCTATATAAGGAACGAAACAGTAAGACTTCTCCACAAATCTGGCTATCGCCTGATGAAGCTAGTTGTAATTACCGGCGAAACGTCGTACTCAGTTTGTAAATGTAATGGCTTGGCTCTCCAACACACCGGTGTGCTGTACTCGTGACGAATTGGCATATTCTGTTTACGTGACAACCCTTACTAGTTGGCTGTGTCAGGTGGTGGGTTTTAATGACCCATTCATAGATATACGCAATCTAACCCCAAAAAACCTCTTCTACTAGGTATTAGCAACTGTATCCGAGTGTCTGCATGTAGATTTTACATGTTTGTATACATGTCTGACATATTTACTGGATACCTTGAACACAAATTAGCATCATGATTTGATTCAAGAACTCTATAGTGAATGCAGACTTCTGTAATTAATAGTGATTAGAGCATTCCATAATCAACAAATGAAAAATCAGAACTTTCTATCATGTGATTACAGCCGCCCGTAATGAATATCTGAATGGAGCTCTTTGAAGTAAATGGTGAGAGGGGAGCGAGCATGTTGGAGGAGAGCGAGCGGAGTGGATGTGCACCTCTTGTCGGGCGCAGAGCGGTCGATCTCCATGCTCTGTGAGCGCGATAGGCCTTGCGACTGCGACTCGGCGCCGGCTGATGGGGAGCTGCTCAGAGAGCTGCTCTGGCTCATCTCTGTGGAGCAACAGGAAGCAAGTCACACGACTCGCTTACACGCTCGCCGAAAATAGGTACTACACGTGGCTTTACCACCACACTGCAGTGGTGAAGGGCAGCAGGGTTGCCCAGTGGTAATGCTGGTGCGTCACAGCAAGTATGTCTGGGTTCGACTCCAGACTGGTGCCTTTGTGTGGGGCATATGTTCACTCCCTGTTTGGCAAAGGTTTCCTCCTGTTTCTCTAGTTTATTCCATAGCTAAAAAAACATACAAGAGGCCTTCAGAAGAGAATTCGTGTAATTTTGCTATTCCTACGTTGCAATAGCACAGAATCCATTGGTTTACAATATGGTCCATAGTTTGGTTTGCATGGCAAGTCACAGTGGGCCTTATATTTAATTTTCCATTTCTTAAAGAGATGTCCTGATGCAATGGATGGTTACACCAGTATCTTCGAGGAATGTAAAAGTCAAAAGGTGTGATGAATGAATCGTGAATGAGGTGTTTATTATCGAATTCCGCATTATTTCACTCTGTTCGACAGCATTCTTCTGGATCTGGGTGAGATATAGGGATTGTGACAGCATGAATCCAGACGAGGGATCGGACGTCAGTCGGCAGCAAGTTACATTGTTGAGGTCTTGGTTGATGGGTAGGTTGTCGTTGGCAAAAAAGACATGTAAACGCCTTTGCAGTTCGCATATCTCTGTGGATATTTTGTGGCAATGTTTGCCAGAACAGGGAGCCAGGGGATGCATGTCAGTTTGTGTTTTGTTTATGATTTTCATTGCTTTATTTAATTGTGCACCTAGCAGTTTTGTACATGAGAAGTTAAAACACAACTCACGAGCCCGCATGGTGTCAAGTTGGCCTGCCATGGGAGTGTGGACATGTTAGCCCAGCCCGTGTCATGCTCAGAGCCAGCATAATTTGACCTACTTCAGCAATTGTTTCCTGCTGTGGTTGTCCCACCTGATGACGGACGCTTGTGTTGCGTCCGAAACGTCGTGATTTTATTTATTTTATACTTTATACCGACGTAACTTTACCGAAAGAACCAAAGAGTATAGGGTTCTGCTTCATTGTATGTATGGATGAAGGTATGTTGAACTTCATTCGCAACGTACAAAGCCAACAGTACTAATCGGAGGTGCGGGGGAAGGACATCAAACTATACAAAAGTAAGTTCTAAATCAATGAGTTTTCAATCTATAAAAGAAATTAGTTTTCAATATCGAAAACCTTGGATGTTTGGCCAACACCAATAACATTGGGTGTGTTTAGCTATGAACAAAAACCAGAGATCCCAGAGGAAACCCATGCAGAACAGGGGTAACACACACAAACGCGACACAAAATGGCAGCTGAGTCAGGTATCGAACCCAGGCGCTTTTCCTGTAAGGCACAAGTATTACCACTGTGCCACCCTGCCATCCAACATAAGTATGTGCCACATGTTGAGAAGAGAGCCTGAACTGCAGGACTGCGAGCTGGGCGCTGTGACCACGGTGCCAGGCGCAATCTCACAAACGCACCCACGGGCACGCTCGGCGAGGTAGACGGCCCCTGGGCTATGGATGGCCCCTGGGCCGTGGCCGGGGGTGATGAGGCTACGGGAGTTGAGGGCCCCGCGATAGGCGGTGCCGTCTCGTGCTGCGGTGACGTGAGCGGCGTGGCCGGCTGCGCCAAACGAGCGAGGCGGCGCCTGCGGATCTGGTGAATGCCACGGGGAGAGAGCACAAGCAGCGGATGTAGCATAATCAGCATAAACACGCAGCAGACAGCTCACATTGTACAGCACACTTAAAACAATAGCAATTTTATCTCAAAACGCTGTAGTTTTCACAGGCGGGGGAGCCATAGATAAGCAGGAACCCAATCACAACCAGTGCCAAAAATCGCTGAAATTCTGCGGTCCTATATTGGGATATTTGACCAATGCATTAATGAGTATTTACCCACATCGGATAAACCAGATTTCCCAGAGAAGATCCACCAACCCTCGCCTCCAATGCTGGATTACAGACATGCATAGCCACCAGTGGATAGCTATGCAACACACAGCTGACAGCTCACACAGCACATGCAGCGCACATAGCAAAAACAGCACACACAGCATGCACAACACACATGACATAGCCAAAACAGGTGTCATCACAACACCGCCACTTTCATTTGTGCAATGCAATGCTTAATGGGCAAATGCAGATAAATTGTGTCATTGTCGTTTCATGACAAATTAAAATGATCTACGCTGCTCAATGATGATGAAACTGATGGTGTTCAGAGGAAGTTAGTTAATGATTACAATGGCAATGATGGGTGTTTTTTTATTTAAAGGACTGTATTATTCATTGTTGTGAGGTTGTCAATTACATGACAAAGTTTGCTTTTGAAATACAGGTCAGTCATGCACAATGCTCTTTCTGTCAAACTAAAGTCCGCTAATTTTGCAAGCGTTGCACAGCAAGTATAGCACAGCAGTTACCATTCTATAACACCTTTGTTGTGGTGGTGGTATTGTCTGTCTCATGGTTTCGCAATGTGAACACTGCATGAACTTAAACAAGCAAAGCATTGTTAAAAAGGCGTGCGTTTTACCAAAAAGACCAATACGTCGCCTTGCTATATTTGTATCTCAACATAAAAAAATATTTATTTTACACATCCCATCAGCCACAAGGCCTTCTGGGAGTCAATTTTTCCAGGAGCATTGGTTTAACATAGCAAACTCTGGGACAGTTTCAATGTCTCATAAGCAGTCAGGCTTGCCTTGAGGCCATTTGTAAAAGGTGCATTATAAGTGCAAATTATTGTTAATGCTGAACTACATAATCAGAAGCAAAGACTCACTCTGTTTGATACGGGTCCTAGTTCAATAAATGTAACTATATAATACATAATAAAATGGTTAGACTTTTCCCATATAAAATTACCTCACTCACACACATTTCAACACTGAGCAAACAGCAATGTCTAACGTATAAGTGTTCATCCCATAAGAAAAGTAAACCCAATTCTAAAATGGGGTACATTATTGGATTGGCAAGAGTTGTTTCTGCACCTCTTGTCGGTTGCGTATGGGCCCGTGGTTTTTGCTAAATGAAAGGAAATATTGGATTGTACGTTATTAAAGAGGTTTTTGTTCCTATACTCAGGTATGTTATGTGCCCTCAAAGTGAAATCACGATGCTGTTGACGCCGAGAAGGTCCTCCCACAGCACGTGGTCCCCCACAGCAGAGTTCTGGCCGCGGTTATTATGACTGTGATTATTTGCACCGAGGTGAAACTATTAATAAAGCGGTGGATGAGCGGTAAACAACACGGGGCCGACGGGTAGAGACGAGGTCACGCCACACTCGTGTCAATCGACCGCAAAGTGCTTGTGTTATGTATTCATGTTTCATGGAATGAGGTCCCAAATCTAACAGAGGGGATCCTTGCCCATACACATCTAGCAAATTACTAGCATTGATTTAAAGAAGCCTTACTAATGTAAATGATTACCCTATAGCAGTTTCGCCGATTACACAGCGGGCCCACGAGACGGGCCCTGGTTGGAGAGCCGTGGGCCGTGCATGCGTGGCGCTATAACGCAAACAAAATGACACTGCAATAATAACGCGCGGAGCAGAGCCGCCACTGCGTGTTTACAAGGCTGGGCCCATGCAAACAGATTCCGAGTTCGAGCTGGGTTCTTTAAAATCCCACTATTAACGTTCAAAGGGGTCTTATAATGTCAAGGGGTTAGGCGAAGATTGGGCAAAACATTGTCCAAGTTAAATGGATGACTCATTGTGGCATATGAATCGGATTACACGTTACACTTATCGCCACACAATCTGCCTCAATTTCTTGAAAATGTAATTCTACAAGCATATACTTCTTTAACAATTAAATCCGAAACGTAGCTCTCAAAGACGCATGTTTAATTTGCCATACCTATGGTTCTACGCCGGGCTTGTTAAGTAGACTACTTTCACTCTATCATAGGCTTGATACGAACTCTTATTCCGCTGTAATCTCAGAGGTCATGCACGTAGGAAGGCAGATGAATATGCCGGTCCATGTGTAGGCAAGTATGCAGGTGGGTGTACATTTGCAGGTAAGTGGGTAGCTAAGTAGGTAAGTACGTGGGTGGGTACGCGCAAGTAGATGCCTAAATAGATACGCAGACAGGTATTTAGGTGGCCAAGCATGTGTGGTTAAAGATAAAGTCGCCTTAGCTCGAACCCGGCAAGGAGCCACAGGAACACCGCGTCTCCTATGCAGGCCACGGCGCGCCCAGACACTTAAAGCGACCCGATTCCCATGCTCTAAGGAGCGGGGTCCACCGGGGTCCCACGGCGACCACTAGGACTCTGTCCACACACGACCACTAGGACTCTGTCCACACACGACCGCAACCACCAAACAGCTGCGGCCTACTTTCCCGGCGGAGCCTCGTACTAGCCTAGTGGTCTTGCCTGGGAGGGCGAGGGACCATGGCGGAGGGGCCGCACCGACGCGGGTTAAGGGGAGGGATGTTGCGAGCACCTCGTCTGGGCTGAGCTCCTCCATTTCGGGGCAGCAGCTGCGTCTCTTCAGGGTTAGCAGCAGAAGGAGAAGGCGGACGCGGAGGAAAATGAGAAGGATGAGGAGACAGGACAAAGAGGAGAAGGCGGCGGCGGCGGCGTCAGTGCAGTAGCGATTGATGCATCCTGCGAACAGCGGCCATGTCGGGGCAGAGTGACGAACAGCTGAGAGGGCGGTGTCATCGCATCATCATTATCTCATTCATTATTCATTCACCCCAGTCATCGTATCATCGTTCGTATTTTATTCATTATTCATTCATACAGTGAACATATCATTCCCTACTAGTTGATTATTCATTCGTCCAGCCATAACATCATTCTCTTCTCATTCAATATTCATTCACTAGTCATCGCATCGTTCCTTACTAATTTATTATTCATTCATGCAGTCATCACATAATTCATTTCTCATTAATTCGTCCAGTCATCGCATCATTCACTAATAAGCAAAAATCCCTGTGGATTAATCTAGCACTCACATAATTCCTTAGTCATCCAATCGGCACGTCATTATTTACTCATTCATTCAGCCATCAAATAATTCCTAATTCATGAATCCAGTCATATCGTTCCTTACTCATGTCTTAAATCATCCAGTCACCGTATAATTCCATACTCATTCCTTAGTAATTAAGTTACCACGTCATTCATTAATCATTCGTCCAGTCATATTCCTTATTCATTTCATAATATTTCTTACCCATTTATTAATTTGTATGGTCATCACATAATTCTTTACTAACTTATTCAGCCATCACACCATGCCTTACTCAATCCATACATAATTCCTCACTCATGCATATTCAGGCAGTCATTACATGTTTCTCTATTCATTCAATTATTATCACTACATTCAATATTTATTAATCTATTCGAACATTCCTTACTAATGTATTATACATCGATCCTCTCCGTCATATCATCCCGCAAATCACTCATTCATCCAGTCACAGTCGTTGCATCGCGCCGAGTCATTCATGATTTAGTATTCATACTCTTTGGTTCTTTCGGTAAAGTCACGTCGGTAAAAAAAAATATCACGACGTTTCGATCGCAACACAAGCGGTTGTCCTCAGGCGGAAAAAATAATCCAGCAGTGGAACTTCTGAACCAGCCAGAGAGCTGTTACAACAACAAGAGGTTACATTTGTATTTAAAGCTTTCGTGACTGCAGGGATTCATATTCTTGGTTCTTTCGGTAAAGTCACGTAGAAGGGAAACAATAAAATAATATAAATACAAAACAATAAAATTCTCACGACGTTTCGACTACAACACAAGCAATCATCATCAGATGTCAAAACCACAGCAAAATGTTCTTGCTGTGGTGAGAATTGTATTGTTTTATATTTTTATTATTTTATTGTTTCCTTTCTACGTGACTTTACCGAAAGAACCAATAATAACAAGAGGTTATATATGTGGCGATGGGCAAGCAGGCGGGGTCTGAGCTGGAAAGGAATTCCATCCCCGGCCGCAGGCACCTAGGTTGTGTTAATGGGGGAGTTTAGGGAGAGAGAGATTACGGAGAGAGAGATTAGCATGAAATGAGCTTCCGTTGCCGCATCAGAGCACCGTCCCTGCATATGCGCACAACAGCAGTGTTAATGGGAGATTAGCACTATGTTGATGGGAGTGATTAGGCAGAGAGATTAGGGGGATTAGCAAGTTAATGTCATGTCTATGTGTAACACAAGCTGAGGCGCTGCCAACTGCGCTGTGAGAGGCAAGCGTGTTCCTCGCAAGGGTGGTCGCGTCAGTGAGACACAGAGCCCATCACACAGCCAGAACCATCGGTACATCGAGGCTAAGGGAGCAGAACTGGCCATGTTAGTGAGACCCCAGCCCGTTAATGCAGAGGCACCTAGCAGGGCAATGCAACTCAGAGAGTCGGAGATAACAGCAAAACAAAAAAACATACTCTGATCATATATGTTTGTTTTTGTTTGCATTCTGACTACAAGTATTGTGGTTAATGCAGCCATGATTCTTTGTGAAAGGTTTCAGTTGCCAGAAAAAAGGGGAACCCCTATTTTCAGTTATAATCGAGTCAATCTCGTTCTTAAATTCACCATTCGGGCTTCTCCACGTCCATATTTTAGCTTCCCCTTTTTACAAACGGTGTTCATTCTACTCTTTGGGTCTTTCGGTAAAGTCACGTAGATAGAAAAAAAATCAAAAAAATCACGACGTTTCGATCGCAACACAAGCAATCGTCCTCAGGTGAAAAAAATATATTCTGTTCTTGTATTTGCCTCTGAGAATTCTCATCGGCGCTTATCTCTCAACGTATTGTCAAGTTGTCCATACGATTTTGATATGCATTTTATCAGAATTTAGTAGAGAGAGCAGAAACTTGCTGCATGCAGGACGGCACTGCCACTTGCAGGCAAGTAGACTCATCCGCGAGCGTTTCGTGCAGACTATTCTCTCTCCTGCTCGACGAGATGGCCGCCTGAGGCGCGCGAGCCCCCGGGCCGCTCCTCCGGGCCGCGCTCCCAGCAGCGGCTGGCGGGGCCGCTTGTGAGGGGGCCGAGGGAGCCGGTGGAGGGGGCCAAGGGAGGGGGCCGAGGGAGCCGATGGAGCCGGGGGAGCCGACGGGGCCAGGGGAGGCCGACGGAGCCGGGGGGGGGGCCGAAGGAGCCGGGGGGGGGTCTACGGAGCCAAGGGGGGGGGTGACGGAGCTGGGGGGGGGGGGGCGACGGAGCCGGGGGGGGGGGCCGACGGAGCTGGGGGGGGGGGGGGGCGACGGAGCCGGGGGGGGGTCTACGGAGCCAAGGGGGGGGGTGACGGAGCTGGGGGGGGGGGGGGCGACGGAGCCGGGGGGGGGGCCGACGGAGCTGGGGGGGGGGGGCGACGGAGCCGGGGGGGGGGCGACGGAGCTGTGGGGGGGCCTACGGAGCCAAGGGTGGCCGACGGAGTCGGGGGTAGATGATGGCACGAGCAGAGGGAGCCGACACTGACTTTCTCACACATCATACACTGACTCACTCACACCATGCACTGACTCACTCACACATCATGCACTGACTCACTCACACACCATGCACTGACTCACTCACACCATGCACTGACTCACTCACACCATGCACTGACTCACACATCATGCACTGACTCGCTCATCATGCACTGACTCACTCACACATCATGCACTGACTCACTCACACATCATGCACTGGGAGTGTCGTGCTGCCAGCTATGGCTGCAGTTTTTTTGTCGTACGTGTTATGTATATCGTTTATTGTTACATTTTAAATCACAGTTCCTATGATTACTGTTGTTACATTGTTTTTGTAGCTTTATTTTGGTAATTCGAAAACATGGTTAATCTAACTTGTCTTATGGTTGTTGTTGGCTTGTACCACATTGTGATTTTTGCACACAGCGTTTTAATAAGTTTTTTTGTGTGGAATATTTGCTGGTTGAATTCCAGGATGTTTCTGTTGCGCGTCGTCGCTATAAGGTGTTCTGTATTCATATTGTTTGTTGCGGTTGCACCCGACTTAAGAGCCGCATGGCTCACAGGGCTATACCTAATAAATGAAACTTGAAACTTGGGTAATTTGGTCTTATCTTGACTTATTATGATCACGCTGTTCACCAAGAAAGTCTCCCTGAGCCTGCAGGAGGATTGTGCCAAGTTTTCGCAGTAGGGGGCGATGGTGTTATTTTTAATCGCAAATAAATAATTTGCAGTTAATTTTCAGCACTGGGTTGCTTGGTCAATACTAGTTACAATAGGGTTTTTTGCTATTAGAAGGAACTGGAGAACTCAGAAAAAATCCATTTAGAACAATGGGCAAATTTTGATTTGAAGCTTTCGTGACTGCAGGGATTCATATTCTTGGTTCTTTCGGTAAAGTCACGTAGAAGGGAAACAAAAAATAAAATAAAAAATATAATAAAAATATAAAACAATACAATTGTTTTAAAATTTATTGTTTCCCTTCTACGTGACTTTACCGAAAGAAGCAAGAATAACAATGGGCAACATACAAATGCCACACAGAAAGGTACCCAAGTCAGCAATTGAACCCAGGAAGGTTTAATACGGAGGCTTTCGCGACCAATATCATCCATAAGAGGTTGTTTTTGGGTTAGATCATGTAAATATATAAATGTGTCGTTAAAACCCGCCACCACCCGACAGCCAACTAGTAAGGGTTGCCCCATACACAGAACATGCCAATTCGTCTCTAGTACAGCACAGGTGTGTTGGAGAGCCAAGCCACAACATTTACAAACTGAGTACGACGTTTCGCCAGTAATTACAACTAGCTTCACTCTTCCATAATTGGCTGTCGCCTGATGAAGCTAGTTGATGAAGCTAGTTATAATTATGGCAAAACGTCATACTCAGATTGTGAATGTTGTGGCTTGGCTCTCCAACACACTGGTGTGCTGTACTAGTGACGAATTAGCACGTTCTGTTTACGTGACAACCCTTACTAGTGGACTGTGTCGGGTGGTGGCAGGTTTTAACGATACGTTTATATATGTACACGATCTAACCCCCCAAAAAACCTATTATGTGTCGAGTAGTAATTAATTGCGTTACGTCACGCTCCCCCTCTGGTGCAGTTACGTCAGAGTGACGTCATGCACGGCGGGCAGGACGGTGACGTCATGTCCCCTTGGGGTATTTAGGTTGGGACCCGTGACGTAAACGAGGTCGTCGCGATGAGCCAGGATCATGTGAACGTGGAAGTTGGGACCAGGGTAGGGGAAATTAGCGCCAGGATAGAGTAGCCTGTGCGAGTGCTAGGGAATTCCCAGTACCCTGGGGTGTGGAGTGTGAGTAGATATGGGAACGAGTTCCTGCAGTGGGAACAGCCCAGCCGCCGCCGAGGGAAGGCGAGAGGGTTAGAAGCCCCACCTTGTCGCCGGGCGGTGATGGCGTGCTCCCGCTCGGGGCAGACGAGGGGAAGCCGTGCCGGGGCGTAGAATAATGGGAGACAGTTCCACGTGCAGGCCAGAGTTCTGACGCGCACCATTACGGGTGCAGGCGTCGGGTGTGGAGTGTAGGCAGTGGGTGTGCAGTACTCGGTGTAAGCAGAGTCGTGTGAAGAGTGTTTAATAAACAACTGGCGCAAGCCCTTACATGAAGCTCCGTCTCCGTGTGGATCTACAAGTCTCCAGTGGTGTCAAGATTAACCACACAACATTTGGATGAACCCAGGACCTTCTTTCTGCGAGGCACGAGCGTTAATGCTGCACCACCCTGCCGTTCAAAATGTTGAAGATCCTTGAACACTATAGTAATAGGTTTTACCCTTTTAACTTTTGTTTGCATTTTGACTGCTTGTGTTGTGGTTATTGCAAACATGATGCCTTGAATAAAGGTGTCAGTTTTTGTGCCAGTTAAAAGGGTAAAATCTATTACTATATCTTGTTACTAGCAAAGGTCTCAATCCTTGAACACTCTTTAACTTGTTGCGTTTCAAGAGCCTTAGTGAGCTTGGTAATTCTCAAACCAATCTGTAGCACCCTAACACTCCAGGTACTATTCACAGAGAGACTAAGAATCCCACTTTTCCATAATTCCCGTCGACCGCCCCCCCCCCTAGTGATAGAAAATGTCGACACTCGTTAGAAGTGTAGGGGTTGTTCCCTTCCCACATCGCTGACACCAACGGTGCCAGTTTATTGTTGACGATCTGCTTATTGTTTAATCCAGTTGTCCAATTCACCCACCGAGTTTGCGTGCAGCACAGCGTTACCCTCTCTCGACAGACCTCACTAGGGGTTTGCATGCTTATAGCGGTGGCACATTGGGCACTTGTTTCAGCGGCTCGTGGGTCGAGTGCAGCAGGTCGCCATAGTTAATACTGCAGGTGTATTAAACGTAAAGAGGCGTCATGTGCTTCACTATGGATGTTAAATATCCCATTGCGTCATTCCAAAAGCGTTTGCCATTGTCAGCATCATGGTAAAAATTTGCCAAATCAAAAAAGACTTCCAGATTACTTAATCGCTTTTACTCAAAGCAACGTCGCTCCTCCTTATACTTATGTAATTTGTACTTATATACTTTGTTTTTGCATTAAAATGTAGTCACTTGCTTAGCTTTCCTATACTTTGTACTTCAATCTGTTTTTGTATTGTTTGTTGTAACTTTCTCACCCGCCCCTACTAGACATTTGTGAAAAAGAGCTTCATAGCTCATCATATTCTTCCAGTATAAATAAAGATTTTCATTCTACGTGCAACATAGTGCCTTGTTTCGTGATAGCCTTGCATTATGAGGTGGTGGATGTCACTTACTCAATTATTATGACCATAAAGAAACGTGTTCTTGTTAACAAAGCCTGACGTCGTGGACACGCACATTCAAACTCTCCATTATAAACACGTTCTCCTTCATGATTTAATTACACTGTGCTTAGCTCATGCAGCAGAAGCAGCAAAGTGTTTTACGACACACAACAACAAAGATCGTGATGTTAAGCTGCACTAAGAATTACAACACTGGACGATTATGATGGAGCAAGTATTATTAGCAAGCACCTATTAAACAAGGCCTAGCTTCAAAGTACTGGAACTCGTTGCATCAAACACCTTACGAGAAAAGTTCCGTAGTTTGTGCGTTTAACTTGGTATACTAAAGCAATACAAGTTGCAATGCATTATTTAAGAACTATATCCTCAACTCCTGGACAAAATGTGTTTATTTTAGATTGTTGCTACACAATATCATGAGAGGTGGCGGCAGCTTGGGAAGGCCTTCATCCAGCAGGGGGTTGTTCAGAGTTGTTTACCGCGTTGCGTCAGGAACCCGAGTTCAATTGCCAGTCACGGTTAACATCAACGGTGATTATTTGTAATGGTACTGAGCCTCCCCTAGGTTTAAACATCAACACCGTGGAGACAATGGTGGTCAGTCTCGGTACTGGCCACCCACCGGCTCGTGTGTCATGCCGACATTCACAGGTGCCCGCTAACAGCACTTGCCACAATTGTCTGTTAAGGTTACATGGAGGAATTCTGTCTTTCTGTCTATGTCTGTGTGTGAGCCTGGGTGAGCTTCTGAGCTTATTCATGCATCGTTTCCATAATTAGTTGGAGCTTCTGGCCCAGGGACACCGCATATGTGGCCCAGAAACACCACGTGTTCTCACTTTCCATCACCCATGAGCCATACGTTTTAAAATCGTAATGTGACCAGGAAGTTTAAATAATGTTTACATCACGCAGAACAGCTCTCATTTCCACATTGCCACCGCGAGGCCAACACTGGTTCCAGGGTCGGTCTGAATACAATAATTATAATGATTACTAATTACCTAAGATAACTGAGGACTCATTTCAGGAGGATCCTGTGACATTTTATGAGGCTATTTACCTGTGGGAGAAAACTGAAGAATCAGAATGAAACCCATGCACAACAGAGGGAACACATACAAAATCCACACAGCAAGGTACCCGAGTCAGGAATTGAACCCAGGATCTTCTTGCTCTGAGGCACAAGTGTTACCACTGTGCTACGCTGCCACCCAAATTAAGTGTGTTGCACATACGGAGAGCCTGGGGGCACATGAGCCTGGTTGGGATGCCGTATAAATCTGGATTCCTAGGCCCGGTCAGGTGTGGGAATTGGGCCAGCACAGTTCCCAATGGCCTTGGAAACGAAGCATCGCTGTTGCTTTACTTGGTCTTTTTGAAGATCTGCTTGCACTTCACTCCCTCCACGCGGATCTCCTGTGTCCCCGGGATAAGACAACGAACAACGTGAGACAATAGCCAAAAAGAGACGAGAGAGAACATACAGCATGAGACAACAGCCAAGGGTAGCACTTTGCAACCCACGTTATATAAGCCACCCATAGCTACCGGTCATCTCAGTCAGTTAACCCACAGCACCTCGGTCTGTCCCGTGACCTCCTGGCAGCAGCGAGTCTTTCAGACGATGGCCTCGAAGTGCAATTTAGCCTGGCTCAAGCGCTGTGGTGACGTCGCCGCCACTCAGTGGCGAGTGTCAGCGGTTGTTACTGTGTGTCACTACCAGGTGGAGGTGGTCTCCCTCGATCCAGTGGGTCCAGCCACGGTTCTGCTTCTCCCCGCGCTGCACGCACACCAAGCGGTCGCCCTCCCACGACACGGTCGTCTGTCACCGCACACATGACCGACAGACAACAGCAAAACAAGGAGGTTGTGAATCTGTCTGTGCAGACCTGGAATTGTCATCCCCTCGCTTGCATGGGCTTTCTCTGGTTTCTTCTTAGGATTTGGGCAAACAACCCAAGGTAGCAGGATCCTCCTGAAAAATTTGAGAATCAGTGAGGCTTTCTTTTATTATTCATTTCGCTTGTATACCCATGAAAGCTTCACGGAGTCTCTCGGCTCTTTTTCAGAATTCTGCTAAGTTTTCATATTCGGGGGTGACGATTACTATGCAATTTAATCATTTATGAGTAATGCCTCAAATCTGGAAAATTTTGACCATGACAATGGCACACAATAGCCTAATCTTCTTCGAATGTCACAGGATCTTAAACCTGCTCATGGCACCATATGTAATGGGTAATACTATGGGTGTATTAACCATGAGCACAGAGACACGGAGGTGCGTTGCAAATTACCATGCACTTGCGGTCATCCAGGCCACGCAGGTCCTCCTCAAACTCCTGACCGATGGTGAAATCCATGATGTAGTTGCGGAAGGTGCTGATGGTGCGGATGACCATGCGATCGCCCGTTTGCGTGATTTCCTTGTCAATTTTCAACAGATTCGCAATCTTGCGTATGGCCACGTTGATGTCTGTGGGAATGGAAGGGAGTGCAGTATGGTGGCATGAGAGAGTTCAGGAACATTGTTTTGTCATTTTCCCAATTTAATTCCAAACATGCAATAATTCCATTCAGAACTCTTACAGAGCAGTGCACCATCCTGGGTGTTTGAGAACAAACTATACATACCTTCTCCAAAAAATCCTCTCAAAACGTCAGTGATTTTCTGATCAAATGAGCATTGACGTAGTGCTCAACTCCTCTTTACAGCCCTGAGCAAGTGGTTGAAATTCCACTATCCAGCCCCTGTGCCAGGGGCTGGGCTGTATGTATGTTGAACTTATTTTGCACCGTACATAGCCCATCGTGCTAATCGACGGTGGCCTGAACCACAGGATGACCACTGTCGACTTCACCATAATGTGGTACAGTACTAATTTTATCAAACCCGGACGGATGATGGGCCGAGTCAACCCCCAACCAGGACTCTCACAACCTTCCAATTGCGTGCTGCTTACTCCACTGCTGAGCCTCTTGGCTCAACAATCAACATTTGCTTTGGGGATCATGGGCCGCAGCAATAGTTGCGTTCATGAGCATGTTAGGGTACAGTATGGGGAAAAATAGAGTGAACAGGGGTGGAGTCAGAGGTAGAGGTGGGGTTAGGGGCAGGTGAATGTCATTCCCACATTGCGAGGCCAATGCGTCCACAATGCGTCTACCAATGCTGCCAACTTAATTTCGGTAGTTTTAGTGACTTTTTAGTTTTTCTCAAAAGTGTCCAAGCCACCAGTGACGTTTAATGTGGACAACAGTGATTCATTTATATAGAATATGGCGAATTGTTTCAACGTCATAATAATTCAGTACAGGGGACCACGTGAGTCGCTGTGCAGGTGGAGGAGATGGGAGTCACGTTGACCCCGAGTTACAATATTTAGATTTAAATCTAAGTAACCCTTAGTTATAACGCGATGTGGATATCTAAGCATATGCCTCAGCTTGGAACTGACTGCCCACACATGCACTCCTGCACACGCCCTCACAATGCAGAAGCACTCTCCGAGCACCATTCCAGGAAACATGCAACTTTGGGCCAACGTTGCCACGTGGTTGAATCCGCTGAACGAACGTTGCCCCAACGTTCCATGTTTCTCGGGTTTTCAGTAAAAGATCCTTCCCTTATTATCCTTATATCCCCCTATACATTTCACTACCATCTAACAATGTACCATAATAGCAATTTCGAATCCATTCTCAACCCCATGCTAGATCTCATGCTCCAACCCATAACAACTTGATATTGATGTTTTCCATTAGTTGTTCATTGTGTGGTATTGCTTCCCATTGGCTACATTAGGCTCATACATGCATAATTCCTCCATATTTCATGGACTCATTCTGTCGCGTCACCGTGCCAGTGGAGCGAAATGAGCTCAATAATTGGAAGAGAGTAGGGGGTGAAATCTTTCCCAGCGACGTGACCAGCGCACACAATGTGGCCACTGTGTGCTGTATAGAGAGCGCCCCCCCTGTCCCAATCAATGGTCACCAAAGAAAGACGCCCTGTGTGTGCAGCTTAGAAGAATTACTGATGTGGGCTCCACACACACATGGCACAGAGAATGATGTCTGCTGAGGGAGAAAAAGTCTCGGAAATGCATCGAAGGGGGTGGGTGGATAGGTGGGAGGATGAGTAGGTGTATAGGTGGTGGATGAGCCTGTGAATAGGTGGATGAATAGATGCTGTGGGTGAATGTGCGGTGGATAGGTGAGTGAATGAGTGGATAAGTGGCGTTACAATGTGTCAATGCAACAGCTATTATTGATTTTGAAGCTCACAGATACATGCTTTGAATGGCACAGTTACCCATTGATGTCTTTCAATGTTGTATGTAATGGTTTAACTTGAACCCCTCATCTATTAGAGGCTGCTACAATCACAATAAATAAAATCACCATCCTGAATCGTAAAAATTAATAGACTCGTGCAGGTAACACTTCTCCTGGGTGGCAACAGAGAAGAGAATGGTGCCAAACACTTTCCTCATTTTCTAATACGCGTCCTAGGGTGTCCCATCCATGCCACGGCACCCCCACGCCCCCCCCATGCCTCCCTTCAGATAAAATCAAGTGGCCCTCATGATAGAGCCATCGTCTCCAACGCGGCTTTGTGATCAAGGAATAAGAAGATTTAATAAATCACGAGTCCCGCATTGAGCAGGGTTTAAGAGGATTTCGGCAGTCTTGCCATTCTTATTGTTTTCCTCTAATTCCCTCCTACTGCCGGGCATTACGCAGACACAAATATCCATGTTTGCCTGCTAGCATGAGAGCTGACACAGTTAGTCAGCACCTATTAGGGCCAGCAGTTGTTTGAGATCAGCACGGATCGTTCAGGAATTGGCGTCTGTTCAGGTGGCAACAATTTATTTGTACCGAGACATGGTACTGGCATTGTGTTTAACTAAATTACACTAAACTGCACAGCTCTGGCCGACCTAGGCTGACTGAGAGATGTGTTTGGGCTTGGTATATTGTGGAAAAAGGTGGCGGGCCTGAGAACAGCACAGTGATGAGTGTTTTTTTTGTGGCCAGCACCACACGCCTGGCTGGGTTTGTGTCCGTGTGTGATTATATTCCTGGTCACTACTGCCTGGTGTTTATACAGAACTCAACTTAAAAAAAATTACTAATAATGTAATTTGGCCACTTATATAAATTAGGTAACCTCACAATCAACACTTCAATAATACAAATGGCGGCCCATTTTGAAGGTAAATATCGGTTTAGAGAACATAACATATATATGGGAATATGTTGAGACGCACAAATTATGAATTCACTTCACCACCCTCAACGTGGATGAAAAATAAATGTTGTCCGAGTATGTCCGATACCCTGATATTTTATGAGCATTTCATGTTGTTTTTCACGAGGTGATAACTCAAGAGAAAAGGAATCTCATTGCAAGAGTGACCCGAGTCACCAAAGTTACAAAAATAAGAACATGAAAATAAATTATACTATAATATACTGACTTATAGCAAGTTTGGCTGGCTTGACGGACGGAGGGGGGGCAGGACGGACCGTCACGTCAAAATGACATGCGGGCCACCAATTACAATACAACAAATATAAATCAGGGCAAAAAATATCCGTGTTACAAACTAAAATCGAAAAAGTGCGCAAATATTAATTCATATAAAATACATTTTCTGCGATGAAAGTCGGTTCGTACAAATAACTTTAGTAAAATGTTCATTTAAAATTGAGTTACGTAAACATCACGATGCAATTCTGGTGATTATTGCACTCGCTCAAAAGCGAGGACAATGTTAACAGCACTGCGGCGGAGAAGCAAGCGATGCTCGCGGACAATTGAGGAGCCACGGCGAGACAGAGCGACTCACCCAGCGCCTTCATGTAGTCCTCAAAGCTCTCGTTGCTCACCATGGCCCAGTAGCCGTTGTAGTCGGCAGGCATGTTTAATCTGTGGTATGTTAGTGAGCGGGCTTGGTGGCTCGCTGTTTCTTGAATCTGGCTGGCTGACTGCCTGGCTTGCTTTGTCACCGAGAGTTTTCTTTGTGGTTGGCTTCGTGGCTCGCTGGTTCGCTGATCGCCGCCTGGCTGGCTCTGTGACTGGCTTTATGACCGGCTTCCTTGCTGGCTGGTTGGCTGCTTTGCTGATATCTGGCTGACTTTGTGTGGCTTTGCGAATTACTTTTGTGTAACCCTGTGCGTGAATGCGTGAACGTTAAAGTCCTGCCGATAGGACAGGAAGAAGATGGGAACCGTGCAAACTCCAACAGCTGCGCGTGAAACTTTGACTCTGTGCTGCGCACCCGCCTTCAGTCACTCAGGGGGAGGGGCGGAGGGGGAGGGGAAACGTAATGGATTGGTATGGAGGGAGGAGAAAACGAGATGTTAGTGGTGTAAGTGGGATGCAGCGTGAAGGAAGTGGGTGAGATGGGTGATGGAAAGATGTCTCGGAGATAGGCGATGGGGGGATGTGCGATGTGAGGGGGATGGGCGATGTGAGGATGTTTCAAGTTTCATTTATTAGGTATAGCCCTGTGAGCCATGCGGCTCACAGGGCTATACCTAATTTGAACACAGAACACCTTATAGCGACGACACGCAACAGAAACATCCTGGAATTAAACCAGCAAATATTCCACACAAAAAATGTATTAAAACGCTGTGTGCAAAAATCACAATGTGGCACAAGACAACAACAACCATGAGACAATTTAGATTAACCATATGTTTTCGAATTACCAAAATAAAGCTACAAAAACAATGTAACAACAGTTATCATAGGAACTGTGATTTTAAATGTAACAATAAACGATATACATAACACGTACGAAAAAACCTGCAGCCATAGCTGGCAGCACGACACTCCCAGTGTATGATGAGTGAGTGAGTAGTAGCTTGAGTGAGTGTATGATGTGAGCCAGCGTATGATGTGTGAGTGAGTCAGCGGCAGTGTGAGTGAGTGTATGATGTGCGAGTGAGCCAGCACACGGAGTGAACCTGTGTATGATGAGTGAATGGGTCAGTGGTTGTGCGAGTGTATGATGTCTTTGTGAGTAAGCGCATGATGAGCGAGTCAGTGCATGATGTTTGAGTGAGTCAGTGCATGTGTAGGGGTGTTGCGGGAAGGTAACACATAGTCACAGCATGGTGGCTACAACCATGTCCGCTATAGCCCCGCCCTCAGTGGTGTATGGGTATAAAGGGCAGGGAGCCAGAGAGCTCGGGGCAGTGTGTTGGGGCCAAGAATGAAGAACCAGTGAAGAAGGAAGGCCGGCTAGATAGACCCTGGGACTTCCCTGACCGCTGTCCTATTGAGGGCCGGCAGGGTAAGCCAGTGGTGCGGCCCAAGAGCCTCAGAGCCGGAGCCCTTTTAAAGGTCGGTCTGGTTGGTGGGGTGCCGTGATCTGTGCTTGACCAGGGCCAGATCAGATAGCCTCCTCTAGCGCCTGTAGCGGAGGAACTGGGAGCACAAGAATTAGGCAAGATAGCCTAGGGGGTATCCCATTTACCCCTTCCAGTGTAACCCTTGTTAAACTTGAATAAACAGTGCTGCTTCTACTCCACCGTCTCCGTGTCCCGTGAACCCACTACACATGGTGTGCGTGAGTCAGTGTATGATGTATGAGAAAGTCAGTGTCGGCTCCCTCTGCTCGTGCCATCGCCCCCCCAACTCCGTCGGCACCCCCTGGCTCCGTCGCCCCCCCCCCCGGCTCCGTTGCCCCCCCTGGCTCCGTCGGCCCCCCCCCGGCTCCGTCGCCCCCCCCCCCCCCCAGCTCCGTCGCCCCCCCCCCCTGGCTCCGTCGGCCCCCCCCGGCTCCGTCGGCCCTCCCCCCCGCCCCCATCGGCCCCTCCCGGCTCCCCCGGCCACGTCGGCTCCCCCGGCCCCGTCGGCTCCCCCGGCTCCGTCGGCCCCCTCGGCTCCATCGGCTCCGTCCGTCGGCTCCCTCGGCCCCCTCACAAACAGCCCCGCCAGCCACTGCTGGGACAAAACCTCAACCGCACTCGTGGAGGCGCATTCGTGTAGGCGATTACACAACCGTCTTTGCTTCGTGAGGAAATTCCACACCTCGTCGACAGACGCAACCTTAAAGAAGAAAATTAAAAAACAGCCGTAGATTGTGGTCTGTACATTTTAATGTGGGGGTGGGGGGGATGTGGTGGAGACGGGCGATGGGAAGAGTGGGGAGATGAATGATGGGAGGATGTGGGGGAGATGAATGATGGGAGGATGTGGGGGAGATGGGTGTGAACCTCCATCCCTGCCTCACTCTGACCTTGTGGCCCGGGTGAATACGATACGAGGGCTGTGAATTAATGCATTCGCCTTGGCCGTGCTGCCTACTATTTCTTACACAGCAAAACAAAACGGCTATAAATATTTGAAACGGTCTCAAAGTAAATCCTCCGGCTGCTCGGTGAAGCCATCACCCCCACGCTGCGTATCGCTGGTATCATATTTGGCATGGGTTCATGCGCAGGCTAAGTGTGCAAGGAAGCATGGAGAGTCGAGCGCATGAGATCACTGAGGGACAGAAAGAACACGCACACAGTTACAGAGATCGCATTTTAATATGACCCTTGTTTACCCAGGAAATACAATTTTCAGAATTGAAATATTTGGCCAATACCAGATAGATTGTTTTTCCGTTTTGGGAAAACCTGGAGAACCCGGAGGAAACCCATACAGAATATAGAAACTCCACACAAAGCACCTCAGCCATACATCGAACCCACTCTTCTGAATAATTATGGTTACGAAAGAAGTTCAAGATACATGAGGCACAAGCGTTGCCAGAGCCACCCTACCACCCTATAAAAGTAAATGGACTTGGGCAGAACACATCGCTCATGGAGATCAGTGAGCCAAAGGATAAAACGTCTCCGATAGGATGTCTACCACGGAGATGAAGCAATTAAATTGGTTTCTGTGCTGGCGACTGAATGAGGAATCCTTCATCTAACAGTGGATATATCACGGCTGCTGATAAGTGCGCGTCTCCTTTCTGCTGTGGATCGTGTGCTTGGCTTTCTGCGTCGCATATTCTAGTTTAACTAGCATTTTGCCCTTCCAAGGACGTGTGCATTGCAGTAAATATGAAACTTGCAAGCGAAAAGCAGACCGCGACGTGATATGCATTGCATTAATGCGTGTGCAATGTGTAAGGGCGCGGTGACACAGACCTGTTTCATTTTAAAGTTATAATCCCTTGTTCATCATGACACCATTTTTACTTTGATGTCTCAAGAGCGTTATGGAGATCACGTGACGTGAGGGTTCTGCCTTTGTAGTGAGGGATTTGTAGTGAGGGTTGTAAGTTGACGCCGAGGAGGGGGGAGGAGGTCCATCGGCCCCCCATGTGGAGTGACGTCAGATGCTAATTATTATTAATGGTGGGGGGTGTCCATTTGGAGGACGTCACCTTATGATTATTAATGGAGGGGAGGGGGCTGTTCGATGTGGAGTGACGTCACCTGCTCATGATTATTAATGAGGGGGGGGGGGGTCCATGTGGAGGACGTAACATGTTCATGGTTAATTATTAATGAAGGGGGCTGGTCCACGTGGAGTGACGTCACGAGTGTTCAGGACAGACATTCCTGGGTGATTACAGTAGGTATGAGCATACAAATTTGAGACATCACATTGGCCGTTAAAGATAGTCGGCTTAGACAGGACACTCCACTAAAAGGGATGATGGCTGATGTTTCAGAATTATAATTCTTATGTAAACTGGAGGAATCCGATGAGCTCTAAATGTATTTTTCACAGATGCCTAGTATGGGCAAGTCAGCATGTTACAACAGCAAACGATGTTTGACACTGCTGTCGGAATGGCAGTCAAAGCAGAGAATCGTCCGAAATAATACATCCACGCGGGGTGACAGAGCGATGACATCAGCTCATATCCAGATGCGGGGTGGATTGCCACATCGCAGCGGCTTGAGGAGGACTTCATCCAGCAGTGGACTGACCATGACTGCTGCTGATGATGAAATACAAATACTCAAAAACAGCGGTGTCCTCAACTTTCTTGTTTATTCTTAACTTTCTTGTTTATTCTGTCGACACTGCAGCCAAAGAGCGACTCTGAGATCCGGCCGGAACTCTCGTGTTGGTTTCTGCAGTGGCTGTTATTTTTTCGAATCCTTACATGGTAACATTTTCACAAGCGCGCCTGCATTGGTAGAGTTGAAAAGTTCAAAGTAGGGTTGAACGACCCACAAACGATCAAACACAGACAAGTGAAACAGAATAGAGCTTGCCGAAACGAACAAAAGATCACAGGGCTTGGGCAATTGTTGGTGTTGCCTCTGGCTGCCTTTTCTCTTGTCTGTGGTTTCTTACACATCCGTGTGTAAATTCTATAGCATTCTGAGATATAATTTGCATGATGCTGTATAAAAAATACGATTGTAACTATTATTAAATAATCGATCCTCTTTCATTGATCAATGTAGAATGTAGCGAATTCTAAATTTGGTAACTTTGGTTGATAACACAGGAACAAAATGGCCTACTCTTAAATAACTTCAGGGATCGTTAACATCCGCTGTGAGTGAAGCGTACTATTTTATGATCAACATACCGCAGTATTAACCAGGGCAGTCTTCCGGATTCAAACCAACAGAGGGCGAACGCGCTGCTGCTGGGCAATGCCATTGCCCATGATGATGATGGTGTTGGTGCCGATGATGGTGGCGGTGGGAAGAGCATTTCTGAGCATTTCTGAAGTCTTGGGGAGGGCAAACGCCTTAGCTTAAACAACATCATAGGACAAGGTGAGGCTTAGCCTGCTGGTGCTTCCGTGCCTCACATATTGGAGGAAGTAACCGCTCCTTGTAAGTCTTTCGGGGATCTTTGTCTTTGGTGGCGGTGAGAATGATTTTGGTGATCATGTCGAAGGATGGATGCTGCTGCTGCTGATAGTTGCCTTGAAGAGAGTTTTTTTGGTAGATTAATTCACGTAAACATATACAGTATGGTACAGGCACATGTCTGATGGGGTGGTACTGTGGTCATAGGGCATTCCTGTTTTCGTATTGTTTATTGTAACTTTCTGACCCGCCCCCATTGGACATGTGAAAAATAGCTTCATAGCTCATTGGATTCGTCCAGTCGAAATAAAGTTCTGAAATAAAAATTATATTAAGTATAAATTACATAAGTACGTACATTCCTGCCGATTTTTAACACCATAGTTTAACACGTAAGCTTTCGCGACCAATATTATCCATAAAAGTGCGTTAGATCGCGTAAATGTGTTGTTAACCCACCACCACCCGACACAGCCAATTAGTAATAATTGTCACCGAAATAAAATGTGCCATCACCTTTACTCTATTTAAGACTTTACAATTCTGGAAAATCGTATAATGAAGCTGGTTGTAATTACCAGCGAAATTGTCGGGCCCGTTGTCCCCCGACTCCTCTGTTAGGATCGAGCCACTGTGGGGGCCGCTGTCCCCCGACTCCTCCATCACGATCGTGCTACTGCTCCCCGACTGCTTTGTCGGGTTCGGGCTACCGACCCCCAATTCCTCGCCCGGATTTTCCCGCTCTTTTGATAGTTGGATCCCAGCTCTGGTGACGTCACCGCAAGTGGTCCCCTCGACGTCCGTTTTCTGCTCCTCCCGCTACCGGGATTTTCCCGCTCTTTTGATATTCGGATCCTAGCTCTGGTGACGTCACCGCAGTGGTCCCCTCGACGTCTGCTTTCTGTTCTTCCCGCTACCAGCCCACTGACCCGTGTTGCGTGTGTGTGGTTCCATCCGCGGTGGCTCAACAGCCCCTGCCGTGACCATGCAATTATAATATCAGGTCACGGCGCCGCGGTGCACGTCAGCCTCAGGGGTAGGTCGCCCAATTTCCCGGCCGCAGGAAACCATGAAGCTTGATCCCATCAGGGGCTTCTGGACGAAAACCTGTCGGCCAGGTGACTCCCCCTCGGGCCCTATGTGGGGTATGCGTGCATTCATGTGGGGGGCGGCGAGGGGCGCGCAGCAACGGCGTCGTCACTCCCCGGTGGCGGCGTCACGGCGGTGGGCACGGCCCTGACAGAGAGAGATAGACGGGGGGGAGCGCGTGCATTTTCTATTGATGCCCCCAGGGTCTGGAATGCTATCGCCAATAAACTGCAACTTGGATTACTACCTGTGAGATCTTCACTCAAAACTGCTCTCGAGGAGTTGTACACCCCTAGCTGCCACTGCTATTCAGCATGGCCTGAAATCAAATGTATCGTTCCGGATGACCGCTGCAAAGTATGATCTTGAGTTTTGATTATAGTGTGCTGATCTTTAAGGTGTATTGAAAAATGTTGATACTACTACTGATACTCCTGCTGTTATGGAGTGACTCATGCAGCCAGCTATGGCTGAAAAGTTTGGTCGTACATCTTATGTATATCGTTTATTGTAAAATTTGAATCACAGTTCCTATGATCACTGTTACATTGTTTTTATAGCTTTATTTTGGTGATTTTGAAAACGTTTTGGTTTAGCCATGTTTGTTTGTTGTAGTACAGAGTTAGCCTGATAACTTTAATCTTAATTGTCTTATGGTTGTTATTGTTTGACTTGCATCCCACTGGGATTTTTACACACAGCATTGATATACGGTGTTTTTTCTGGAAGACTTTGCTGTTTTTTCCTGGATTTTTCTGTTGCGTGTGTAATGTTGTGGATTCAGGAGACATCGGAGTCGGTTCTTGGAGGCAACACTATTAAAGCACCTCGCTCAGCAGTACAGTCCCAGTACACTCATGGTTATTGTCCTCCTACAGCTACTGTCTGGGGAGGTACTGCCTCTGGGCTAACGTGCCCTAACACAGGACTACACTCAGGGTCCTCCGGCTATGGGTGCCTCGGGGGAGGCTAGTCTAACTCGCCCTAGCCAGGGTGCGAGTTCCGACCACTGATCCACTGGACCCGGCCCTTACAAGGACGTCGGGCCAGGGGTTCCCAGTGTCTCACCACTGAGCCGCACAGAGTCCCGGCCCTGATAAGGACAGCGGGGCTAGGGGTTTCAGGGTCCTATCTAGCTGGTCTTCGGCTTCGGTCTTCAACTGGTCCAGATCGGCTGGGGAGGTCCCCTTTTATGCCCCTTGCCCATTGGAGGTGGGGCTGCGTGGGATCCCAGAACCCCGCAGCCCCCCCCCCGCCCGTTGGGGGCGCCGAGGGGCTTAGCTGTCTGGGGATCCTGAGCCCCCAGCAGCTCCTCCCCTCTTGGGCTGGCACTGCAGCCCCTCCCATGATTGTACGAGGTACCGTTCCATCTATGGCGCTACACTTGTAGTCACTTTAAGATGTTTCTTGTTCATGTTTTTGTTTGTTGCGGTTGCACCCTAGTCAAGAGCCGCATGGCTCACAGGGCTATACCTAATAAATTAAACTGAAAAAATTAAACTGTCCATTATAATGTAAATTGCCCCCACGAGTTGTAAGGCCAGGGTTCCTCTGGTCGTCTGCGCTGCTGCACCATTTACCACGAAGCGGGGAGAGCCGTGACGACTCCTATTCCTGTGACTACCCGCCCCCACTGGAAATCTGTTAAAAGGAGCTTGAGAGCTCATCGGATTCCTCCGCTATGAATACAGATTCTAATTCTGACTTCAGCGCCGTTAGCGCCATTGCAAAATTAAACGGAAGTGACGCTTGATTTGAAGCTTTCGTGACTGCAGGAATTACTCTTTGGTTCTTTTGGTAAAGTCACGTAGAAAGGAAATAAATTAAATAATAGAATACCACGTTTCGATTGCAACACAAGCAACCGTCATCAGGTAGAACTCAAATTGAGAGAGACAAAACACAGCGGAGGAAACATCGTATTCTATTATTTAATTTATTTTCTTTCTACGTGACTTTACCGAAAGAACCAAAGAGTAATTCCTGTAGTCACGAAAGCTTCAAATCAAGTTTGAACCAATCTACGGGGAGGATGTAAGTTGTTTTCTCTCTCTCTCTGTGCGTCTGAGGATGTAAGTCTGTGTGTCTCTGTCAAATTTCATACTTAATTTCAAATTTAGTAATCTTTGGAGATCGTAATCAACCAGGCTATGCGTTAACTGTGTGTTAGCCGACTCTCTGTATTGCATTGCATTACATTTTCAATTTTTTTTCTAAGTTTGTTTTCTCAAACGGCCTATTTCTCTCTCTAAAATGTACCAGGCTCTCATAGGTCCATTCGCTCTTTCTCTCCCCCGGCCGCTTCGGGGTGGATTTCCACACATTTCTTTGTGGGTCTCTGTTTGTTAAATTTCACACTTAACTTCAAATTTTAGCAATCTTTGGAGATCGTAATCAACCAGGCTATGCGTTAACTGTGTGTTAGCCGACTCTCTGTGTTGCATTACATTACATTTCCAAAAGATTTGCTAAATTTTGTTTTCTCAAACTATTTCTCTCTCTAAAATTCACCAGGGTCTCAGAGCCATTCGATCTTCTTTCCCTCGGTCGCTTCGGGGTGGATTCATTGCCATGCTAATTTCTCTGCTCCAGCAGCTGCCCCAGCAGACCCACCTCTCTCTCTGCTATTGATGCCCCCAGGGTCTGGAATGCTATTGCCAATAAACTGCAACTTGAATCCCTACCAATGAGATCTTGTCTCAAAACTGCTCTAGAGGAGTTGTACACCCCTAGCTGCCACTGCTATTCATTGGCGTAAAATAAAATAAAATGTTTCGCTCCGGATGACGCTGCAAAGTATTATCTGTATTTTGATTTAGCGTGCTGATCTTAAAGGTGCATTGAAAAATGTGATATTCCGACTGATGCTTCTGTTGTTATGGAGTAACTCATGCAGCCAGCTATGGCTCTAGGATTTGGTGTTACATGCTAGTTATGTAGTTTATTGTAAAAATTCGGTCACAGTCCCTGTGATCACTGTTACGTTGCAATTATGGCTTAATTTTTTTTTATTTCGAAAAGTTTTTTGGTTTGGACATGTTTGTTTTGTTGTAGTACGGAGTTAGACTGATGGCCTTAATCTAAGTTTTCTTGTGGTTGTTGTTGTTTGACTTGCATCCCACTGGGATTTTTTGCACACAGCGTTGGTGTACGGTGCTTTTTTTCAGGAATATTTTGCTGATTTTTTTTCATGGATTTTCTGTTTGCACAGTCACATAGTCACTTTAAGATGTTTTTCTTGTTAGTGTGTTTTTTTGTTGTGGTTGCACCCTATTCAAGAGCCGAATGGCTCACAGGGCTATAACAAAATAAATAAACAAACTCTGCCCAACCCCCCCTCTCTCTCTATTTAAGGCCTCGACACAGAGGCATTGGGGTCTCTGTGTGTCTATGTTGTGTCTGTCTCTCTCAATGTTAGTTCTACCTGATGACGATTGCTTGTGTTACAATCGAAACGTCGTACTCTATTATGTAATTTATTTTCTACGTAAATTTACTGAAGGAACCAAAGAGGGAGGAAGTGACGCTCTTAACCCGGACGCGACGCGACGCTTCCGGCCGCGCCCGAAGCAGAAGGAGAGAGGAGCGGAGAAAGGAGGCGGCGGAGGCGACAGTGGGATGGCGGGCATGGACGCGAGCGTGGACCAGGCTCACTTGCCGAGGGTGGAGGAAGGTGAGAGAATAGGACGAGATAGTGGCGAGCGCCTGAGTGTCGGAGCTCCATCCCCCCCCCCCCCACTTAGCTTCCACTTCCGTCTGCGGAAATGGAGGCCGCGTTTGTTTACAACGCGAGCGATCAGCTGGGGTGAGGAGTGAAACGTGCAGACTTGGCCTACCTCTATGAGCCCATCGTTGGTTGAACCAGTCTAGATTTTGTGAGGCGGTCGCAGATCCGCCACTGTTGTAAGGAGGCAGTCGCTCTCCAATGACAGCCGTGAGCTGAGGAGCGACGTTCACAACAACGATCCGAGCTCCGGGCGACTAAGAGGCAGCAATATGGCACAGTGGGAGCACAGGCAAGTCAACTCGTAGCGCCTTCGTTCTGTGTCGTAACCTCTTGCCAAAGAAACCTTCGATTTTCCACGTGGCCTAAATGTGCACCTAGCCTGGCACCAAGCACTGTGGCGACATCGCTATTTACTGGCGAACGGCGGTTGTTTTCTCACAGGTGAATAGTAAGGGTTTGAAAATGTTTACACTAATCTAGCAATAACTTTACTCTTCCCTTTTCATGTTCAACAATTGTCCCCAAATACATGGTGTCCGAGTCGGTAATTTAGTGTTTTTTTGTTGCAGTAAAGAAAGAATTCTCTGTGCTGGAGGATGGAGTGCTTGCTCACCATCTACAAAAGCAGGAGAGTACGTCTGCATGCAGATACGCATCCACTTGGATACATCCATTAAGATTATAATTTCAAGGACGAATAGAATCCACTAAAAACGAATCGCGCCAAAAATGTGCATTCATGGATCTGTGCTTGTGGCAAGAGAGTTTTTTTAGAGGTTTGCGATTTTAATCTGGCAGGCCACCCTAGTTAAGTGTGGAGTGTATTAACCGTGAAATACTACGGGCCATCAGCTTCATGGTGAACATTTATTTAATCTCTTGACTGCATTCGAAGAAGATTCAGAGCATTGTGTGCCGTGTGATGGTCCAAAGTTGCCGAAATTAAAACAATACTCGCAAATGCCTTAATTGGGAAGACCTCACAATCGTCGGCCCCAAATGTGAACCTGAGAAGTGTAGTAACAGTAATATAGTGCAAACACTTATTGTTACTCGAGGTGATTTGTGTGGCTCAGCAGCCTCGTGTCCTGTTCTCATGCAGTTGAGGATCACTACGCCTCCAATGTGGTGAAGAGCCGCCTCGCGGCGGGCGACGTGCGTTTGGCGCGACAGCTGCAGGAAGCGGAAGCGCAGCGGCAACGTCTAAATCGGCTGACGATGTGAGTGTGGGAACACGAGCGGAGCCGACATGGGGGAGAGAGAACAGTCGATGTTTGTATGTGAGGGTGGAGGAGAGAGAGAGAGCAGTGGAGTGAGGGATGTCAGTGTGTGGGGAGCTGTAATGTCGTGGATAGTGTGCTGCGCAATGACTCCGGTGACCGGAGTTCAATTCCCGCTCACAGCCAAACCAGTGACGATTATCTGAACTGGTCTTGGGTCTTCTTTAGGACTAATCGGCCTCAAATGAGTACTTCGTAAGGTATGCAAACATTGCCATTGGCGAGACAAAGGTGTTTAGGCGTGGTGGTGGCCTCCCCACCCCCTTGTATACCGTACTGGCCTTTATAGGTGCTCACTAACAGCACTTGCCTCAAAAGTTTAAGTCTATAATGGCAATCTTTGTCTTTGTGAGGATGCGTGGAGTAAAGTGAGAGAGCCAGATGGATGTTGGTGTGAGGAGTGAGAAGAGACGGTGGTGGATGTATGTGTGATTAGGGTGGGTGAGAGTCGGGAGGAGGGAGAAATTTGGAATGCCTTTCAGTTGATTGAGGGGATGTCTGTGTTTTTTCAGTGAGGAGCGAGATGCTCACGTTGCCATGGAGCTGCAGCAGCAGGAAGAGCGGGCGCGCGAGGAGGAGCGTCGGGAGCGAGAGCGGCAGGATGCGGTGGGTGCACGCGAACATACGGTGACACTGCAGTCTAAGCACATGGGAAATTATGATCGTGTTGAGCACAAGCCCCAGCTGGAGTAGGCCCTGTACCACCAAAAGTCCCATTGGACCACCCAGGTTTACTCTCGTCCTTCGGTGTAAAAATTTACAGGCAGAAATTTGCATCGGCTCGGAAATCGCTTAGTGCGAAACCTAAATTATCTTTATCGTATCCCAGACAGATCGCAAAGATGGATGCCAGTCAGTGGTTGCTAGGGATTGCGTCATCACTCCCCCTACATCAGCCAATCAGCTGCCAGGAAAACAATCCTGATGGAATATGGCTGCTGTGACATTATTGCTCCATGCATTCAGTCAGGCTGTGATTTTTTTGTGCATTTTTGCGTGTGCAAGTGTCTGCATGTATTATTCAATTGTGTTACTTTGCCTGGGAATGTTTATGTAAGCGAGTGCATTTTTTCGTGTGTTTGTATTGTGTGCCATGCTAGCCTTAATAGGTGCTCGCTAAGAGTGTGTTATAAGGCTATGTCTATTTATGACAGTGTGTGTCTGTACGGGGGAGTATTTGTATGCTTTTGTATTAGATGGGGCCTTACCATCAGCCCCACCAAAACTAAGCACTTGCCTGGGTATTTTGTACCATCGGACACTCCAGCCCCACAACTCCCAATCGCTGATGGGGCAGTTGTGGAGAGAGTGGAGAGTTTCCCATACCTGGGCAGTGTGCTTATGACCAGCTCCAGTTTAACAGCAGAGGTCTCACTCCGAATCAGTCGAGCGGCAATATCTTTTCATCGGTTGCGTAACGCTGTGTGGAAGCTACCTGGTCTGTTGCTCCGCACTAAGCTTCAGGTCTTCTCGGCCACGGTCATTCCCTCCCTTCTCTACGCTTGCGAAACGTGGACCCCCCTAATGGAACATCTTCGCCGGTTAGAAACATTTAGGCTAGCCTGCCTACGATCCATCCTGGGTTTAACCAGGCTGGATTGTGTGAGGAACTCACAAATCCTTGAAAGATCTGGGCAAGGTCCCATCGGTGAGCTCCTCCGGCAGGCAAGGCTGCGTTGGCTGGGTCATGTAGCCCGCATGCCCAGCCACCGCTAGTTTGGCTGTGTTTTTTTAGTTTAGCTGTGTGTGTATGTCTGTGTATATTGTAGGGAGTGGTTGTGTATGTATGTTAAACTTCTTTCGCACCGTACATGGCCAACCACTAACCACTATGCTAATAGTGTAGTGGTTAGCGTGCTGCGCTATGAACCCGGCAACCTTATTTTGATTCCTGCTCGCGGCCACCACCAGTGACAATTATCTGAACCAGTCTTGGGCCCTCCCCTAGGTTTACTCGGCCTCAAATGAGTACCTGGTGTGGTGTGTAACCATTGCTGCTGGGGAGACAAAGGCAGTCATGGTGCTGGCCACCAATCCTCTATTGTACTTTTCTGGCCTTCACTAGGTGCTCGCTAACAGCACTTGCCCCAAAAGCCTGTAAAAGGCTATACTGGGCATCTTTGCCTTTGTGATAATGTGTGTTTATTTGTGTGAGGGAACGTGTTTCATGGATGTGAGTAATGGCGGAATTAACGAATTCCCCTTGCATAAATCCTGTATGGATTCTTGGCGTACCCAATTTATAGAATTGCGTAAACCGTTTGCTACTCGGACTCTTGGTATATGCTGAGGCTTGAGTGAATGCATTGAATAATAGTGATGTATTCAGACGTGTAGGTTTGACTAGACTAAGCCCGCGATGTAGAGCATTGGTGCCCAACCTGTGGTCCACAGAAACTGGTGGACATCAAGGCCATGGGAGGTGTCCCGCTGAACTATTGCAGATACTATGATTTATTTCTGCAAAGCACATCAACTATTTTACTGCCCATCGTACATCTTTTCAGATTAGCCAAAAAAACATTTTAAAACATATTTGTGGGGCGACTGCATGTGTGACTTCATCACCAGGTGTTGCTTAAGTCGTCCTCCGTCTACCTGGTCTCCGTAGACTACAGAGGCAAACTGCAAAACCGGGTGGAGAGGGTGACTAAAGCAGCAACTGGTGAAGTCACATGCACAGTGACAGCTGAATAAGCTTAATGAATTAATCTTATTCAAGGCTGAGGAAACCTGACATCTAAATCATTTTCTATTATGGCTTTTAATTCAAATGTATGGTGCTTTTCGAGTAGGTTTAATTTTTTCAAGTTTGTTATTGGTGTGTGATTGTCTGCGGACATTTATTGAGGGTTAACTTGGTCTGTGGGTCCAGAATGGCTTGGGATCCACTGCTGTCGAAAATATTAAAATATTGTATCTCTTGCCCAGGCGTCAACAACTTGCAGGACGTTGTGATCTAAAAGCTCACGCTTACATCAGCAGATATTACCTTTAATGATGATCGTGATTTGTTTTTGATATAGTGCCCCATGTACCGGGGTGTCTCGGAGCACTTTACATCACATCTCAAACATTGATAGGATACCTCCAGTGGCAACTGTACTTGTGCGCACAAGGTGATACAACTCCTGGCCTGCAAATAGGCATTAATCTGCCAGTAGTGGGTGTCAATTGCTTTGTGTAATTCCAATGTATTAATTCATATTGTCTGACATTTTAGTTCTATAAATAAGAAAATGGACTTGAGAATTCACCGCATACAATGTACACCTACCGAATGGTGCAATCATGCACAGAAGGTCAAACGCCTAAAGGATTCTCAGTATTCATTGTGTTTATTGGCTGAGGCTTGCAGAGCCAAGCTAAGGCACCATTAGGATACTCGGTGTTCAACATTCATTCCTAAAACGTCTTCGGCTGTCATTTTAGTTCTATAAATAAGAAAATGGACTTGAGAATTCACCGCATACAATGTACACCTACCGAATGGTGCAATCATGCACAGAAGGTCAAACGCCTAAAGGATTCTCAGTATTCATTGTGTTTATTGGCTGAGGCTTGCAGAGCCAAGCTAAGGCACCATTAGGATACTCGGTGTTCAACATTCATTCCTAAAACGTCTTCGGCTGTCAATCGCGAATGATGATGACAGGAGAACAGCTAGCACTTCCCTGCGCTCTGGTGGGATGAGAGACCAGCCCTTGAAATGTAGACAATAACTGCAGGAAATATTTTGTTTTCAATCTGCTGAGATTTTACAGATCTAAAGTGGAAATGAGCGTTGATTCACATGAACACCAGTCTTGCTAAAAAAAAAACGTAATGCACGGTTGTCTTAAGCAGCATTGCCATTTCATATATTTTTTATTAAAATTACTTTTTTTATGACAACAGTTGTGATCGATCTTCTAAAACACCTTGATGTGGCTAATTAACTTTGAGACCGTGAGACAGACTTCATTATAAACATTGGGATGTAAACGTGTGTGCGTGTATGGATGCAGAGGGTCGCGCGCAGGCTGCAGGAGGGGGAGCGTAGAGGTCGCCACGTAGACTCGGCCGCGCATCCATCCCCAGGTGAGAAGGGCCCCGCATTGATCTCCACACAAGTGGTCAGGGCGCTGACATGGCCGAGCAGGAGCGCTTTGCCACTCGTTTACGGAGATTTTCTTTTTTAATCCGACGGGCTACCCTGGTTAATACTGCGGGTGTATTAACCATGATGCACTCGTTCTGCTTTGCAGTGCACCTTGAATCCTGTTGTCATTCGAATAAGAGTAGGCCATTGTGTTGGTGTCATGGTCCAAAGTTGCCAAATTATCCACAAATAACTTAATTTGAAAATAGCAATCATCGCCCTCGACTGCAAATGCTTATCAGGACACTCTTCAAAAAGTCTTGAGTCTGAGGCTTTCCTTGCTAAAAAAAATGTAACAATACAATTATACAAATGCATAAAAAAAATCTGTCTTTGTATAATTTTCTCCCATTAATGCAGTTGTGTATAATTTGCATAAAATGACCATAACATTAAATTTCGATTTAAAGCTTTCGTGACTGCAATGATTCATCTTCTTTGGTTCTTTCGGTAAAGTCACGTAGAATGAGAATAAAATAATAAATTGATAAAATAAAATAACACAATAATATTCTCACGAAGGCCGCTTGTGTTGTGGCCGAAACGTCGTGAGAATATTATTGTGTTATTTTATTTTATCAATTTATTATTTTATTCTCATTCTACGTGACTTTACCGAAAGAACCAAAGAAGATGGACCATAACATTCCTACACACATTATTATGCATTAATCTAATTTTTCCGAATCCATGTAAATCAATCCGTATATATCATTGAGCACACCCCTGATTTAAAATCCGGCTGGGTGGCTCCGTGGTAGCGGGAGCAGCTTGCAATTGCAAAGTTGCGAGTTGGAATTCTGTTTGGGGGGTTGATTCAGTCCACCAACCCTCTGGGGTCAATAAAATATACATGCCTTTTGCCCGTCCAATGACGAGTGTATTGCAGTATATCTGAAACTTGCAAGCAAAAAGCAGGCCACGACGTGATATTCATTGCATCCATTCGTGTGCAATTTGTAAGGCCGCGGTGACACAGACCTATTTCATTTAAAGGTTTTAATCCCTTGTTCATCATGATGTCCTTTTCACGTCTATGTCTCAATAGCGTTACGGAGATCGCGTGACATTAGGGTTCTGCCTTTGTAATGAGGGTTACAAGTTTACACTGAGGAGGGGGGAGGAGGTGCCTCGCCCCCCCTATGTGGAGTGACGTTAATGGAGGGGGGGGGTGTCCATTTGGAGGACGTCACCCGCTCATGATTATTTTGAGAGGTGGGTCCATGTGGAGGATGTAACTTGTTCATGATTATTAATGAGGGTGGCTGGTCGACGTGGAGTGACATTACGCACTGACATTCTTGGGTAAATATAGTAGTAAATACGGGCAGTCCTCGTTTCGTTCCTGAGACCAGTTTGTAAGTCGAAACACTAATACACTGTTTTTAAATGCCCACATGGTCAGGGTTATGAAATGTGTTACAGTTCAACAAATTTGGAAGCAGTGTTGAACTAATAATTAAAAATAAATATTGTAAAAAAAATACTGTATAGTCAATAAAACTAAATTAGGTAACATAAATAGAAAAAATATGTTTTAAATTCACTTACCTTGTCTTGCTGCTGGCTTGCTTGTCAGAAGAAGGGCAGTGGGTCCCCACAATTGCACGCACGCATACACGCATGGGGCACACAGACACACACAAAGACACGCACACACCGCAACGACAACGATCGTTTGTATGGCCTTAACAGGCTGTTGGGCCAAGTTCTGTTCAACGAGCAGCGCGAAGACTGCCTGTACCGCATAGTGGGAAGTCAACAGTGTTTGCCCTATGGATGGCCTTGCTCCAGCTATAGGAAAGTGGCGTTTCCACCACTGACTGTAAATGGGAGATGCACTGCCTCAATGCTCATTTGAACAGGTCACCACTTTGATTTTTGAATTTTAAATAAGGGTTGCATCTTTAAACCCCAACAGCTGGCAGAAGACATGAGTGCCTTGACCCTAATTCTCACTTGCATAATATGTGCAGCTGTTACAGCTGGAGTACATTCTATATGAACTGGCAGTTTCCACCATTTAATAATGAATGTAGTTGTGTTTGGCTAGCTGTCATGTTCATTGAATAATTTGTAGATTTAAAGTTTTTGAGTGTTGTGTTTGCATTGTAAGTGTGGATGGCCGTTTGAGTGTTCGTGTAAATTGCGTGCGTGCGGTGCACAACACCCTGCACCCTGGATACCCTTGAAAAATAAGTGTTCCATCTCGAGGGAATTTGAAATAACCAAATTAGTGTGGTGTGGGTCTCTGTGCTTTACTAGTACGGGACCAAGTGGGCTTTGTGGAAGAGGGGATGACTGAGGAGATTGAGCTTGATGATGCGGAGCTGGCAAGAAGACTGCAGCAGCAGGAGGAGCAGGTGAAGCGGCTGAGTGAGAACCTGTGACGAAGCCTCATTGGAAATGATGAGGTGGTAAAGTGCCTAGCGGTAGTGTGAACGCTGTTTGTTGCAGCGGTGTTTGTGCTTTGTATCCAGAAGGCCACCCTGGTTAATACTGCTTTGGATATTAACCATAATGTACTTTGCGCTACCTGGTTCACATTGGATGTTTAAAGTCCTGTGATGTCATTCGAAGAAGAGTAAGCAATTGTGTGCCGGCATCATGAGTTGCGGCTCCTGACATGGTTATCTGGCTTGACCACATGAAAGTGAAATTGTAGTAGTTGCTCTACACCATACGAAAGAAGAAGAATGGGCCAGGTTTTAAACATCTGTTTTTACAAGGGTTGTAATGTTTTATTTCTTTATTTTAATATCAACAATTTCTACAAAAGCTTTTGGAGGAGACCTTGGTTGCTTATGAAATCCCTTGGTTGTGTATTATTTGTTTTTATCCCTTTACGCAAATGCAAGCCTTGTCCTGTTTGCATTTCTCCCCAGAGAGCATGGAAGGCTCACCGGGCAGCCGATGCGGGGCTCAGGGCTGCAGTATTGGCTCAGGATGAGGTGAGCACGTTATCTGGACCAACTTCACATCTCCTCACGTGTGATTTGTGAATCGGCATCTATTTGCTTTTATGAAAACTTAACAATCCTCTCTGTTTAAGTTGCTTTTGGAATGATTTTCATTAGGCTTTACAATTTAAGAATTATTAAGTATACCATCGTGTACTGGCAAAGAACTAAGTTATGATACTCTTTGGTTTTATTCGGTTAAGTCACGTAGGTAAAAAACAAATTTAAATTAAATAAAAGAAAAAAATTAAACACGACGTTTCGGAGGCAACACAAGCTTCCGTCTCCAGGTGGAAACAGTCAGCAACAAATCGCTGCACCAAGTGGCGAGGCTCTGGGAACCTCGGGCTTAAATACAGGTTAAGGGAGGGGGGGGGAGCCATGTAGGGGGACCTTGGTGGGGTGAGGGGCTGAGTTAATCCGTATTTTGTTGTGTAGAGGGTGTGGGGGGGGGGGGGGTCACTGTGTGTGTGCAATAGAAACGGAAAAATAGAAAAAAATTAAAGATCGGCAAGAATGTGCTGTAAGATGCGGAGTAGAAAACCGTGGAAATAGAAAAGCTTAAATGCAGGTTAAGGGGGGGGGGCGGGTGGGAGGAGCCATGTAGGGGGACCTTGGTGGGGTGCGTGGCTGAGTTAATCCGTCTTTTGTTGTGTAGAGGGTGCGGGGGATGGGTCACTGTGTGTGCAATAGAAACGGAAAAAATAGGAAAATTAAAGATTGGCAAGAATGTGCTGTAAGGGGGGAGTAGAAAAAAGGGAAATAGAAAGTTCGGAATGAATATGCTTGGCATACCACTACTTGAAATTGCTGTTAGAAATTAGTTGACGTTTGGTATGATTTAAAACGTCTTTCCAGTGGTTGCTTAATTTGCAACCATCCTCTCGGTTGACGTTATGCCTGTGTTTGTATATCTGAATGGCTTCATGAACAAATCTCTGGTGATGACCTATAGGTTTACAGAGAACCTTGGTATCGGAGAAGACAATCTCATGATCACCCATAGCGTTGTAACAATGATCAGCCACAGCAGATGAATTCGTTCTGCCGTGTTTCAGATCTGATTTGGGCTGGCGAATTCGGTCAGAGATATGTCGTTTCGTCTCCCCGATATAGCAATCACCACAGGTACAACTCAATTTGTAAACTCCAGGGTACTGTAAGTCAGGGATGACATCCTTTACAGATGGGATCAGATCACGAATTTTGTGTACTGTATTGAACCGGACTTGGATCTTGTGTTTGTTTAGAATTTTGGAAATCTTTTTAGTAACGCCTGCTATGTATGTTAGTGTGATGGTTTTGATCGGAGTATCAAGTGTTTGTTTCTGTGTGGTAGGAGAAACAGCTTGGCGGATGGTACGGTCAGAGTATCCGTTCCTCTTGAGGTTCCAGCCGTACCAATTTTAATTCACTGGTCAATTGGTGTTGGTCCAAGATGCAATGAGCCCTATGGTATAACGTTTTGATGAGAGAATTCTTTTGAGCCGGGTGGTGGTGGGAATCCGGTTTCAAGTAGGAATCTGTGTGGGTGGGCTTTCTGTAAACAGAATGTCCCAACGAGCCATCAGACCTCTCAAACAGAACATCTAAGAATGGCAGTTTGCCATCTTTCTCTACTTCTACTCCCCCCTTACAGCACATTCTTGCCGATCTTTAATTTTTCTATTTTTTTCCGTTTCTATTGCACACACACAGTGACCCATCCCCCGCACCCTCTACACAACAAAAGACGGATTAACTCAGCCCCGCACCCCACCAAGGTCCCCCTACATGGCTCCTCCCCCCCCCCCCCCCTTAACCTGCATTTAAGCTTTTCTATTTCCACGGTTTTCTACTCCGCATCTTACAGCACATTCTTGCCGATCTTTAATTTTTTTCTATTTTTCCGTTTCTATTGCACACACACAGTGACCCTCCCCCCACACCCTCTACACAACAAAAGACGGATTAATTCAGCCCCGCACCCCACCAAAGTCCCCCTACATGGCTCCCCCCGCCCCCTTAAACTACATTTAAGCTGTTTTTTCCACTATTTTCTAGTCCGCACCTTACAGCACATTCTTGCCGATCATTAATTTTTTCTATTCCGTTTCTATTGCACACACAGTGACCCACTCCCCGCACCCAATATGGATTAACTCAGCCCCTCACCCCACCAAGGTCCCCCTACATGGCTCCTCCCTCCCTCCCTTAACCTGTATTTAAGCCCGAGGTTCCCAGAGCCTCGCCACTTGGTGCAGCGATTTTTTGCTGTGACTGTTTCCACCTGAAGACAGAAGCTTGTGTTGCCTCCTAAACGTCGTGTTTTAATTTTTTCTTTTATTTAATTTTCATTTGTTTTTTACCTACGTGACTTAACCGAATAAAACCAAAGAGTATGAATTCTTGCAGTCACGAAAGCTTCAAATCTAGAACCAAGTTATGAATTAGATTTTTACGCCGTATGTATTAATGATCATGGTTTATTTTGTTTATACAGCGGCATTCATGGTAGTTGTCTTCTCAAAATGCTGTAGAACTTAACACGCTTAGTTTTCGCACAGGTGCAGGAAGCCACAGACAAGCGGCGATGATTGCCAGGACCGGCACCAACAATTACCCATGCTCTGGGATCCTATACTGGGCTGTTTGGCCAACTCCAGTGTTTATACACTGAACACTATAAAACACGTGTCTCTGTTTCTATCCCAGGAAATCGCCAAGTTTATCCAAGAGAAAGAACTAAAGAGTCTCAAACAAAAAGAGAAGACATCGGTGAGGGCGAGAGAGAAAGGAGAGATGGAGAAAGAGAGACGCAGAGACCCAAGAAAGGAGAGCGAGTGGGTGCGGGAGAGGGAAGCGGGGAGGGAGAGACAAGAGTGGGAAAGAGAGAGGGAGGTGCGAGCAAGGGAGAGACATGGTGACCCGTGTAAAGAGATCGAATGGCAAAGGGAGAGAGAGGCGAGGAAGGAGATTGACACTGGTGAGAGGAGAGAGCAGGAGAGGCTGAGAGACAGACACAGGGATCTGAGTAAGGGGAGTGATCATGAGAGACATGTGGAGGCACGGGGGTATAGGGAGGGGGGGAGGGAGATGCACGGGGAGAGAACCCCGGGAAGGGAGAGGAGAGAGCCTGTGTCTGTGAGGACTGCTGATGAGAGAAGCAATGGCGATTCCCAGAGAAGACCGCCAAGGTGAGCGCACTTCCTCTCCCCGCTCCCCCTCTCTCTGCTTCCCCTCTTTCAGGTCCCCCTCTCCCTGCTGCTTCTCGCCCTGCTACCCCGCTCCCCCAGGTCTCACAAATTCACTCTGGCAACCAGTTGTGGCCTCAATCACTTATTTGTCAATAATACCATGGTTACTGTTTCCGTGAGCTTCTCACAATGGTTCCTGCAATGTTGGCTTGGTCTACCAGACCGATTGTTTATTCTCATCCACAGTGGTCAACCACCACACTGCAGGTCACAACACTTCTTTTGGCTTATTCCTTGCCCTTCTCCACTCTGGAACTCCCCCCCCTCTCTATCATACATTTTCCAAAGTTCTTTCTAAGAAATTTGTGTAACCACCCCTAAAAAAGCAATTTAAGGCTATAAGCAATATTGCGGAGCTAATACGTGTGGATATCACCTGCTATGACTTGAATCATAAACATGGATATTGACAAGGAAAATTAAAAAGAAACTGACAAGTACACAGACATACAAGGAAGCATGGAGCACTACATGCTTGGAATTACACTGAGAAACAAAAACGTGGATTGGAGAATCAATGCAAGTTAGATACATCTTATTGCCTTAATAAAAATTGGCTTGGGAAAAACAAATCACGATATGGGATGCTGGTTGGTGGTCAAGACTAGAGACGGAGTAGCTGCCAAATGGAGCAGTGCCCAAATGATGTCCACTACGGAGATGGAGCAATACGATTAGCTCATGTGCTGCACCTAGATGGATTGTCTAATCGTAATACCGTAAGAGATTGTGACAGCCTGAGTATGCCTTCATTTATCAGTGGATAGGTCATGGTTGATAATGTTGATGGGAAACCCACAGTGCTTTTCCTGTGGATAGACTCATCTCTGCCATATGCATGTGTAATTTATATTTTTAGCTCGGAGCTTTAAACAGTTGTTGAGCACCGTTTCAACGCTTAATTTAAGCAGGAAATTTTTGATGATTTCCTCTTAAGAGGCAATCTGGATTTCAACAAAACATGAACATTGGCATAATTATTGTGGCTCTGCAGGCCACCTCCGCCGAAGAACATTGCGGAGGAGCTGGACCCGACGTTTGATAAGCGACCAATGAAGAGGCCGCCCCGCCCTGCCGCGCCTCCCTCGCACGGTATGTTTCGTGTGTGTGTAGCTGTGTGCATGCCTGTGCATTGTGTTTGTGTCGTGAGCGCACTGCAACTAACCCGGCCACCCGAGTTTCGTGCCTGCTTACAACGACCATCGATGACGAATATCTGAACTGGTCCTGGGCCTCCTATAGATCAACTCAGCCTAAAATGACTACCTGGTGCAGTCTATTTACATCATATTTGGGAGATAAAGGCGGCCGGGTGCAATGCTGGCCACTTACGCCCTCGTGTGCGGTACTGGCCTTAATTGATGCTCGCAAACAGCACTTGCCTTAACAGTCTGTTAAAGGCTAAAGGAGGGAACTTTGCCTTTGTGACTGCATATGTGTGTCCGTCTCTGTCTTGCCATAAGCCCCACAAAAATAAGCACGTGCCTAGGTATTTTGTGTCATCGAATGCTTCACCCCCTTCGCTCCTCAAGAGTGATGGGGTAGTTGTGGGGAGAGTGGAGACGTTTTTGTACCTAGCCAGTGTGCTTATGGCAAACTCCGGTTTGGCAGCGGAGGTCTCACTCCGAATCAGATGAGCGGCACCTTTCCATCAGCTGCATAACAATGTGTAGAAGCTACCTGGCCTATCGCTCCATCCGAAGCTCTGTGTCTTCTCAGCCATAGTTATGTCCTCGCTTATCTATGCTTGCAAAACTTGGACCCCTTTGATGGAACATCTACGTCGGTTTGAAAAATCCAGGATAGCCTGCCTACAATCCACCCTGGGCTTTACCATGAGTTGTGTTATATTATTTTGTGTTGAACTAGGATCCAAATCGTAAACAAAGCATCCTTGCCTGTAGGATTGGCAGTTCAAGAGCATTGATTTAAGCAAGCTTGACTACTGATGAGACACTGAATGTTAAAACCTGTTCCCGGTTTGCTTGTCTTGAATCAATACTGCTGATATTATGCATTCCCATTTAAGCCGTGTGGCGATGGGTTGTGTAAGAAGACTTTATTTAATGTTTTTATGTGGAAAGTGTGCAGGCGATTGTCTGCTCATTTTCTTGTATTTGGTGGTCTCTGGTTTAGGATGTTTCTAAAAGATGGACCCAATTTCAAAGCAGTATATTTTACGATGGCAACCTGTTACAATTACACTAAAAGTTACAAACAGTTTAATAAGTTGTCAAGTTTTACTAACCATTTTATAAATGCTCTATGTGCCCTCCACCTGCTGTACGAACAACATCGAGACGATAGTTGAATTCGTCCCAAATGCCTCTCATCTCACGTTTTCTGAGGTGCGTGGTCGCCCTGTGCTCTTGCCCTTACATAAACAGCCTGTTTCCTCAAATTGTCGGTACCAATGACGAATGCTCTTTGACATTGGCGGATCAATGCCAAAATGCCGTTGAAACGCACGCTGCACCACAATTACGGATTCAGTCTTGCTGAACTGCAGAACGCAAAACGCCCCTTGTGTTGCCGGGGTCACCATCTTGCAAATGACTGAGGCTAGGGGCTGCTTATGCGCTGGGAGAGGCATCTAGCGGTAATCATTTGAAACTCTATGCCCCGCCCTTTCAAGTGGTAAGAGATTTAAAGCTTTCGTGACTGCTAGGATCCATACTCTTTGGTTCTATTGGGTCACCTAGTCACCTACGTGACTTTACCCAATAGAACCAAAAAGTGGTAAGAGTTTCATTCATGGGTGGTTCGTGGTTGCAGAGCTATAGCGATTTCAAATCGGGTCCATCTTTTTTAAACAACCTGTATATTTGGTGGTTTTTGCTCTGATTTATATTTGCCTCATTGTTGTGCTTTGTTTTTTGTTATTTCTTTTGTCATTTTGGTGACCCAGGTCAGTCACTCTTCAAATGAGACAATCGCAGTCTCTTGAGTCATCACCTGGTTAAACAAATTTGAAATACTTGGCTGTGTCCCTTGTAGACCGAACACAAGGCCATCCTATTGGCAGCCCACCCGCACACACAGCCAGCGATGAACATCACGTCAACCGGAGCTGGTCGAGAGATGACATTCATGGGAGCCAGCCGGTGGAACCAGAAGGGGCAGCTGCCTGGGATACAAGAGATCAAGGGCAGAGGTGGGAGAGGGCAGGAAGAGTGCTAACAGGAGAGGGTGAAGACCAAAGTCGAAGCAAGAAAGAAAACTGCAAGCAGCAGTGAGAGGCCTCCGAGTTTCCCACGCTCAGCAAAGTAAACACCATAGTGCTCAGCTTTACCAGCAGTATTACTCGTGCGCATAGTGTGCGAGTGTGATAAACACCGTCTTGTTTATATTTCTAGTGAATGTTCTGTGCAGCAAGTGCATGGAACCATCGCGAGCTGTGCCACAATTGGTCGCACCGTCCCTCGTGCTGGCGCTTGATCGTCACGGCAGTGTTACGTGTTCTGTGTTTAGTGGACCACACCTTTGCCAGTGTGTAAGTGTGGCGTGCGCGCATTTGACCAGCATTCTCATTGTGTGGACACCCGCACAGGATGGCCAGTGTCTTATCTGTGATGTCAGTTTTTCTTGTCTTATTTTTTACGCTTCAATAGGATATTGTACCGATTGTAAAATAACGATGCCTTTTATTTTTAGACAACAACAGCCAAAATATCATGCGCTTTTTTCCACGAGCTTGTGATTGGTGTTTTTTGTGTGCGTGTTCAGAAGCGAGTGTAAAGCAGAGGTGATGCATTTCTTGTGGTTGGGCTGTGTGGTGCGGAATCATTTTGGGGTGGGTATCCCAATGCTGACATCGTAAATCAGTCATTAGCAGAGAGCACGTCAAAACTTGGCGATACAGTATATAAGAAAGAGCAAACTCTGTTTTATTTAACCTGGGAAGGGCTCAGGAGACCGGGATGAATTTAATTTTCAAGAGTGACCTGGGTCAGCAAAATGACAAGTAATAGCATAAACCACAAGTACAGCAATGAAGCAAATTTAAATTGGTGAAAAAACAACCATTACAGAAATTGAAAGTGGCAAAACATAAATAATTAAATTATTCAATGTATGCCATTGCATTTATTGATTTTCCTTTAAGGCCCAAACTAAGCCTATGGGCATTATTGTAAGGTAAAAGATTTAGTAATTCAACAAAAAAGCACTGGACTTTGAGAAGGCAGGAACTTCTCCACAGGCCAATACGAAGACGACACTGCTTGCCACTTCTCAGTGGAACGTGCATTAAAGTCCGCCATTCTTTTTCGCGGCATGACCTGTATGTAGTATACATGATGAACTTATTTCGCACCGTATGTAGTGAACTGTGCTAATTGGACCTTTTGAATATATATCGGTATTTTACACAATGTAGTTGTATATCCAAACTTGATATGAAGCTTTCGTGACTGCAGGAATTACGCTTTGGTTCTTCCGGTAAAGTCACGTAGAAGGAAAATAAATTAAATAATATACGTTTCGATTGCAACACAATCAACCGGCATCAGGTAGGACTCGATTTGAGAGAGAGACAAAACACAGACACGGAGACAAGCAGAGAGAGACATGCAACATAGACACAGAGACCCAATGCCTCTGTCGAGGCCTTAAATAGAGAGGGGGGGGGGTGGGCAGAGAGAGAGGTGGGTCTGCTGGGGCAGCTGCTGGAGCAGAGAAATTGGCATGTCAATGAATCCCCCCCGAAGCGACCGAGGGAGAGAAAGATTGAATGGCCCTATGAGAGCCTGGTGAATTTTAGAGAGAGAGAAATAGGCCGTTTGAGATTTTTTTTTTAGAAAAAAAAACATTCTACCCGATGATGGATGCTTGTGTTGCAATCGAAACGTTGTATTCTATTATTTAATTTATTTTCTTTCTACGTGACTTTACCGAAAGAACCAAAGAGTAATTCCTGCAGTCACGAAAGCTTTATATAAAGTTTGAACCACCTCTACGGGGAGGATGTAAGTTGTTTTCTTTCTCTTTGTGTCTGAGGATGTAAGTTTGTTTTCTCGCTGTGTGTCTGTCAAATTTCACACTTCAAATTTTAGCAATCTTTGGAGATCATAATCAACCAGGCCAGGGGTGTCCAAACTTTTTTTCCTGAGGGCCACATACAGAAAAATATATAAAGGACTGGGCCACTCACAAGACGTGAGGTTTACTGCCTCACTTCTCATGCACTAATATTGGCAAAATCAATCAAATGCAGGTAAATTACGTTTGATAATTGAACATGTTTGAAGAAAAAAGCCTCCATCATAGCTCTCCATTAGTAGATTTTCATTTTATTTTTTACAAAAAGGTTGGCAGGTCATTCTCTCAGTGACAGCCTCAGATTGGTTCTTAGGGTGCTGATCCCCCTTCATTGTCCTGTATGAAGGGAGAGACAAGAAGAGAAATAGGGGATGTGGATATTTCAAGCTTATTACACAAATTATTGGGCTTGTTAACACATCAACTAACGTTTGTTAAAAAAATGTCATCAACTTTAATTGACTGAATTTATTATGTAATTGGGCTTAACAAATGAAAACTGTGTATATTTTTAACTCACCTGTAATGGGAAGAATGTTGCGCTCAGTGGGAGCAGTGATGCTGTGCTTTGGTCTGAAAGATAGCTGGCAGGTCAGGATTAAGTTTGGTGGTTGAGATGCGAAGGACGTGACTGAGATGGCTGTCGATCGTTCTGGTTCTCAGTCTGCTTTTGTTCAGCGTTAACAGAGAGAATGTCTGCTCAGATATATGTTGAGACTCGTCATTCGTTTTGCATGGCGTCTCATCAGAGGAAACTTGGCCTTTTCCAAGCTCCGGTAAAAGTCAGGTAGGGAGAGAAGCTGATGCTGATTCTTCAGAGAATCATCACACTGAATTTCGATCAGTTCTAATTGCAGACTCCACTTCTTTTGCATCCATTGAAAACGGAGCTGCAAACAGTGCGATTTCCTTCTCAATGACAGAAAAATCTTGGAAGCGCTGACTGAATTCTGTCATGAGAGATGTGATCACAGACACATTCTCCAATTTTTGCAGAGAGCTTGGCATTTGGAAATGCGCATTTGATTTCGGTCAGCGTGGGGAAGTGCGCTACATTGAAGTTGTGCAATTGTGACTCGGAAGAGACGGAGCTTCGCATTGAATTATTTCATGTGCGCATACAGCTGTGGTACCAGCTGCTCTTTGCCTTGTAGTCTCTTGTTCAGGGTGTTGAGATCAGTGAGAGCAACTAAAAAAAGCCAGGTCTGCCAACCATAAAGGGTCACTGATCTCATGGAGAGGTCTGCCCTTTTCTTTAAAAAACTTGTCGATATTTGATCTCGGGGAATAAAACCGCTGCAGCACGGAGCCGCGACCGAGCCAGCGCACTTCAGAATGGTAGAGTAGGTCCCCGTATTCAGCATCGACATCAGAGACGAACACTTGAAATTCTCTGTGGTAAAGCCCTCGTGCCCGAATTATGTTGACAGTTTTCACAACTGTCAACATAATCACATCGCCAAGCTGGATTATCTTGGCACAGAGGGCTTCTTGGTGGATGATACTGCATTTTGACAGCCTCACCTCCGCTCTCCCACACCTTGGCACTCACCATAGAAGCCATTCCTTTGCGCTCGCCTGTCATTGCTGGAGCCCCATCCGTTGTAATTCCACACAGCTTGTCCCATTTAAGTCCAGCCTGGTCAATTGCATCTGACACAGCTTCAAACATGTCCTTCCCAGTTGTTGTCCCCTTTATACTCCGAATATCGAGCAGTTCCTCCGTAATGCAAAAATTATCATCAACTCCCCGCAAAAAAAATTAACAGCTGTGCGGTGTCCGTGGCATCTGTGCTCTCATCACATGCAATCGAGTAAATCGAAAGCACAAGCTTTATCTGACACTTGCTGTTTTAAGTTAGCCGACAAGTCTTCAATTCGTCGCACAACCGTAATTCTGGACATACAAACATCGTTGAAATCCTGCATTTTCTCCGGGCACATTATTCCCACGACTTTAGTGAGGCACTGTTTGATGAAGTCACCATCTGAGAAAGGTTTCCCGTGTAGGGCAATGAGTTGAGCTATTTCATAACTGGCTATTGCATTTTCTTGAGCTTTGTTAGCATGGAAAAAAAAACCTGCTGCTGCGTTAGCAGGCTTGCTGCCATTTGCTTTACCTTCTCTTTCCGCTCGGTGCCAGTGTAGGACGTGAAGGTCTGATGTTTCGTTTCATAATGCCGTCGTACATTGTACTCTTTCATCACGGCAACACTCTCATTACAAAGCAAACAAACACACTTCCCCTTGGTTTCTATGAAAAAATATTCATTTTTCCACCGAGTCTGAAATTTTCTGCACTCGCTTGCAATCTTGCGTCTCTTCGGTTCCGGCATTTCTGGTGACCCTGAGCAAAATTTTTCTTCGATTGCTTGCTTTGTGGAGATGCTGCCTTGTTCAAGACAATAGTGCCACCTAGTTTTTAAACTAAGAAGTGCAATACAGTGGGCCATAGTGTATTATATTTTTAGACTTTGATACGGGCCAATTAAAAATGGATGGCGGGCCGCAGTTGGCCCGCGAGCCGTAGTTTGGACACCCCTGAACCAGGCTATGCGTTAACTGTGTGCTAGCCGACTCTCTGTGTTGCATTGCATTACATTTCCAAAAAAATTGCTACATTTTGTTTTCTCAAACTGCCTATTTCTCTAAAATTTACCAGGCTCTCAGGGCCATTCGATCTTTCTCTCCTGAGGTCGCTTCGGAGCGGATTCATTGACATGCTAATTTCTCTGCTCCAGCAGCTGCCCCAGCAGACCCACCTCTCTCTCTGCCCAACCCCCCCTCTCTAGTTAAGGCCTCGACACAGAGGCATTGGGTCTATGTGTCTGTTGTGTGTCTCTCTCTGCTTGTGTCTGTCTATCTGTCTCCGTGTCTGTTTTGTCTCTCAAATTTAGTTATACCTGATGACGGTTGCTTGTGTTGCAATCAAAACGTTTTATATTAAATTTATTTTTTTTCTTCATGACTTTACCGAAAGAACCAAAGAGTAGTTGTATATCCCTTTATTACAGTTTTTATTCCAGTTTCTGAGTCCTTGGGTGCATTCTTAGTATTATTACACTGTGTGTGTCTTATCTGCATCCAGTAAACCCTTTTTCCGTGAGTTCTGGATTCACGACTTTTGCATATTCGCGAGTTACTAAATGTCTACTAATTCTCTATTTGCGACCCGCTGGAACTCCAATATTCGTGAGTGTACGTAGTGTCAGGTCACTGATACTTGAAGGTGCACACAGAATTTTACATTTGAAACTCTGCGGAGATTAGGCACACCCCCCCTCGGCTGCCCATGTAGTCCTCAGTCTCGCAGTAATCCCACTCTGAACTCGCTCTTGTATTATGGATTTTTACTTTATACTTAGTCGACGAATACATTTTGGTTTAAATGAGTCGACTGAGGTCCATTTTAAAAAGAACACAAGTTTTCTGCATTCACGAGCGTTTTCAAGAACATAACCCTTGTGGATAGAGGGTTTACTGTATATCTATCCCTTTGTATCGATTTCCTTATGGAATTTGTCCAGTTTCTCTGTCTCCATATCTCTGCCTATCCCTCTTATCTGTCTTTCACTTATCACTGATTTTTTTTCCATGTTGCTCTATATCTGCATCTCTCTATCTCTTTCCATGTCTTTGTCTCTCATGT